AGTCCAGCAACCTCTGGAGAGCCTAAGATTCCCATTCCTGGTGCAGACAGACCTGTAAACAGCAAGTGCAATTCATACACGCACAAGGTCAGATTCTTCTGTAACTCAGGGCCACTTCTTACAATAAGTTTTGTATTTGAGTACAGCTATCCAAGTATCAGTTTTAAATGGGGCACATGTATTGCATTTAAATCACTGCTTTTCTTTGTGAAATAACTGGAGTCAGGAATCTGATCATTTCCCCATCATGTTTCTGTCTCGTTCGCTGGGAAGAGATGTGATTTAAACACACATGCACCATTCAAAACTGATGTAAGGTCAATAAAAAAAGTATCTCATACCAAGAAGCCCTTTTGATCATAGATCAAACATACACATTCTCAGTTTGTATTAATGCAGTGATTACCTTGGTTTGCAAAGACAAGAGTGTACATTCAACAGAGATTAAATCCAGGAATAGGGATTTTTAAAAGGAAGGGTTTGCTATATTCTGGGTATAAATGCTCAGACTAAATAAAGGCAGGTTTTGCACAGTGCTTGAGTCTTGCACTAGTATGTTTCTCACTTGCAAAAAAAAAGGTAAGAAAAGAAAAAGCGTAGAAGATTAAAAAAAACTTTTGTCGACTGAAGAATTATCAGATTGTATATTTGAAAAGTTAATGGCGGAGTCTTTTCAACATAAGAATGGTGCTTTTTAATCATATTATTCTGTTCTATATCCCCAACTGTTCAGCTATATTTTCAGATTTTGTGTCCCTATGAACATTACCCTTCATGTTATTTGTATTCCTTTGTATTATTTTGTTAATGCCTACTTAAGTATACTCTTCTAGGAAGCTAACTTTATATTTTCTTAAAGCTCTTACTTTGTGGTCATTAAAATGACATAAATATTGCACTTTATTGCAGTAAGAAGCAGATGTTGCATTCCTAATACACAATCGAAGTCAATTGTTAACTTTTCCCAAGATTTAACTTTTCTCTTGCCCATGCACTGACATTTATTACGTATCATTATCACATACAGTTTCCTCCACTGAACATGTACGTGAGAATAAGTCCAGATCTGTGTACGTGTTCAAAGACCAGAAACTGTTTACCTTGGATGACAAAGAGGAAAGGAACCTAAATATTAGCAAGCTATAATACTGTAACTACAATCAAAATAATGAGAGTCTGCACATGAGTTTAAACAGCATGTGGCCTCCCCTAATTCAGCTACTATGGTAAAGTAAGTCATTATATTAGTTGTTCCTAACACATGTTGAGCCCTGTTTATTGCACTTAACTCTGCTAAAACTACTCTTTGAGATTCATCCTTTGTTTTTTTGACAAACAAATGTTTTCAGATAAGGTCAGTACAGTGTCATGAATTGTGGCATTCCATCCTAAGATGTGGTGGTGACTTTTGCTAGTCGCTGTCATGCTGTCACTTGGTAGGTGGTACAAGGTACACCACCAGCACCATGCAAATCTTAGAAATCAGGTTGGCAAACACACACAAAATGGTTTGATTTCCCATCATTCTGAGCAATTTTTTGTAGGCTTGGAGACTATCCATGTCTGATGTAACCATTTATTTAACTGCAGTCCTGCCACTGGATTGAATGGGCTCCATTATTTCCTCTGCTAGGAATTTTAAGAGAAGCTGTGATGCTGAAGCAGGACTTACTTGCTAGTCAATAATGTATAATTAAGAATGGGATAAATGAATATCTTTTTGGTGGAAATCAAGGAACTTCTCCCCCTATAAGCAGTTGCTGCAGTTAACTAACTAAATATACCCAATACGGTTCTGGTCAGATTTGTCCAAACTGTCAAGTATTGAGTCTTTTTTTAAAAGGCAGGGTAGTGGGAAAGAGACCAAGCAGTTTGTCAGCTGGAACACAAGCATAGGAATGTTAAAGGAATATTTTCTGTAAACCAAATGGTGCAATATAACATAGGAATTTCAAGGAATGAAAGTATTACAATGCTCTAAGCAACTGAATGCCTTGGGTTTAACCATTTCCTTTTTGTATTTGTCTGTCATAGTGATGCTTAATGTAATTGGGCAGCTTTATTTAGCACTTTGAAACACTGAATTATTTCTGGAAAGTTAGTTATACATGATTTCCAAATAAGAGAGAGAGAGAGAGATGCATCAGGAAGTGTTTTTATTTTTTTAAGGAAAAAAATACAGTATTTATCAAAGCCCTTGCATATACAATAATTGGTTTGCTGTTTGAAGCTAAAGAAAGGAATGCTCCCTACAGATATCCTTTGCTTGTTAAAAGACTTCACATTTCTACCAACATGCTCACTTTGTATCTGCTTTTCTCACTATGCATTCTTTAAGATAGGCTGGTTTCTTGTTTTCCATCTAGTAATTTGCTTACATTCTCAGCACTTTTCTCGCTTCCCCTCTCCGACCTTTCTAACTTGCTGTATCATATTCAAATATCACAGTCAAGGTTTGTGTACATTAATGGAAATTTGTATTGTATAAAGCTTTTTGCATTATAAGGCTGTACAGGGTCATTTTGACAGTAACTGGTATATTTCTTTGCATCTTACGTTGCATTGCCAATTTCTAGTGTATCCAGTTTGGAAGTATATATACTCTAATTAAAAAACAAAGTTGGCTATACTCTGGCATCATGTCTGCCTCTCTTTCCCATTGTTTCATTATTGGGTGTGCAGAGAATAAGGAATTTAGAAGAGAGACCTAAAACAAAACGTTGCAGTATGGAGTGATTACTTCGCAGGACTCGGCTATTTTGTTCTCATCCCCGGGTTTCCATTTTCCCTCCTCCCAACTGTCAAGACAGCATTCTGGGGCCCAGAGCATGCTGAGTCCTCACTGGGCAGTTTTTCTGTCCCACCCACACTTGCAAGCCAACGTTTTCCCCCTAAAGATTAGTTGTACTTCTGAAAACCTTGGAGTTTGTCCAAACCAGGTGATGCTTCTCTTTTGGGTATGGGTGGTGCTGTTTTGGATCCACAAGCAATAGCACTTCAAGCCCAAATGTTGAAAACAGAGCAGATGCTGTTAAATGCTGGTGGGGAAAGTTGGTAATGCCTGTCTAGCTAGAAGAACTAGGGAAACTGAAATAAAAAGTTACCATAATACTACTTTGGCAGTGCTGTTCTGATAAATTCCTATTTATGTTTCCAGGGTTACTTGGTGCTTCAGTTTAAATTGAGACACGGTGAATGTGTTGCTAGGAATAGATCATGCAACAGGCTCCAGGGACAGTGTTGTCTTTTTAAACCTTTTCTATGCATAATTCAGACTGCTGGTTTATCATCTATAAAGCCCTGTAGAATTTATGCCAATGCTTGAATTACAAGTTAAAATACATTCATATAGGCATATAACTAAGGCCACAAAAGTTCATAGCCTGCAAAAAATCGGTTAGCTTGTGGACTGACTCCCTCCTCCAGCAACAGCCCATTTGGTTTCTATACTGGGTGTGGAGGAGTGATGGGGTCCTCCATTCAGCCTCTGCATGTTCACTAAATGTGCCATTCCTTGTCACAAATGGCTGCTGGGTAGAGGATTAACTATAAGGCTGCACTACCATGGTTTACATTACAGTAAAGCAGTGAAATATGCTTCCTTTTATGTTTCAGAAATAATTCCTGGAAACATCTTCTATTAATATTTAAAGGTAGTAGCTACTACTGCATCATTCTCCTTAAAAAGAAAAGCTACCAAAGATTATGTTTCTGCTCTAAATAATAGTAGCTTGGAGGAAGCTGAAGGTGTTCCTCCTAAACCCTTTTCCCCTCCTCAAGCTGCTTTTTTCAGCCCAGCTTCTGTTTCTTAATCCATAAATTTACACCGATGGTTCATAAGAACATAACAAAAAGTGCCGCGCTAAAGGTTTTGAACAGGGTTGAGGAACCTGTGATTCTGGAGAGCCCCAGCCAACATGGCCAATGGGCAGGAATAATTTGATTCATATCCAGCAGCAGCTGCAGGGTCACATATTCCCCACCCCTGGTTTAGAACATCTGGTTCTGGAACCAAAAAATACATATGATCTCTTGTAGGAATTGCTATGGGCAAGGGAAAACATTTCTCTGTAACCAAGCCTTTGGCTGATTGAACAATCTATGGCCTCTTAAATGTGTTTGTTGTTTATCCCCCAGAGAGTGGGTGAGGGTGCTTTCACTTGATGTGCATGACCTGATTTGTTTTCCCACACCAGCAACACTCCCTACCAACTCCTTTTCAGAAAGCTGTCATCAGTGCATGCACAAAAGGCTGTCTGAACTGTACACACATCCGCTTAACCTCAGCTTGTGTTTTCACATAGGATGGAGGCCAGGGTTTTTTTTTGGGGGGGGGGGGGAGACGCATCAAAGGGGAGCATTTCTCAAGAAACTACAGGACACAGATGGATTGTCACTAACTAGCAGTGGAAGCACATTGGAAGCAGAGTAGATAGTAATGTGCAAATACCCTCAAAAACACCGAAAGAGCTTCTCGTGTGGACAAGTATTTTATCAACAAGGTTAAACCAGAATGAATTCACAATTCCAGCCCTGTCCCCCAGTATCAATGTATTTTCTAGACATGCAGTAAGGCTTCTCCACCTGCAAGGGCTATTCCCATTCATTTCATGTAATTGGTGTGAGCATTTCTAAATGGGTGTGAATGTGCTCCCCTCCTGCTAATGAAATTAACAAAACCCATGCACAGAAGAAATCAGTGTGTGCATCACAGCACACACAAATCTCTGGAGCAAATTTTAAAAAGGCAAATTCTTTACTGTCTCTTGAAATCTGCTGGTACCACCAGTATCTGCTGGTACTGTTATTGTAAGATTTCTTTTTCCTGGACTAAACACCCCCCCTCTCTCCCAGGTACCATATATGCTCTTTTTGAATGAATACTGCAAAACATTTTATGGGGTTTCTTCCATGTTTGGACCTTGCTTCTCCAGGAGTTGGTAACTGAGTCAAAGAAACATGCATCTGGCTCCAGTTTAGGCATGGCCATACCTGCACAGTCAGTTGAGGTCAGGAAGATCTTGAGTCACCTTTTCCATGATTTGCAACCCCTGAAACAAATGAGATGGAAAATGCCATTCAGCGTACAGGTTCGCTTATAAATAAATATCCACAGATGTTCAGCAGAACTCCAAACAGGACAGAAAAGGCAAATTTACAGATTTTTTAAATAGATCTGAAAGAGTCTTCAAACTTGCTCAATTTTTAATTGGGTGTCTTTTTTCTCCTGCCACTAAGGCCCTGTTGTTCAGTCATAGAATCATAGAACTGTAGGGTTGGAAGGGACCACAAGGGTCATGTAGTCCAAGTCCCTGCAATGCCGGAATCTTTTACCCAACATGGGGCTCAAACCCACAACCCCGGGATTAAGAGTCTCATGCTCCGCCCACTGAGCTATCCGCAGGGTTTTTAGGATATGTTCTATTCCATTAAGATTGCATGGAAGAAGAGAGAGTAGGCAATGACCCCTGATCCCAGCCCCTGCCAACCCCATTTCCCAAAACCTCTCACACATTGGAGAGATGTATTCAATGGGGAATGGTGCTGATTGTGCAAAGGCTGGAACTTATGCAGGCGCATGATCCCCTTATCAGCCCTTGTCAATGGTGGCTGGCTGTAGCAGTGTGCATTGCTTCCGTGCCTGCTGCCACCTTTTATCTCCTTAGGAGATGGATTCAGTAACAAAACACATAATACATGGCACTCATAGAGCACTTCAATTCCATTACTGCCATCATGTTAGGGTTTCTCTGGAAGATTATTTTATTATTATTATTATGGGGTGCGGGTGGCGCTGTGGGTTAAATCACAGAGCCTAGGGCTTGCCGATCAGAAGGTCAGCGGTTTGAATCCCCGTGACGGGGTGAGCTCCCATTGTTCGGTCCCTGCTCCTGCCAACCTAGCAGTTCGAAAGCACGAAGTGCAAGTAGATAAATCGGTACCACTCCAGCGGGAAGGTAAACGGCGTTTCCGTGCACTGCTCTGGTTCACCAGAAGCAGCTCTGTCATGCTGGCCACATGACCCAGAAGCTGTACGCCGGCTCCTTCGGCCAGTCGTCCGCGAATGGACCTAACGGTCAGGGGTCCCTTTGCTTTTTATTATTATTATTTATTAACTACACTCTGAAGCTGCACTTGGTATACTTAAGTAAAGCTTCGACTGGCTTTGATGGTGATTAGGGTCCCGCAAAGCAGGGATGGCGAACCTTAGCCAGCCTCCATCTATCTGCCAGTAAGTGGCTGTCAGCTTCCTCCTCCTCAGTCTCAGTGTTGCCCCTTGTAGGAAGCAGGAAGGAGGATTGGAACAAAACTAGATTTGAATTGACTTTGCCTGTATAACTCCCTCTCGGCCTCGCTGATGTGGTCCAAAGGAACGCAGAGCAATACATTTGGCACCAGCTTGGCTGCAGGAGTTGCCTGAAGGAGGCATGCGAGGCGACATCCAACGGTCTTAGGGACTCCACTGAATACAATTCATAGCTTGCAAAGACCTGTACTTACCATTGAATCAGAACTCCCAGTAACAGGCCACCCGGTCAGAATATCCTGACTTGCAGTTGATGGCGTCCCCGTTTTTATTCCAGTTTGGTTCCCTATAATTAACGGGGGGGGGGGGAGAGAATAAAAAGTAAAAGCAAAAGCTGGAAATTTTGCCATGGGAAAATGAAAAAAACAAACAAACCTTCCACCAATTAAAGGAATCTGGAGTGCTCACCGTTTACCCTGGGGTATTTCATCGCCTGCTGAATTTCATTCAGTGGTACTGCTGGTGATGGAATGATGACTGCATTATGATTCATCTGTATATATTTTTTTCAAAGGAATTGAACATAAGGTGATGAGATTGTAAAGTTGCATCAGTTATAAATAACACGCCTACCTATACATCTGGGTGCCCTCTTTGCCATTACTGTTTTGTTTGCCATGAATTGTATCCTGGACATCGGTGAACTAGCAACATTTGGAGCCATTGGATAAATTCCAGGTGTTAAATTTCTAGAACGAGAGGCACCAGCACTTGAGCTTGGCTGGAAGTCACCTTTTCTGACCTATCAGCTCTCCCAGTGGATGCTTGAGGTGGAGTGACAGGAAGCACTTACGGGAAGCACACTCTGTGCATGCTGAAGGCCACTCTCCTGGGTTACGTTCCGCATCCTGGAACTGAGCTCTGCCTCAACAGAAGCCCCGCAAACCTCACTTTCTAAAATGAACCACAATCCCATTAGTTGAAGTTGAAATATTACGAATACTGAACACAAACACGTCCCATTGTTTCCATGCTCTGCTTCCTCCTCTCACATGGAGAAAACAGTAATTATTCTCCTGGCAGAAACACCCTCTCTGTTGTCAGAGCTTAATTTGAGAGATGGCTCACTAGAACTTGGTCCCAATATCAGCATGTTATGCCAGGATGCACATATACCTTCAGGGTATTTGTGATATAATTGCCATCCATGTGGAAGGTGGTTTGCAGGGGCACCAAAGGGCAGGTCCCTGCCCCAGGGAGCTTGCAATCATACCAAACAGAGGTGAGGAACCTTTGGCCTGTTGGTTATTGTTGAACTGCAACTCCCATCACCCATCGAGGATTGCCAATAGCCAGGGATGACGGGAGTTGTAGGCAGCAACATTTGAGAGGCGGGTAGGCTCCCAACACCTGCTCTAGAACATGTAAAGAGTGATGCTCTTGCATTTGCAGTGATGTGCCCAGCTTAAGGCACATTTTCCAGCCTCTTATTTCTGGGCACTGCTTCTTAATAGTGCATGCAAATACAAGCCTTTCTTTTTTAAAAAAAAATTAAAAAATCTCAGGATAATGGGTCTCCTCCTTTGCTCTATAGTAGTGCTAGACCCAATCCTGCAGCAGCAGAGTCTTCCTTGTAGGATGCCACAGAAGCATTGCAGCAAGAGAGAAAGCCTGCTTGCTTCTGTGAAGTGTTTGTGAGAGAGAGTGTGCATGCAAAGGAGAGAGGTGTGCAGCCTAAGTGCTGGAAATGGGGTGTGCCCATTTGACCAAGGGATTTTTATTTTTAAAAAATATATATTAATAAACAAGAAGGCAATCTTCGAAATGGCAGGGCATCGCTGTAGGGGTTAATAAAATGAAATATAACTACCCAAAAATGAAAGGGTTGCAACAAACGTTTATGGATTAAAATGAGTAAGTAGCGCAGTGACCTTTATCAAACAAGTGAAGTGGGAGGGGAAGGAACTGTGTGTTGTTATTAATGATGTCACAAGCACAATCCAGTAAATCACGGATGGGGAAACTGTAGCCTCAACCCACCAGCTATTATTGGACTCCAACTCCCACCAGCCACAGCCAGCATGCCCAAGGGCAGGAATGTTGGGAGTTGTAGTCCGGCAACATTTGGAGTGCCACAGGTTCCCTACCTCTTAAGTAGCCACTCAAACACTTCTACACCTACGTTTAACTACTGCTGGTGGGAGGAGGATTAAAAGCTGGTTTGCCACTAAGAGGAAAGCAAGGGGAGAATAACGTTTTCCACATTTCAAAAAATGCATCATGTGTACAAGCAACTTGGACCATCCTGCAGGTGCCTACAGATTTACACCAGCCTTTGCCAACTCCAGCTCTTTTTGGACTACAACTCCCATCAGCCTCAAGCAGCATGTGCCAGCTGAGGCTGATGGGAGTTGTAGTCCAAAAAGCTGGAGTGCCTCATTTTGGCAACAGCTGCTTTACCTTGTCAAGTCAGTGCTCAACCACCTAAGCCACACATTGCTAGGTCACTTTCACAACTACAGCAGAAGGAGCAGCATCTGTGAGCACATCCTCTTATAAAGCTGGCACCCAAAGATCCAAGGCTTGGCCATGAAATAAGTCAAAATCTCACATAAACTGGAACACACACTGTCTTCGTCACTCAATATGCCAATTCTCACACCACTTCACTTTGTGGCCACTAGGGAATAAAAAGCCAGCCACATTTCAAGGGAATCCTGCTGGAGCCAATAGGATTATTCTGCGATACATGGCTGGAAGACTGCAGGCTCATTATTCTGCATTTTTGCTCGTCTCATCTATGCAATTTTCACTAGCTTCCCTGCTTCAGAATGCTCAGGTGTAGACAATCAGAGGCAAAGGGGGAAGAAAGAATTGCTATATTGGCCTTGCATGTCATGCCTTCCAACATGACAAGTCTTCATTGGGCAGTGGATACACTTCTAAGGTTCAGGATGAAATTACACAACATAGGTGTGAATGTGTGCAATGAAGCAGCTTCCTCTTCTACCCCGGGGGTGGGGTGGGGGAGCTCCACGGAAATGTCTATTTGGGGAGAGAAGCTGTGGCAGGAGGAGGTACTCAATCTGTCTAACACCCAGTGCGCTCTCTCTCTCTTTTTTTTTTTTTTAGAAAAACAGGTGCCCATGAAGTTGTTACAGTAAGTGCCACACTTTTTAACAACAACAACAACAACAACAACAAAAGAGATGCCGGTACTACATACCCTTGAGTACCCCAGGAGAGAGAAAAACACTGCTAGCACCCATCACATTCCTTGCAACCCCCAGGGAATTCCAGCCTATTTTTGAAAGAAAAAAACCCAACCACCCATATCTGGAACTCCTAATATCTGCTTTTCTCAAGAAGTGGCTTCATGCTGTGTGTATGTGTGCTCTTGTTCACATCCATTTGCACATAATGAGTAGTTGGTCCTCAAGCGACACATACACAAACACACAAATATCTAGTGCTCTACTCACTTGTTGGGAATGGTGTTGAAATTTCTTCCTATTACTTGAAGACTTTAAGAAACTTGGATGACAGCCTAGAGGGGACAAACAGGAAAAAGATTTTTCCCTCCGCAGGGAATTCCCCTGAATCCATTTTTTTTTTACAAATGACAAGGCATGACACAACTGCTTTTCATTCATAAGTGAAACATGTGTAGAGTTAGATCAGATGCAAGCCTAACCTGGATAGAAAAGTAATCTCAGTTACCGAACATTCTCAATTCTCTTCTCTAGATACCTGCTTTTGTCTACCTTGTGTAGGGTGGCCACTTATGCATTGCAAAAAAAGAAAATAAAAGAAAAAGAAAATGTAGCACCAAGGGAAAAGAAAGAAGTGGATAGGTATTTGCATATGTTAATATATATGCACATGTGTCAATAATTATTATAATTTAAACATAAATAGACCAAGATACAGAAGATATAGTCACATACATTACTATCAGATGAGCATGATAAAATGTACATCTGATTTTTCATAAGTCCTCTTTGTGGCAGAAATTAGGGGCAGGCAAGTCAGGCGAGCACCTGTAATGTCAAGATTGGTGATGCACTGAGCATAGAGGACAGTGGGCTCAGGGGGTGCCTGTCTTGGGCTGTCTATTCTGATATCCCCTCAACAAGCAGTAGCAAAAGTTAGTACAGTTTTGTTTTCCCTTGTGAAGCTGGCAATTAACTTGTGCGGCCACTGCTGCATTAAAGTTCTTCTCTTTCTCTCACATGCAGGAAAGTTTACAACATCAGTCAGTGCGCTTTCAAGAAACACCATCGGTGGGAATGATTATAATCAAATCTGTGCATATTATGTGCATTGTCTTATGCGACAGAGATAAATGTGTGGAAACTCTGCATCAAAATCATGTAACAGATAGAAGTTGAACAAATGGGGGCAAGTTTATCATCTGACCTCCAAAATCACCAAATAATCTATCCCTCCTAATTCGGCACTTGCCTTATTATCACTAGATTTGACCCCAAAATCCACCCTTAACTCTAAAGAATTAATTTCCTTCCTGTTCACAACAGCTAGACTAGTTATTGCCCAACAATGGAAAGGAACATCTAATATACCAACAGAGGCTTGGGTTAATAACATCTGGAGTATTACTCTATCAGAACACCTCACAGACCATTGGCAACAAATCAAAGGCATCTCTGAAAAAGATACCTTTGATATACCGTAATCTGGTCTCCCTTTTTCTCTTTTATTGAAGAAAAACAGGATGTTTTAATGCCATCATCAGGTTCATTGAAAATGTTGTGCTTGAACTTTTGAATAAATGTGTGTTTTTTAATTTAAAAAAAGACATCGAAGAATTGGAGGTCACCAAAGACCTCCCTTTGTCTAGGGCTGGCCTAGCCACTCTCTTCTACTTACAATCCCATATGAATAATAAGTAAGAGTGTCACCTCTAAATGCATCCTTGCAGTCAATAAATAGCTGGGTGTGCATCTGAGAGCTTCCAATCTCTGTTTAGCATGAATTTCAATGGGCAGCCTTGGATAAGAAACATTTCCTCAGTCTAATGTCCCTCACAAGGCTGTTGTGACGTGAAAGTGAAAACCTTCCATGTGCCGCACATTAATGCGACGGGGACAGATAGCTCTGTGAACAGAGCTTTCCAAGTTACTCAGCTGAATTAGATTCTGGCTGGTTTTGGAATGAGCATTGCTCTATGGCACCATCTAGAGGTTGCCTGCCAGCACAGCATACCACAGCTGCTGCCAGCTGTATACATTGCTATCCAACATATTTATACAGTGGTACCTCGGGTTAAGTACTTAATTTGTTCCGGAGGTCCGTTCTTAACCTGAAACTGTTCTTAACCAGAAGCACCACTTTAGCCTATGGGGGCCTCCTGCTGCCGCCGCACCGCCAGAACCCGATTTCTGTTCTTATCCTGAAGCAAAGTTCTTAGCTCAAGGTACTATTTCTGGGTTAGTGGAGTGTGTAACCTGAAGCGTGTGTAACCTGAAGCGTATGTAACCCAAGGTACCACTGTATCTCCCTTCATATTTCTCTTATGTGTCCAGCTGTTTACAAAGACTTCTCTCGCCCATAAAGTTTCTTCTTGGTTTTCCTGGCTGCAGCGTGAATTGATGTTTTAAAGCCCGATTACAACCCCCCCCCCTCATTTGCTACAAAATCATAGGAGTCACGCCTCTTTCTTTTTACCCTTGTCAGTTGTCGCACCATGTTTAGGATTGCCGTAGTTTCCAGAAAGATAATGAAGCCGGTTTATCAAAAACACTCTGGAAAAATCACAAAAGGAGATATGAACTCATGTAGAAATTACTGGAAGGAAAAGTAAGAAGTGAACTCTACATAAGGGTTAGACATTTGAGTACGATGTTTTTTATTAATTTTATCCAATTTATATTGTGTCCTTCCCCCTGAAGAAGCCGAGGGAGCCAATAATGAAACCATTCTAAAAAATGTTCTCTCAAGCAGAGATCTCAGGGTTGCCATGACCAGTGTCCTTCAAACCTTAAATGAATGGATAAACCAAAATATTTTTAAAATCCTCCTAAAAGTCAGTGATGAGGGAGACAGACATACTTCACCAGGGATGGCAGTCCACAAATAGCCACCAAAAAGGCCTTGTCACAGGTCAACCAGACAGCACGCCATGGACATACAGCCAAGAAGGCCTCACCTGCTGATCGTAGGGTCCGAGATAGCTGGTTTTGGGGGAAGGCATACTTTTAGGTACTCGGGTCCCAACAAGCTATTAAAGGCTTTATATACTAGTACTAGCACCATAAATTAGGCCCAGAAGCTCACTGACAGGGCCAAGGCAAGACTTTTTGCTGCCTGAGGTAAAGTTGGAAATGACCCCAACAAATCAAGGTGTCTATAGTACCCAACACCAGCCAGGTTATTTTGGTACCCGAGGCAGAAAATCTCACCATGCAACTCTCCATACCCTGGAAGTAATTATATAATAATAGTAAATTATGTCGATACCTTTACATTTAGCTGCCCTTTCATGACACCCACGATCAGCTGCCTCACTTTGCCTAGTTATATGGCAGTTATAGCTACCTTACAGTTCATATCTGAAGGAGAACCTAAGCAAGTCACACTTTCTGAAACCCTACACACTCTGAAACACAGCCAGCCCTCAAAATTCAGACGTCTGTTAATTTTGCAATGCCGTTCTGCATGCAAACAATGTGTACACATATGATCATACACAATGTGCACACAAATGCCTTTATTACCGGAAATAACATACTGAAATACATTATATGAAGCAAAACTGTGTATATGAAATAAAACTGCATACAAAATTGTGATATTGGGAAGTATTGGCACTGATAGGCCTACAAATTGTCATGGGGATTTTTAAAAATTTGCAAACTGATGAGAAAATGTAGAGAACTGAGTTTAAGACTGGAAGAACAAGAAACCAAAATTGTCAGATTCACCCACTTACAGGCTGAAGGACAGATATAGGACACCACAGGATAACAGAGGCATTCACATCCTACTTTCTCTGCAAGAGTATTTCTTAACTTGTGAACAGGCAAGAGAACAGAACACTCCAGAACAGAGCAACAGCCCTGTTTGAATGACAGAAGAACCACATTGGAGGCTAAGCTGGAAGGAGGAAAATCCAGACTGACATCTGAAGGGCTTGAAAATACATAAAATCGCTAACCCTGAAGACATGATGGATTGGATAATGTGCAGTCTGGATGCTTGCCAGATCAATATTTAAAATGCAAGAAACGCTGTGAAGAGCTACAGCAACAGAAAAGGCATTACCATCAATTCAGAAGTAGTTTCACTCCCTCGCCTTTCCCACAAATTATGCCCAGCCAAGGAACATAATTTGCTGCTTGGAGTTCCCCCTGACTTGTGGAATGGTAGTATAATATCTGTTTGTCTGGCTATGAGTAATATTAATGGAGGGCTTCTAGAGGGTGGGCAAGGAGGGCAAGGTATATATGGAGTTCACTGCAGCTTGAGATACTTTTAACTAGTGCAGTAGGCTACAAGGGGCAGGGCATCACTGCTGCTCCATTGCAGCAGTAACATCCATTCCTATTTATCTTAAAAGCTTATAGAGGCAGTTTATAGAGGAGCGGTGAATTCTGCGCGCACACACACACACACACACACACTCCCTCTGGTCACACCCTTCCAATACAGGGGTTTTTCTTAGGTTTGGAAGGATCAGTATGGCTACAGTGCTGTGCCATCTCCCTGGAGAGGTCTGTGAAACTATAGTGTTCCAAAATTAAGGAAACTTAACTATGTACAACAGGAGTGTTTATAGTGGCAGACCCTCTCAGAGGTCCAGAGGCCAGGACCATTTCTGAAACCCCTGCAGCCGTAATAAAGGTAAAAAAATGATAAGCACAGAGAAACAAAATAATGCACCCCAAAACAAGAGTGGTTTGTTTCTATATTCAGGTTGGATTATATTGTGCTTGGGGTCCCTTTCTACTCTACAATTCTATTATTAGACTGTCTCGCCGGAGTGGTGCATGCTTCATTTAACACCGGTCCTGAAAGATCTTCATTGGCTCCCAGGAGTTTCCGAGCACAGTTCAAAGTGTTGGTGCTGACCTTTAAAGCCCTAAACGGCCTCAGCCCAGTATACCTGAAGGAGCATCTCCACCTCCATCGTTCAGCCCAGACAGTGAGGTCCAGCACCAAAGGACTTTTGGCGGTTCCCTCACTGTGACATGTGAGGTTTCAGGGAACCAGGCACAGGGCCTTCTCGGTAGCAGCGTCCACCCTCTGGAACGCCCTCCCATCAGATGTCAAGGAAATAAACAACTATCTGGCTTTTAGAAGGCATCTGAAGGCAGCCCTGTATCGGGAAATTTTTAATGCCTAATGTTCTACATCTTTTTATGTGCTGTAAGCCGCCCAGAGTGGCTGGGGAAACCCAGCCAGATGGGTGGGGTATAAATATTATTATTATTATTATTATTATTATTATTATTACTATTATTACTATTATTATTATTTCTATGATCTGACTGGAGGTTCTACATCCCTGACTTCAAAACGTACATCACCTGGTTTCCTGACGTGTCAGATTGAAAGCTATTTAAAAAATTACCCCAAGCTATGGTGGTCTGTTGTTTGATCTGACCATGGTGCTCTTTCAGTTTGTAATTATTTGCCTTGCTTTGATCATTGTCATCTTTCTTTTACAATCAGGAGAGCCATTCTGAGAATTTCTAACGAAGAGAAGGATATCTAAATAAAACAAATGACTCTACACTGAAACAGTGGAATTGTACAGAAAGGGCAAATACCAAGTGACCAGCCCTCAGGCAGGTGCAGGGCTGTTATGGAGAACGTTCCTCACAGGAGCTGCCTCTCCTACATGACTCTCTTATACAAGCATTTCCAGAGCAGCATTGGATCCAGGCAGCTGCAGTGCCACACTCATAACATACGAATCAGGCCTGTTTTCTCCCTTGTGCCATTTCAGGATTTGCTAATGGTCTGTATGGGACAGAAGTTTAGCTTACAGGAACTATGATGCTATAGGCTGCCACAACTGAGACCCCAAGCTCATCTATGTGTCTGTTTAAATCGTATTTTTGCTGATGGACACAACTCCTATTTTCTGATCTGTCATATAGCAAATATGAGCAGCTGTTTTTCATTATAAGATGAAATTTGGCATAAACAATGAGATCATTTTCTCCTTACTGACAGCATGTACATAAAATTTAAAAAACAACAACAACACCACACACACACACACAGAATTAACTCTATTCTTACTCACAAGAAAGGATATCAAAGCACGACTCTTAAGCTGACCACCCAGGATCTTCCAAGATTTGAGGATTGCTTCACTGCTTGCTTGTTTAAATATATTCCACAACTGCTAGATTTGTTATTATAAGCATAAGATGCACTGCAAGTTTTTCTACCATCTATCATTAACTATAAATGATGCACACAATTTTCTCAAGGCCTTCTCATTATACAGTTGGTGCCATTCCATTAACCATCTCTTCCCGCATTACTACTTGCACACAATTACTTTAGACACAGGACCATAAGCAGCAAGTAAGAACCCTTTCAAATACTTACACATAATTCAAATCTGCAGAAAAAGCTCTTGCTGTTGGATGACATTTTTTTTACCACCCTTGATTGGTGCTTTCTGCAGAGCGTCAAACTGGTTAGGCTTGATGGTCAGGCTTGGATAGTAGAATGAAGGACCACTAGCTAGTATGGGCACACTCAGGATGTGCATGCATGCTCTCTTGGTACTTAGTCAACAGAAGAGAATCAACAAATTAGAAGCTGGGGACAACCACAAAAGGAAACGCCTACTGGGATGAATGGGAGAGATTAAAGTTGCTTCTCAGATACAGATTCAAATGTTTGTGGGTCTATTCAAATGGGGAAAAGGTTGATTAACAGCCAAATAATGCTCAAATGGGGACAGGCCTGTTGTTTTTTACCAAACCTGCTAATGTTCAGGATCTGGGATGAAAGCTTTCACATAATTCTTCAGTGCAAGATGAAAGTTGGACAAAACAAAAATAGGATTTAAAAATAAAACTGCCACAGATCTCAGTGCTATCCTAGTGAATCTGAGAGCCTCGAATACAATCACTAGGTTGAAGAAAAACTATATTCTAGTGATATATGACAAACACAAACATTTTCAACAAATTAACAAGATCATGTGGCCAAGACAAGTAAAACGCTGCCTTAAGCATCCATTTGACTCACCGACACCTAACAATATAACACTGACTCATAAACTTTCACCCGGTATTCTTAAGCCTCGAATGACAAATAAGACCTTGTTAGCTGTATGATGTTAATCCATATTTATCTCACTGACGTTAAATCGTTTTTGTGAGGTAATGTGCTTTGTATCTCAGCAACCAACCGGCTGTTTTTTAGGACGTGTATCTAAGAGTTCCATGTTTGCTTTCAGACAGCACTAATTGGATCCAGAGCTGTATAGCAAGGAGCACAAATTCAGGACAAACAAACAACCAAACATGTCAAAGGGAGGGATATCAAAGCCCAAGGTTAGTTGCTCATCCTTTCCACACCCTTCTAGATTTAGCTACCTGCCTGATGAGAGCATTTTTGCTTTCTTTACACACACAAAAAGCAGTTAGGCCCAACTTTTAGGGTGTCAAAGGCCAGTTTCATGACAGCCAGTTATCTGCAGTTTTGTGCAAAAAATCTTTGGCTTGAAGTTTTACGGACGATCACTTTTACCAGTGCCAGTCCAAGACTTTTTTCGGCCTGAGTACCACCCCTTTAAAAGGGAACAAGTCCCATTCAACTTAGCAGGATTTACTTGTGAGTAGACAGGCAGAAGATGGCACTGTCAAGACGACGATTCTTGCTTTCATCATCTTCCCCCTGCCCTTTCTTCATGGGCCAGCTTTGACCTTCCTGTAAGAAAATGCTTACTCTGGAGGGTGAGGCTTGTGGATCCTGGTAGGAGAGGAGGGGGTAACGTGGCAATATGCAGAGCCATCCAGCTTTTTATTTCCATAAGCCCCAGAATAGGTGGTGGAGCAGCTGGCGTCTTCTTGCGTGTGCTGTTCCCAGGCTCGGCCTGCATGGCGTTTGATCTCTTCGAAAGCTTCAGAAGAAAGAGGGCTGAAGGGCAGCGTCAGCCCGGGAGCCAAGAACACATACTTGGCCATGTGGAGGCCTCCTTCAAAGCCAAACTGCAATATTACGTAACTTTTAAGCAATTCTTTCTCCCTGCTGTTGTCAGTAACTTCACTTGCTTGTGTGGCCCGGCCTACTTAGAGGAAGTGGGGGGGGGGGGCGGGCGGGGAGAAAGGCCTTGCTCTTGTTCATAAAGGTTGCTAAGCAACAGGTCCTGGAATCAGAAGCATTGTGTACATCAGATAAAGAAAAAAAGGCAGAGGGGCAAAAGAGTTTCAAAGAATAACCGATATCCAGCACAGGCTTCAGAGAGCGTGTTGACCTGCTCACAAGGAAATGTGAATAGGATCATGCTCTAAAGCCCACCATGTTCAATGGCGCTGTGGGTTTCTTTGTCGCTGACTCCCCGTTTTACCACCTCCTCAGGTATAGTGTCTTCCACTCCCAGCAGGTAGTTAATTTGGAGTTGCCACTGCTCCTAGCTCCCTACTCACTATCACCAGTTTGGATTGGGCTTCCCACTTTAGCCCCCAAGGCAGGAGCAGAGGAATGTCTGGCTTATGGGTTGCTTTGGGCCCACATCCTGCCATCCTGTCCCTTCTCACACAGCAACTAAGCATAGGGGGAACATTTCCCATTGGATAGCTGGCATAGCTCAGTTGATGGGAGCATGAGACTCTTAAGCTCAGGGTTGTGGGTTCGAGTTCCACGCTGGACTAGATGACCCTTGGGGAACCTTCCAGCTCTATGATAACAGTAAAAGGTAAAGGTAAAGGGACCCCTGACCATTAGGTCCAGTCATGACCGACTTGGGTTGCGGCGCTCATCTTGCTTTACTGGCCGAGGGAGCTGGCGTACAGCTTCCGGGTCATGTGGCCAGCATAACTAAGCCACTTCTGGAGAACCAGAGCAGTGCACAGAAACACCGTTTACCTTCCCACCGGAGTGGTACCTATTTATCTACTTGCACTTTGACATGCTTTCGAACTGCTAGGTGGGCAGGAGCAGAGACCGAGCAATGGGAGCTCACCCCATCGCGGGGATTCGAATCACGGACCTTCTGATTGGCAAGTCCTAGGCTCTGTGGTTTAACAGTAGGAGCTTCCAATTTGCTGGAGGTTTATTTTCCCAGCAGCTGTGGAAAAATGTGATGAATGAATACTCCCTTTTGCTGTGTGGGATGTTGGGGGGTTAGAGGGAGTATGTGTGAGAGAAAGTGGGGGGCAGGGAGGGAGTATGTGTGAAAGATAAAAAGTGTTGGTGATGATTTTGACACCATCACTATCCCTAGTCTTCCTTCCCTCCACCAAATAGCGGCTTCTCAGGCACTGCATGAAAGGCAGCACACAACTTTGGTTTTACTAAACCATCCTTTTCCATCCAGTCCCAAAAGGAAAGAAAAAAATGAGTTGCTTTTCAACAGATATTATCTGGTTACATTTTCACGAAGGTGTTCTACTGTACCACTACTGTAAAAAAATAAAAATAAACGAACCAAACATTTAATAATATGGTTGTGCTTTTGGGGGGGTTTTGAGAATGGCCTTGTTTATTTTAGTACAGCATGGAAAACAAGAGTACGAAATGAAAATAAACACGCAAAGCAAGATGGGAGGTGAAAGAACACAAGCAAAGGATTAGAAAGGAAGAGAGTGTATGTGGCAGCACTACAGAAATAAGGAAGCAATACGCAGGAGGGCTAGACGTATTAAAGGCTACCCCAGCTTGTGTTACAGGAAGTAATGGATTTAGAAAGGTCCAGTGTAGATTAGATATAGCCGGGTGTGGAGGGAGAGGAACTTCCTTATAAGAGCAACACTGACAATATAACAGCCAAACAATGGATCGTTCAAGCTCCTGAACTTGAAGGAGAAAAATGAGTTTTTATGTATGCAGTGCAGTAGCTAGCAGTTAACTATCAGGAAAATCATGTGCTTTACAGCTTGTTATTTTATCCCAGTTGAAGATCATCACTAGCTTGCATTGTTTGGAGTACTTCTCCATGGTCTTTGTTCTAAGTCTCCTTTTTTATAACTAATCTGAGGCACTGAAGCCTTGGTCCTTGGCACTAAAATACATCAGCAGGAATGACAGTAATACTAGCCTGAAGAATCAGGGTCAGCATGCATGCAGCATAAGTAGACTGATCTTATGCATGCTTACCCCACAGGAGCAACCTTTGCTATCAGTGAGGCACGTTCTCAAATATACAGGTATAGGATCGCAACCTAAGCATGAATGAAGACCCACATGTTCACCCTCATGACACAAATGGACCCCGTGCATGCCATCTGGGGCAGAAGGAATTGAGGTCCATGGGTTTGCAGCACACTGGTGCAACAGTAGTTATGCATCATCATGCTGCTGTAACAGATCTTAGGGTGAAACTCAAGGACTAACATGGTTGTACAATAAGTTGGCTTGCAAAAAGCATTATGTCCCTGTTATGCACACAAAGATTCGCCATGCTCTTTTAATCCATATTATCTCTAAGTTGCTGTATAAACAGAATTAAGGACTTCTAAATTAAACTTATTAAAAATAAACCAATGTCTAATTCACTCTTACCCTTTTATTGGTACATTATAATCAATAAAATTCAAGCAGTTGGAAGTTTCGACCAATGAAGATGATTGGGCAAGTGCTGATGACTGAGGCAAATATTAAGACATGACTGTGCTCACTGCTGATATTCTCTCTAACATCCCCTGCAGATTAGAAAGAAATTTGAACTGACAGTAAAGCACTTGTGTACCATTACAACTGCATACCTTTAAACATGCTGTAAATAAAAAGGATAGACTTTACAGAACATTTTTGTTACCAGGTAAAAGTGTGCAGATTCACTGAAATAGAACAATTTATGCCTTAGAAAACTGTAATGTACAGGTAATTGGTGAAAATCAGGTCATGTACAAAGGTGAATGTTAAGATCTTTCTTTAAAAGCTTTGAGCAATAGGTCTGCAGCCAGCCCTGGAGAGAGAATTCCACTGACAACCTTTTCTTCCAGAAGTGGAATCTGATCTCTCACTGCCAAGTGACTCCGGAAATGATCCAGCATGCTTTCTTGGATTACATTCCACATCCACACTTTTTGCTGTCTCCTTCGCTTGGTCATCAACTCGCTGCTTGTAAGCATGAGGTCTCGGAATTCTGTCATCTTATCCCATATGTCAGAGATGCCTTCTCCAGTTTTGGCAGAGATTCGTATTACCTATCAGATTGAGAAGGTTTTTTTCAAGATGCAGGACAAATTAAGGCTATTAGCATTGACCTAAACATTAGTCCTCAGTAACTTATATTCTATAAAACCAGATTCAAACTGCAACAGGCAAGAGCTGCCTTTAAACAAAAAACCTGAAAATCCAAAACTGAATGCTGTACGTCTAAGTAAGTTTTTATGCTAAAGCACTAATCTTCAGCAGGCCAATGTAGACAAGCTAGTTAACCGATAGAGTAGCTTTGTATGGTCCAACACCAAGAAAGTTATGAGCTACATTTGGATCCAAAACAGGGCTTTAAAGGTCAGCACCAACACTCTGAATTGTGCTTGGAAACGTACTAAGAGCCAATGGAGATCTTTTAGGACCGGTGTTATATGGTCCCGGCGGCTGCTCCCAGTCACCAGTCTAGCTGCCACATTCTGGATTAGTTGTAGTTTCCAAGTAACCTTCAAAGACATTATCCCTTTGCCTTTTGAAGTAACCTTTCAAAAAGCACATCTCCCAAAACTGAACCTTGGAGGGCTCAACTTTCTACATCCCTTCATTGTGAGAATTGTCCTCTGTTCCTGCCCTCTGCTTCTCCTTACTTAGCCAGTTCCTGATGAACAGAAGAACCTCTTACTGCATGACTGCTAAGCTTACATAGGTGCCTTTGTTGCAGTACCAAATGTGGAAGAAAACTTTGGTACTTGAAGAACCAGGCAGTTTAAGCTAGTACTGTGCCTAGTGTAGTAATTTCTATAGCATTATCTTTCCTCACCTGTGTCTCATATTTTTTCCTGGCTGAAAAGAAGAGGAAAGGATTATTTTGGATGTACCAACCTTTGGGCTCCAAACCTTTGAGCGCTTACGGAGTAATTTCAGAGCACTGACGTATTCTGCTTGAATTCTCCGTGCCGGTACAACTAGATCTCCGTCAGCTTTGGTTACAGCAACAAGATCAGCCATCTCAATTATACCTCGCTTGATACCCTGAACAGAACAAGAAAGTAACAGAAATCTCAGAGACACTGTCTATAACCAATTAATATCTCCCTCAAATACCCAAAGATCATTTTTAAAACAGAACAACTAGACTTTTAATTGCCATTTCCAGTAACACCCTGAGGACTAGATAAATGAAGAGGGGCAGAAAGAGCCTTCTCAAGCTTTTAAAAGGATTCCCTGATTGTTTAGGCCACTAAGTTCACATGTCTAATATGAAACATTCACACATCCAGGTGTATATAAACATCTGATGGTAAAAGAATTAATTCTAATGCATGCTAGCAAAGGTTTCCAAAAGCAGAAGTAGAGTTATCATTTTAAAGCCATTATAGGATTTCAACCTTGCCAGACAGAAATAGCTCTTAGCCCGAGTTGCACTCCTATAAAATGAGATCAAGAGTTTCATGTCTTTGCAGGTTTGTTCAGAGGACAAGCAAAATAAAATTGGAAAGCACTCTGTCTCCTAAGCATACACAAAAGCATTACAGTGGAACCTCAGGTTAAGAACTTAATTCGTTCTGGAGGTCAGTTCTTAACCTGAAACTGTTCTTAACCTGAGGTACCACTTTAGCTAATGAGGCCTCCTGCTGCTGCCGCGCCGCCACCGTGCGATTTCTGTTCTCATCCTGAAGCAAAGTTCTTAACCCGAGGTACTACTTTTGGGTTAGCAGAGTTTGTAACCTGAAGCGTCTGTAACCTGAAGCGTCTGTAACCCGAGGTACCACTGTAATAAAAATAATGAACTATTGCCCACTCGTATTATAACAGCTTTTTAGGAGACATAAGGATTGTTAGCAAAAACCGGCAATGTCAAAATTAAAAAATGTTTCATTGGTCAGTTCTGGTAGCTCAGGATGACTCAGGAAGACCTCCTACAGTTATGGTCTATATGAAGTTCAGACTTCTGCCAAATGTAGCATTATTACCTGCAGCTCGTCACCTCCTGCTGGTGGCAGTAGCAATACAAACATATCAACCATATCAGCAACAGCAAACTCCGACTGACCCACACCTGAGGATCAAGAGCAGAAATTGACCAGTCACTTTGGAGATACAATGACAAATAATAATAACAATACCAGGGTACGACACTACCAGAGGATGGAAGGAGGGAACCTGAGAGACTTCAACAACTGAGGGTTATGAGAGTAGCAGTAAAACAAATGTTTGCATGCACATCCTAAAAGTTCAAGCAAATTAAGGAATGGGAATAAGTCAATCCACATTATGGAGCTGGGCTGTATTAAATCCCTTCTTGCCTAGGCCGAGTAATTATCGTCCCCTGGGGGATATTCTTCCTGAAGAGTTGTACATACAGGCTCAATTGCACTGCACTGTATTGATGGAGCACCATGGCTGCAGTTTTCCTAGCAATATTTTATCAAAGGGGTGAGGAACCTCTGACCCACATACCTAATTAGGCCTGCCAGGCCTCCCCATTTGCCCTCTAAGGCAGTTTCAGCCAAGCCACACCGACCTGCCCTACACCTGACACAATACACGACGTCAGGTGTGAGGCAGGTAAAAGTGGGATTGGATAAAAGGGGGTTTGCAGGGACTGCTAATCAGTGATACCTGAAAAGCCCTTTGCGCAGCTTTTCTCAAGTGCCAACTATCAGCTGATTATCAGCTGGTGCTTGAAATGATCACCTGATGACATTGCGATACCACCCAGTTGTCAAAATTGGCCTGCAATGTGTGAAGATGAGGATATGACCCACTGACCAGATTCAGTTCGCCACCCATTTTATCACAAAGTAGCACTGATTCCGCTGCACCTACAACTTGGGTTGTCTCTCTCTTCTTGGCTCAGCAGGCCACAATGCAAAGCAGAACTACCGAGCTGTGTCACCATGGAAGAAGCCATGCTGCAGGCTGCATAGAATGGAATGACATTTCACTGACCTACTGTTTCTACAAGAACTATGTCATAGCCTCCTCCTTCACACAGCAGAATGGCTTCATTTGTGGTCCGCGTTACGCCTCCTAGCGTTCCTCTGGTTGGAGAGGGCCTGATGTAAGCATTCATATCTCTCGACAACTCGGTCATTCTCGTCTTATCACCCAAGAGTGAGCCTGAAGCATTGAACAAAAGAAAGAAAAGGGGGGAAGAGTTTCATAACAGTCTAGCCATTCAAAACCTTTACCTATGTCTCCATTAATGCAGACTTATTCTTTGATGAGAACTAGGCTGCAGAGAACAGTCCTTCAAAGAGAACTATTGTGTGCTAAGTTCCTCCACCCAGTTTTGGGTGATTCCCCCCCTCCCAGGGGCCCTTGTACCACATTGCAGACTGTCCACAAAGCGCCCCCCTCCAGCCCTTCTTTTGCAGGAGAGCAGGAAGCTGCAGGGGGGAGGGATTGGAAAGTTTTCTTCTGTTAACTTCCTTCCGTTCATGGTCTTTAGAATAAAAGCCAGCATCCATAATACTGTCAATTAATCTTATGTCTGCTTTCCAACTTCGTTACGACTGTCGCTGAGCTTTCAAGATGAGGCAAGTCACATAATTAAAGAACAGCCAGTAACTGACAGAGCAAAACAACCCACTCAGGTGTAAAGCCCCACCATTTTCCATAGCGCTTTCACCCAGGTAAGGCTACACAGGCTTGCTGCCCAATCTATGTCCCTACAACTGGCAAGGAAAGAAGCATGAGTGATAAGTAATGCATTCACACATACTCACCACCACTGGTGCTAGAGGATGGGTCCACTGCCAAGACAGACACTTTGTGTCCTCTTTCAGTGAGCATTTTCCCAAAGCATTCAATAAATGTTGATTTCCCAGCACCAGGAGGTCCAGACAATCCTAAGTAGGAATATAAAGATCCTTTGTTCTAACGTGCAATCACAACTCTGAGTGCAAGTCTGTCTCCTTACTATGAAAATTGCCTAATAATAATAATAATTTATTATTTATACCCTGCCCATCTGGCTAGGTTTCCCCAGCCACTCTGGGCAGCTCCCAACAGATAAAAACAGAATGAAACATCAAATATTAAAAACTTCCCTAAACAGGCCTACCTTCTGAAGTCTTCTAAAAGTGAGATAGTTGTTTATTTCCTTGACATCTGATGGGAGGGCACTTCACAGGGCGGGCACTACCACCAAGAAGGCCCTCTGCCTGGTTCCCTGTAACCTCACTTCTCACAGTGAGGGAACCGCCAAAAGGCCCTCTGAGCTGGACCTCAGTGTCCGGGCAGAATGTTAGGGGTGGAGACGCACCTTCAGGTATACTGGACCGAGGCCGTTTAGGGCTTTAAAGGTCAGCACCAACACTTTGAATTGTGCTTGGAAACATACTGGGAGCCAATGTAAGTCTTTCAGGAGACTGCTCCCAGTCAGCAGTCTAGCTGCCACATTCTGGATTAGTTGTTCCTTCAATAGGCAATGAGCAAGGGAGGAGTCTTCACTGTGGTGGCACCTCCTTCCCTCAAACTTAGGCAGGCACCATTATTGTTGAGAGACTGGCAACTCCTGAGGCCTCTATGGACATCTTATTCCAGTATGGAATTTAATTTATTCATTTCCAACTTCAGTTGCATGTAGCTTGTATTGTATTACATTATGCTTTTATTATTGTACTTGGCTTTTAAAAATGTTGTACACCACGTTGAGACTGATGTGAAAGGTAGTATAAGAATGTCCCAACATATAAAATAAAAATCCTGAAAAGAAACCTTCCTATACCCAGATAATGTACCAAATGGATACCAATAATATCTGCTTCACTCTTAATTCTTGACCAAAACTCTTCCCTCCAAAGCTATATTTTTTTTCATAATTTTGTTATTGGACAACATACATGTCATGGTTCACTTTTTAAAGAAAATTCACATTCCACATGGTAACTTCCATCTCTAGAAGGAATCACTTAACTCTTCCCATAGCAGCCCACCTTCTGGTTTGTTGACTATTTTTCCTAACCTACAAGAAAGGAATGTCATATACAAGCATGTTTCTTACCGGTTAAGTAAATTATTTTGCTCCAATTAAAAACAACAGCTGATGCACTGTGCTGGCAGAATATTCATAAGAAAATGAGACAGTTCATAGGGAGCAATTTTAGTGGCACGTTAAAAGTAATGGGACTTTGGGGATGACATTCACTGAACTAAACATATTCCATAGGGGACAAGCTGTATAACAGAGGCATTCAGCAATGCATAGTTAGTGTGACATATCACAACCAATCATAAGCTAATAGGTTAGAATTCCTTTTAATTTTAGAATTAATTAAACTGTATTTCTTTAACAACTGACAAGTGAAGACACATTAAATCATCAAAACAGCAATAACTGCACAAACAGAAGAGAACTGACCCACTCTAAAGGCTAGTGGCTTTCCTTTATTTAACTGTTCTTGTTCTCTGTGGTAGGATAGTACCTTCTGAAGGAGCACCTGTGCAATCTCCTTCTTCCTGCTGTGTGTGGATTCTACGAGAGTAATGGCTTCTGCCAGACAGGCCCTGTGTCCTTGAATTAATCCATTGTACAATTTGTCTAGAAGTCTCTGTTCCTGGTCAGAGAGCTCTCGTGTCTGATGTTCCAACACTGCTGGATAACAGAGGCCAGTGTTCAAGCCCTTTGAAGATATCATCCTCCTTGAACAACACCGTTGTAATGAATTCAGCTGCTGGACACATGAAAAAGCAGATCCAGGGCTGGACCTCCAGCAGAAACTGTCAAGACTATTAGGAAACCTTCTCTGAAGAAAACAGAGTGGAAATCGCAGCAGCAGTGATGATCCATTCATTTTGTCTTGATTCAGAGAAATCCGTTTTTTGGAAGCCTAATGGGAGAAGAAAAATGCTTGGTACTTCCACATTTTTAAAGGCTTCATGAAGTGTATTTGAAGCAGCGAAGAGGTACATAGGGAAAGGGTTCGACACCCCCTTGGCTTCTAATTCCACATAATATACTTAGACCCTTAAAGAAGACAAATATCAGGAAAACCTTAGTGGCAGAGATTTCAATTTTATAACAGTCTTGCCTGGCAGCCGTAGGTGAGAAGGAATTTCATGCAGAGGAGTGTGCAGAATCGCATGCAGGCAAGTGGGTAGGTTGGCAGAAGAGCACTTTGTCCCTTCTCTGTGCCCAGCAAACACAGTAGGCTGCTAGAGGAGAGAAAGAGTTCACCTTCCTCTTATGCCACCCCCAGTAGGCTAGCAATTTTTGAGTTTATTTACTAGGCTGTTTTATAATGGTTAAGTTTTTACTTACAATTTCTACGAACCTAATACACACTCTGTGAACTTCACCTCCCCACATCCAGCACTTACTCTCAACCTGCAGATTTTCCAAATCATACAGACAAATTCTCCCTCAATTACTGAACTGCTAGCAACTGAGGACAAAACTAAATGAAACCCGGTTCTCTAAACTGAACATAAGCAAACAAAACAAAAACAAATTGAAGAACGGTAGGAAATGACAAATTAAGTTCTCCACAACATTCCCTGGTAAAGGAACCACAGGTTATTGCCCCTGTTGAGGTGAACTTTAAACTGAAAGTTAATGTACTCTCCATTTGAACAACCCTAACACTCTGGTTGGCCACTCTGAGAAACAGGATACTCAATTAGAGAGGCCTTTAGTCTGATTCAGCAGGGCACTTTATGTTCTCAGAATGACCAACCTGCACACCCATGTTATCTGAACTTAATGGATGCTTCCTATTACATTGTGATATTTGAATTTCTACAATAAAACAGTACTCTTGTGTACACAGAGGGCTCTCTTCCATATTCAGGTATTGTGGGTTTATGTATTAGTCCCACCTCCCTACTCCTATTGATTCTCATATTCCAATGTAGTACTGTAATAGTACAGTAATTCTTTTTATTTACCACTCAGAAAATGTTTTAGGTCAAAATGCTTACTTGGAAGTAAGCTCTACTGAAATCAAGAGAACATTACTGAATGAAATCAAGGGAACATTGCTGAATCAACACTTATCAGAATTCTAAAACAGACTAAACATTCTAACATACGCAGACACTTATCTTATATTACAAGGCAATCTGACGCACAACACTGACGGTGGTAATTGTTTTTTTGAAAGAAAAGTACAGATTAGTAAGGGCTTTATCAGTTAACCACACTTCTATCCGGCAACATAGACAACTTAAACTTTCTTCTATAACCTACTGTGAGAGATAAAACCAACAGTAGACTAAAATCCACATTTAAGCATTCCAGTTAAATGATATGCTACCTTCTGAAGTGAAGGAGCCAGTGACCTTTTAAAAAAACAAACAAAACCTAGGCCCCAAGTAACATTGTTACAGTCCAGCAATATTATAGTTTAATTCTCCGGGGGGGGGTTTGAGAGAAGGGGAGGAGACCATCTCTCATATATGTTCTCTCAGATTATGTCACGCTGAACACTTAAATACAGATAACTGGTAATTTATAGCTGCATACACTTCCAAGAGCACAACCCTTGTCATGTTTATTTGGGCTTCCGTGGGGCTTAACCCCCAGGTAAGTGTGCACAGGGTCGCCTCTCAAACCACTGCAAAACCTGTACCCCCCACCATCCTGCACTGGTTTTATTGGTACCTAAGATGGTTTGCGTTTAAGCACCGTGAAAGGACAGAGACCTGTTTCTAAATAGGCAACGCAAATACAACCCCGCCGGGGTCCACCAAACTGGCGGTCCACGAAACCCAGGCGGACGCGGGTCGACTAGCAAACACGCTCCTTCCCGCCCCCCCGCCCGCACCACAACAAGGAAATGACCCCGCTGCTCCGAACCTTTTCACATCCGGGATACGCCAGAGGACGCAAAGCAGCACGCAACTTGAACCGCAACCTCCTCTAGCCTTGACCCCGCCCTGGCCAGCTGCTCCGTGACTATGTCTGCCAAATGCGCCTGCGTAGAAACCGGGCAGCTGCGGAGGCGGGGCGGGGACGTTGCAAGGGAAACTGGAGCTGCTTCCACGCAGGCGCAGTCGGAGGCAGCCATGTCCGTTGGAGTTTGAAAAAAAGTTTTAGACGGCGGTTGTTGTGTCTGCGGAGAGACCTGAATCTGTCTCTTTCTTACAGCGGGGGCAAAGGCAGTCGTTTCACCTCCTCGCGCAAAGGGTGAAAGCAAAGATCCTTCATTTTGGTGTGTGTGTTTTTAATTGCCTTGCAAGTATTTGCTTATTTCATAACGCTTATATATTCCTTGGTTTTTGAATAAATACATAAAATGCTGTCAAAGCGGTTCTTCGGGAGGGACAGAAGCGTCCTGCAGCCTCGTAAGAATACCGATCCCTTGTTGTAGGGAGGGTGAAATTCGAGATATTTATGCCCATTTTTCATGAGAAGGACATAGATAGAGTGGCTTACAACAATCCTGCAGAGTAGACCAGTGTTGCTATCCACCCCAGCGCCCAGCCAAGCGGGGTCGTCTGGAGCGTCTCCACCCCCATCATCCAGCCCAGACACTGAGATCCAGCACTGAGGGCCTTCTGGCGGTTCCCTCGCTGCCAGAAGTGAGGTTCCGGGGAACCAGGCAGAGGGTCTTCTTGGTGGTGGCGCCCTGTTTAGGGAAGTTTTTAATGTTTGACGCTGTATTGTTTTTGATATTTGGTTGGAAGCCGCCCAGAGTGGCTGGGGAGAACCAGTCAGATGGGCGGGGTATAAATAATAAATTATTATTATATTGCATCTATTAAAAAACTGCTCAGAAGAAAGCTGCCCTGAGTTCAGTGGGACTTACTCCCAGGTAAGGGTGTGGGGGGCTATAGCAGTGGTTTTCAGCCAGTGTGCCATGGCACCCTGGGGTTCCTTGAATGAGGGGTGCCACAGGCAACAATGGCCTCTGTCCCTCTTTGCTTCCCTCCCTTCCTCTGATGTTCTCTCGCATCTCTGCCTCCCAAAGGCTTGCAAAGCTGTTTGTTGCAGCAGCCCTGGCTACCAGCTCCGCAGGCGAATGGTGCCTCGGGCTTGCCAGGGGGTGCTGGTTGCCAGCAGAGGCTGCCTCAGAGTAAGCAAGTGGGTGAGGGAGCCCAGCCAGCCAGTCCACCAGCCCTTGCTGTTGGCAATGGACAGAGAAGTGGGAGGCCAGGAAGGCAAGCAGGCACCATGCTGGCCTTTCTTGTGCTTGCCGTGTGCAATGCCTGCCCAGAAGCTGAGTGGCCCCATGCAGGCCCAAAAGCGCCCAAGGTAAGGTGCTGTCCTCACGTTTGGCCATTGGGCCACTAAAGTTGGGGGCATCCTCTTCCCAGGCCCCTGTGGGGCAGTGTGAGGATGCACCCCTCTCTTTAGAGGCAGCTCAGAGACCAGGGGCAGCAGCGGCGGCTGCCCAGAGGACTCACAAGTAGAGGGGAGAGGCCAGGAGGCTGAGGGAACACTCAAGAGTTTGTTCAAAAAATGGTGAGAGGCTGCCAACTCTGCAGGCAAGGGGTGACATAACTGGGTTCATGAGCCCCACAGGAGTGCCGCAGAAAGAATGTAGTTTGTCAAGGGAGCCGTGGACTCAAAAAGGTTGAAAACCTCTGGGCTATAGTGTTTTATCTAGGCAGCCAGGGCTCTTCTGGATGACAATATCTTTTTGCACCAGGTCAGTGAGGACCACTTGTTTTTTAAAATTCTCCTATATACAGAACTCCCTAGGTGCCTTTTGGGTTGTATCTGTAGGTTTTCCCCTCTGTGTCAATTAACTTAGGTCAAGTAAGTGTTGCTTATTTTGTATAATACATGGAAGATGGCTCTTCCTTGGAAGGTTCTGGACTCTCCTACCTTGGAGGTTTCTAACCAGTGGTTGGATGGTAATCTGTCATGGATAGTTTAGCTGAGTTTCCTACACTGCAGGGGGTTGCACTAGAACAAGGACTCCTGAGGTCCTTTCCAGCTCCATGGTTCTATGTTCTTCTGCTTCACCAATATTTCATTATGCTCCTATCATTTTATGTAATTGTATTTTGTATAAATTATAAGATTATAATTCAGACCATGGGAAGCCAAAACAAAAATTATTACAATTTGGAAGACAATTGGACTTTTTTTATTTTAGTTTTTTATTTTTATTGGATTTGATTTGATATGTTAATTAGATGTTTTATTGGAAAAATAATAAACACTTAAAAAAATTATAAGATTATAAATAAAACATGTTCTATTTACAGACAATACATTTAAATAGCTGCCTTTCTACTGGTAGAACGGGGGGGCATGGGTGTAGCCAGGATTTTTGTTAGGGGACAGGCTTTTCTTGGGGGGGCAAAACCTCAGATCTGTATTGATTTTTAACACCTATGGGGGGCATAGGAAGGAAACAAGGTCGGAAGGGGTCCACAGTCAGAAAAAGTTTGGGAAAGACTGATCTAGTCCAACTCCCCGCAATGCAATGAATCTTTTGCCCAACATGGGGCTTGAACCCACAACCCTGAGACTGAGTCTCATCCATTACCAACTGAGCTATTCCAGGTACTGCAATAGCCCTATATTGTAGCAGCAATGGGGGCAGAAAATATCAATCCCTGTTAATATCTACATACAGTATTGTGAATTAGGAAGGGGAGGTTATAAACTAGCTCCTGTTATTATCTGTGTGTCTGGTGCCAACCCCTAAATGAGGTTGAGGTTCAAAAACCATGGACGGGCAGCTGTTGTCTCCCTATTATTACAGAGCTCTGCAATCCAAGTCTTAGAACACGGAAGGTAAAAAGTGGCATGAAGAAGAGGATTAACAATTATGGGAAGGCAACTTAAGGTTTCTTCCACATCACTTGTGTATTAAGTGTTCAGTCTGATTTGCTTGCAAGGAGGTTATATGATGCCAGCTGTTTATTGAGCATTCTGATCTGCCAGGAAGTTCTATGATTTCACATCAACCAATTTAGCCCACATTTTCCTTAACCCTGAAAAGTCTATTTTATTTTAACTGGAAGCAGTTTTGCAAGAGCTCCAGATCCACTCTAATGGCACAGTTGAATCCCACAAAATAATATAGAACTGTCCTAAATTCTAGATCTCATCACCACAGTTTAGAATAATGAGTAAATTTGCACTGATTTCAATCCTGGTGAAAGTAACCACAAATTCCCTAAAGGCGTAAGAAAATACAGAGAGCCCTGCTGGATCAGAATAAGGGCCTGTGTGTCTGCTTGAGGGGTGGGCAACCTGCAGTCTTTTACAGCTCCTTTAAATCTTATATTAATCACATTGGCATCCTCTTCTGGTTACATGTCACTTTCCTAATCATTAATATTCATTTTCTTTCAGGTTCTATTATTGTGGTTTTAAATGAATTCCAGGCATCCTAAAGAGATTTTAATTGACTTTCAAGTTTCACTTCCTTTTAACTGATCCCCTAATCTTTCCAAGGAGTGGGGGAGAGCAATAGGAAGGGTGATGAGAGCAAGGAAAATGAGCAACAGGCTTCACTTGCCTTGCCCTCTCCTTCTAAGCAGTAATGGGCCCAGAAAGAGAGGGCAACTGGCAGTGGGGACAGGGGCAAGGAAGCAGGTCCCTAGAAGGAACACACTGTGGGCATCATGCATGAGACCCCCGCACAAAACCTGGAGCCAGCACTGGCTGAGTCAACCAGCACATTCAGAAAAACAGTGCATTGGCCAACTGATCCCCACTGTCACACACATACACGCTTCCCCAATTTTCGCTGCACTAGCCATGGATTGGCTAGGGACAGGGAGAGGTGATCAAAGTACTGAGAAGTATGAAGGAGGCAGTTTACTGCTGCTCCACCTCATTCTAAATCTCATCAAACTGTTTGGGGTTGTGGTTAGTCTCCAGACAGATCACTTTGAGGCTAACCACAGCTCTAAACAGATCAGTGTTTGGCCAATACTTTACAGCCCAGTCCTATGCAGCCTAAGTCCTAATTACTTAGAAGTAAGTTGCCCTGAATTCACAGGGGCTCAACTCTCCACTAGGAGTACACAGCCTATACTTATATAACATCACTTGCCCGTCCTATATGATGTTATATTCAATGCAGTTTTTCTTTAGAAGTTATCCTTTTTTGTATCACATGAGGGTGGTATAGTAACTGCCCATCCATTTTAAAGCCATAGGATAATACAAATCTAACAAACCAAATTGACTCAGGCACCCATACATAGTTCTAGCCGCCCAATTCTATGCATTCAGAAGTTAGTTTTGTTTAGGATTATTCTCATATAGGCAGCAATCCTATACACACTCAAGTCCTACTGAACTCAGGGAGCTCTATAGTTAACATGCATGGGATTGGGCTGCAGATACAGAATCACACACACCAGGTCAGGCCGTTGGGCTACCTAGCTCAGAATTGTCAAGCTTGACTGGCCATGGCTCTGGATGATTGGGTTTTAGATGCAGACATTTCCAGCCCTGCCTGGAGATGCTGGGGAATCGATGTGTGAATTCATAGGGATTCCTATGTCCATTTTATCACAATAATATTTTTGTCTCCAGAGCTCTTGAGCTCTTTTAAGGCTTTGCATGCGTTACAGCTGCCAGACTTCAGGAGAATCCTGAAGTATGCTATATTCACAACTGTAGGTCCCAATCTCTACACTTCAAATGTAAAAGATTAACTTTCCAAGTAAACAAAAAGCCTGGTTTGCAGCCATCTTCTTTTCCAGATGCTGTCAGAATGGTGTTTGTATTCTCTGTACTAGCAGGGAGTCAACAATTTTTGAGACATGTTCTTGTCAACTGGTGGGTTTCACTTAGCGACACTAGGCCACTAAACATGGCACACCTCAAATTCATGTGCATGTCTGAAACACTTCCACTCTTGCTTCTTTTGCTGAGCCTCTATGAAGCAGAATTGGAGAAGTGCCTGCATAGCATACATCTTATTAGCACATGCTGTCCTAAGTTGTCAATGATATAAAAACTTCCTGAGCCAAGGAGACACCCTTTAATAGGAGTTACATACCAAGCAGTCTTGGGAGGAGCAGGCACATGTGCAATGTGGATCCCAGCCAAATTAGCTTTAAAGTAATTTAAAAACACATCGGAGCTATTTAGATTTGTCTTCTGGCTAGTGAGCAGAAAGATTTTATTTTCAACCGAAGAAGACTTGCAATTACTATTATTTAAAGCTAAAAGGTAAACTGAGATTTTAAGTGTTTTAAAAACCAAGCCAAATTGCTTTGCAGACTGCACGTTCCAGTAACTGTGGGAAACCTCATCTTATGACTCATGTATACTGAAGTGAAATGCAGTGTGACACTTTAACAAGCAATTATATTTGTGATAAGAGTGCTTTCTCTGAAGGCTGTCCTGAAGAGGGCAGGTAACTGATCATGTTCAAAAAGTGTGATCAGTTACCATGCAGCATAAATTCAATACTTACCAGTTTCTTTATTGTTAGTTCCAGAGACGTTAAAAGAAACTACAGCCTTTACCGCCAATCATACATATTCAGCTGTATATGGTTAAAAAGCTATCACCCTTTTAAAACCACATTCAGGTCCACTTACTTTGATGCAGTTCAAATTCTGTAGCAGCTGACAAGCTGAGCTGTTGAGTTGCTGCTCTTGATCCTGAAATATCCTATTTCAGCTTGTCAGCACAAAGCAGAAATGCCTGTTTATTTGATTAAAAATAATCTATTCACAATGTTAACTTGTTTTTTTCTGCTCTTACTGTGGGTTGTGTAACACTCATGCTGTCAGATATGAAAAACAGTTCTTAAATTCTAGTTCATGTCTTCCTCCAATTTGGCAATTTCTCAGGTGGCGTTTTGGCCACTTTACCTACACCAAATAACAACATCCCAGAAATTCTCATCAAAGGAGAGGTTGCTTCCCGTCATCTTCTTAGACTGCAGGTTCTAATGACTCACATTGGACAATGGACCTTCCCATATGCATTGATAAGGTAGTTGCTCGATGAAAACAACAATGTGGTGAGCAGTGATGGTAAACAAAGAGGCAACAGGGACTAGCAGTTTATTATGTGCTTTTTGGAACTATTTCCGCTCTTCCAATAAACCTGATGGCTGATGGTGCTATTAGGCCAATTTGAGTTAAGGATGATTCTTCTATCCTTAAGAAACTAATCATGCGAAGATGGATATTGTGTGCACTTCCCTTCATTATTAGCATGCACTCATCTTGCTGCTAGGTATATTTCTTCTTTTTAAAGCAGTGAGCATAGAACCATGGTACATCCCTCACACCAAGACCGCTGAGCTTGTGTTTTTCAAGCAGCTAAAAGGAAGGCAAACACATGCAATGTGGTAAAATAAGGCAGTTAAAAGCACCAGCAAAGTTTTAAAGAATTTTACCAATAAATTTGGCAATAAGATTAGACAATGAAGCTACCTTTTTTTAAAGAAGGCATAAAAGGGAGCTTTAGGTATTGCTTGTGCTTCCATGCTGACAGCTTGCATATCAGTTCCATTGCATATCTCCTTTTCCAAGAAACTGTTCTCAGCAACTGATATTCATTTATATCACAGCTACTTCATGTTTTGTAGTTTGATAAGGGGGGAAAATGCACAAGAGTGTGTTTTAATCAAAGTAAGCAATATGTTTATTTGAACTTCAGTAGAGATGAACCACTAAGTTTTGGAATAAAAAAATACTGGAAAAGTACTACAGCTTGAATGAATATAAAAACATTAGCAGAAAGAAAACAATTTAAATGGTAAAAAATTAACCTTTAAGTCTGAGACACTTGAATAGGTTGTTTAAGTCCTCCCAACATGTGCTAACATCTGCTAAGTTGGCAAAACACAAACCTCTTACAAAACGAAAACAGCTACTTCTGTTATGTGAACTGCATAAAACTGTCCAATCTTAAAAAAGGCTGTATAGTTTGTCTTGAAATATACAGACCTTGCAGTACATGACAAAAGCATTTATTGACCCAGCCTTGCTCCATGAAGCTGTGCTTGGGCAGAAATATATCAGTTAGTAAGATGAAGCCTCTATAAAAATGAAATGCACACAGCAAGACTTGGACTTATTTAACAAGCTATGTTTACAGTATAATTCTACCTGTCCATGTCAGCTTCCCTTCCCACCCGCCTCCCGCAACTATATTTCTTTAGGCTAGTCCATCTCTAACTTCCAGATACACTGTACATACATTTAGCAAAGAGCATACCTAAAAATTCTTGCAGCGGTATGGTCAGTACACAGTTTCAGAAGATTACACAGAAGCCTTAATTTTTCTGAGGATAGCAACTATTACCAAGAACCATTAGCTTTCGAATATTGTGAGAAGCTTGTTAAAAAGGAGAGTAGCCTTCTTTTTTGGTACTCGTCCCAGAACGCAAAACACAATGGATATTCAGCACAAGGGGATCTTAGTGTTCTAGATAAGATTGCTTGAGAACAGCGTCCCGATTACGTGGACTTGGGTCATCCCTAGCTATTACACGCTGCCCTGTATAAAGATTACTACTATGTAAACTAAAAAGTCTTTGATACCAACAACTTAGTAGCGGCTTTTCCTGATCTAACAGTTGGTCACAGAGGTCAAGTATAATAAAGGCTGCTGCCAGTTTTGTACATGTGTCTGACTCATACATCCTTCAAGTACATGCAAGGCTCAATAGTTTCTTAAGTGTAGCTGCTCCGAATCCTTTTAAGACACAGAAGAGATTGGGTTATGAGGAGAGCCCATCTGCGTAAGAACTTTATCCAGCCACTGAAGGGGACCATGTAAGTGAATCTCAATCCAGCACGGTGTGCTTGTGACATCTTGCCGATGATACTCTGCTCCCCAGCCCTAGAAACACAGAGTGATTGTTACAACAATTCTTGCTACAGATTTAATTGCATTCTGAGAATCCAAAGACAGTAACATGGCGTCGTATTGAATAAAGGAGACATTATTTTTATTTTTTGCATTAAAGGAGCGCAACCATTTTCTGATCTCTGAATTTTAATTTGAAGTAGATTTAAAACCTTGCCAGATGGGCCCGATTGAAAGCCCTGAAGACATGAATCTTCCAAGTAAGTGATCACGCTCAATGGGGTGGGGCAGCTTGTGCTGTAATGTCTTCTACTTTCAAGGGAAAACACCTGTTGATGTTTAGTCAGGCAGTGCTGCTCTCTCAATTCTTTATACTATTTTTCCCCCATACACACTGCCATCTATTTTGTATCCAGTGTCTGTGCACCTTATTTCTAGAAATTCAGAGATTTATTTTTTTTGATGGATGTTAAGGTACCACTGAACAAGTCAGCCAAACACAACATTTCTCTATTTCTCAGTGGCTGCACCCAGATTATAGAACTCCCTGCACAGGGAGCACCTACCAAGCTTCTTACCGGCCTTCCACTTAATAGGAAAGACATTTCTGATAGGCATTAGACCCACTGGGGTGATTTTTCTCCTGTCACAAGGTATAGTTTTATTGCTTTATTACTGTTATTATTGGGGTTTTTTTAACTGACAGACATTTGCTGCTGAACATGATTTTTTGTGCAAATAAAGTGGATATAATTTTCTTACTTTTTTTTTTTTTTAAGTGCTGCCACTGATTCTGGAGCTAGAGCTACACTTCACTAAATCCAGGTTAATATCTTTCAGTTTTAAGGTTGATTAACATGAAAGACACAGTGCAATTTTAAAAAATCAAGTATTACTTGGCTTCAGCTCTAGAGTACTTTTTTGGAGGATTTGTTGAGCAGGCTCAGCAGCAGCCCCTAAAAGATTTAAGTTTTGGGCAGCATTTGCATGCACATGCCTTCGTCTGTCTAGGTTGCTATTATAGCAAGAGTTGTATTGATGCGAGGTCTAAAATTTAACAGTATCAACTCAAGTTCATTCTTTTTCCCAGGCCAAGGCCTCGTGAAGGCACACTCACCCCAAAGCCTTGCTTACCTTTACAAAGCTCATGCGGATAGTGCACATCTTGGTGAGTTCGTACACAGTTTCAAAGCCATGGTTCACCGACTGAGCCAGAAGTTGAGCAAACTCTTGGTTGTTGAAAATTTTCAAACTGCAGCCACTTGGAATTTTGCAGACTGTAGTTGGGTGGAAGCCATGATGGTAATTGCAATTTCGACTTTGCACAAATATACTACTGTCACTAAGGCACTCTGCATAGACTTCACCACCGACATAATACAGGTGGACTCCTATAAGAGAGACATGATTCTGTTAGTTTTATTCTGAAGTCAAAGCACTTCAGACTGCTGCAGGTATTCAAAGCAGCAATTAATGGGTATGAGTATTTTCTGGTGCTGTTGTCCAAATGAGAATCACACACCTTCTCCGCAGTGATGCATGAATTTTACATACTTGGCCCAACCGCATAAATGCAGTTGTCCAAATTTATTATTCGCATGCTGTATGGACAACATTTTTTGGACATCTGCTTTTCTGGACATCTGCACATATCCTTAGATTTGAAAGATTTTTCTAGTTAAAAACTAGGGGATGCAGGTGAATTTGTGTGTAATGAAACCAATGGGATAGAACCACATCTGCTCAACTCTCATTAGCAAACCAAGTTCTTCTTCATATTATCTGGTCTGAGTTTTAGCTTCTATTTAGATTGGGGTTTACTGTAGTTTTAGCAGATCTTCTTAAATATGCATATTTCTTTGCAAAATAAAAGTGGTAATCTAGTAGTGTGCGTGTGATAATTTTCAAAAGCAAAATTTAAGGCTAAGACATTTTACTGAACCCTTTAGTAAAAGGAAATCGGAGTTCCTATGTGCTGCATAGCTATAGGTCCCAGGCACTAATACTGATTCAACTACAGCTATTTTCTCAAATTGGGCCACCAGTGTGGCATAATGGTCAGAATGTCAGACTAGTACCGGGGGTATCTACTACAGGGTTCAACGGCCTCCTCAAACATTGAAGCTCAACTGGGTTAATACTATCTCTCAGCCTAACTTATTTTACAGATCGTTGACAGGATAAATAAAATGCCATGTGTATCACCTTGAACTTCTTGGAGGAAACGGAAGATATAAATGTAATTAAATAATTTGTTCATAACTAGATCCCTAGTAAGGAATGGGGCTGTTACAGGGGGAAAAGATTAAAACCCTGCTGCTATTCAAACTTTTAAAAGTCCTTCAGTGCACCACCAAAAGGCATGTTCTGAATAGTTTTAAAGGCACCAGTAGTGGATAGTCCCCAACTGTGTCTTACACATACCTGGAAGAGAAAACCATCTTTTATATAGCCAAAATACCAGTCATACCCTGGGGGGGAAAGTATCCCTTGTTCATATCTGGCTTTGTAAAACCAAAGTCATATTCCAGCAAAACCAAGTAGGGAATTATTAATACAAATAATTGACTAAACTATTTTTATTCCAAGACAATTTAAAGTATAGAAGCTATAGTCTTCACTCAAGACCATCTCTCTTTTATTTGTTAAAGAGAGAGAGAGAGAGACAGACAAAAAGCAAATGCTTCTAGAAAGACAAATTATACAGAAAACCAGAACATTACTAAATTACTTCACTTCTTAAAATAAAGGAGACAGCACATAATTTTTTTTATATAGTTTTATATATTGGGGGTATTATGGGTTAAAACAGATGGCATATACTGTAATACAAACACTTCTATAAAAGATAAAGATAAATTTTAAGTGATTCCTCTTTTTCTCCTATGGATCTCAGTACTATTTTACCTTGGAAACAATTTCAGATTCTGAACTGGGAAAGCAAGAGATGACAACTTCTCTGCCCTTTGCAAAAAAGCCTTCCCCACTATTTTGCAAGCTATGTTAATACTCCTGTAGCTGCATCAGGGAGCCCAATAGTGATTTTAACCCCTATATAAGAACCTTGTGTAGTAATAGATCCACCAGCTTAGTTGCAGCTCAAGAGGTTTATATTCCAACCAAACAATTTGGGAGAAAACTGTCCAGTTGGAAGTCGGATCGTGCGCAACCCTGTTTCTATGTGTTGTCAAAATTTCCTTGTTTGCAAGGAGATTACATTGTGTAACGCTGAATATGTTGCTTCTCAATGAAGCCTTGAGGCAAACAAATGTTGCTTGCATCCCAGCTCCTCTCTTTCCACTTTCAAATATGAACAAAACCCCACAGTACCTTTGCCAATATGCCGCCTGGTGTTCTCAATGGTGGAATTCCGGTTAACATTGGAGAGCAGCCCTAGGCAAAACCTGTTCTTGTTGTTTGAAGGATCAGTGAAGCCATCGACCAACACACTTGTTGAAGAGGCATGAAATGCCTCTCCAACACGATTGTTAAGCTCATAGTAGACAATAGAGCACCAGTGTTTTGGCTCTTCATAAGCAACTGCCTGAACATCTGGAAAGGAGGAAAATCAGAAATCAGTGACACTAGAATTAATGAGTTCCTGAGCTTTAAAGTTTTATTTATTTTCAGTGTGTAGGTTTTGGCTTAAGATCACTGAAGAACCAAAAGGGGAAAAAAATAATCTGGCTACGCAGCTGCTAATTAGAAGTCATTCTCCCACAATGCCCTATTATGCAATACATATGAGCCACACTAGCAATTCAATCAAAGCCTCCACATAGCGAAAAGAGAAGGAGCTCTAACTGGTACTTTAATAAGCAGTGAGCAGATTCTTTTTACCACCCTGCTTTAAAAGTAGACTCACAAAAACTGCGACTGCAGTACTGATAATCTACTAATTGGTTAGGTTGAGAGTCCCTGCAGTAGAATGATTAGACTGGCTTCCCCCCAAAATGATTGTAACCAGTAAGCTTTACTTATCTCTATGTTTGAGCAGGTGGGCTGTGTTTGTGTGGCAAATGAGCTAGAAAGAAAACTACCAGGTCTCACTCAATTTACCAAACCATGTTGACTGGTCTTCTAGTGGCAATCCTTTTCATCACAGCCCGCTTCAACGCTTTAGTAAACCCAGATGTGCTACCGTAAACCATGCCTATTTACAATGAAGTCATTGGACAGTATGCAATTCAAAATGTATGCTTTGAACCAGGAACTATTGCTCAAAAGACTTTGCCACCTTGAGCAAATGTCCATATCATGGTGGAGTTGCACTTGCAAGTCAGGGTCTCACCCTTTAGGATCCATTCTGTCTCCTATGGTAACTCAACTGCCATGTTAAACCACTGGTTGCTGGGGATTTGGAGCATGGTGTTGCAAGTACTTAGCACTTATCTGTCCATGTCAACTGGATCCGAAGCTGAGAAAATGCTGTTGGCCCTGAAGCAGTGATGGGCTTGTTGGAAACCAACCAACTGAGAGTGAATCCTTCTAACACAGAGGTGTTGTGGGTAGGTGGTTCCTGTGTTCAGGAATCAGGTGGATGACCCAATCCAGAATGGGTTGCACTGTCCCTGAAGGAAGAGGTTCCTAGTACTCCAGGATTTCAGCCAGCCACAGAAGTCCCAATTGCCTTCTTCAGTTAGGAGTGTTTGTACTACAGCTGTTGCTGGGCTGGCATACCCTGGCCTCAGTTGTCCATCATAATGACCTCCTGGGGCACTCTGACCATCTTAGCTGTGACTCCTGGAAGATCTGCTCCCTGCCTTGCAGGCCTTTTTCCACCTGGCCCAAAGTGGGCTTCATGGCCAGATTGGGATCTGAATTTGAGAACTCTCAGCCTTCGTCTGACACAAACCACTACACCACAGTGACTTGTGGTAGTTAAGAAGGGAGAGTCAACCAATGACAGTAACAAATATAGTTTTGGCTGTAGGAAACCAATTCTATGGAACTGAAGATGGCAGACTATATTCCCCAAGCTGGTGAGCCTCATATGACAACAATGAGAATTTGAGCCTTTAGTGCCATTGGCCAGTCCTGTGGAGCACCTTGCCAATAGCCACCTTCTGTGCCAACTTTGAAACACCTGCTGAAAACTTTTCTATTCCATCAGGCTTATGCAGGCAATTAAGAGTACATCCCTCATCATGGTCTATTGTTGTTTGTTTTTTTCATTTCTTTTTGCTTTTAACTAGTTTTTAAACTTATAATATATCGTAACCTACCACAATATAAACTGTTTTTATTTTGTTGTAAACTGCTGGTATATTTTTATGATACAGCGGTATATACTTTTTTGTAAATAAGGCTTTTCTCCATCCTGTTCACTGATTACCAAAGCTATGCAAAGAAGTGCTGATTCAAACAAGCCATGATATTTTTAATCCTTTCAAGTCACTGTACGGCAGCCTTTAATTATTAGTAGGTGCTCTCTTCACAGTAAGATGCCAGCAACCATTAAGGCTGCACACAGCTTTGCCCTAGTTCTCAAACTGGGGAAGAAATCCTGCCAGCTGGCCATTCCTGCAGAATGAAATCATATCTCTCTCACACAGATTTCATACTAACTTCCTCACATTTGCCTTAAGTCATGCAGAGCAGGTGTGCTTTGTCTCTCCATTCCCAGCATGAGCCAACAATAGGAGTTACCCAACTTCATTGACAGGATGCAGCTTGTTAAGTCAAATCTCTTAAGACTAACAAATCTTCACAAAGAACAGGCCTCTCTAAATGTCTGCAGCGAGAGTGCTTGAGCCTACGTTTACTGCCGGTGCCCTTCCTATATGCGAACTTCAGCAGACCTTTTCTGAAGGGCTATAAAACAAAGGATGTGACCGTACGTACCAGGTAGAGGTACAGGAGTAGAGAAATGAGCTCACAGAATTAAGGGAAACAGGTGTGCGTAAACAATGTAAGTGTAAAGGAAATAAGCAAGTGTAGTTTCACCCTCTAAAAAGAAAAAAAAAACGGGAAGGGAGGGATATTAAGATCAGGGGAGGAAAAAGTTACCAGATTTAGAGGGAGCATCTGCCACTAGTTGCTACTAGTCGTTGGGCCTGCAGTATTACTACTTCTGTGCTTGTGATTGCAACATCCTTCAGCTGTCCAGTACATACTGTTCCCTGCCTCCTGCTAAAATATCTGGCCCCAAAGCCACAGTGGGAAGGGCGTGCAGGAAACTGCCATTGTGAACACAGAAGTGGGTAACGCTGCAAGTGCTGTGATTTCTGGTAACAACACAGCTTGTAAAAATAATCTGGTTCCAGATCCAGCCATCTTGACAGTGCTCTTGGATGAAACTGCTATGGTCATGGTCTAGCCAACACACAACACTACATGTGGCAGTGCCGGTGGCAGAAATTTTATGATCCTGCCACATGAACTGGAGCCAACCTAATGAGAAGCACACTATTTATATGCATCTCTTACGACCCAGTACACAGCAGTTTGTTGTGACCAGAATATCCAAACAAACACTTAAAGACTGGTTAGACACACAGCCCTCTGCTTACTGGGGCTATTCCTAAGGAATGCAAGAATGACAGGACAAAGATACAGGACAATCAGAAAACTAATGTGTGCAGAAGGTCTACAGAATCAGGCATAAACAAGGATAAATTTGCTTCTTGCTTTTGTCAGCAACAAGCAACATGAAATGAACAGATCAGCAAAACTACCCAAAGATTTGCTTTATCAGTTGTGAGCCAGCTTTAAAACAAAATGTTAAATAACCAAGAGGTTGTCTACTCTTATTTTTCCAAGATGGCTACAAAAATAATCTTGCTGGCACAGAATGCACACTTTGGTTATCTGAGCATCTTGCCTGCAGCTATGAGGAGGAAGAAGCAGTGCATGATTTGGTGCAAGTTTGGCTGAAACACCATTTTTCATACCTTGTTACTTGGGGAGAAGACATCCACTGACATTTACTTACTATTATGCCAGACTCTTAGTCCAGAGCATGAGTGCACCATTATAAATCATAAGAACCTAAGGCCACCTCTGTTGGATCAGAAAATCTAGTCCTGCACCCTGTTCTCACAGTGGCCAACCAGAAACTTACTGGAAGTCCATAATTCAGATATGATCATTCACAGCTTCCTATTCATAAAATGTATGCTACAACCATGTTTATACTCCACATGCCACATATATATGTTAGACCACATTTCTTATTAAAAGGGGGAGAAAAAAACCTAAAAGTTTCACCTCCTCTGCTTATTTCTGGAGGAATTGAAGGTGCCATCATATTGGTGTCCATTGGCTGTGAACCATCCTGTGTCATCTGATCTTCTGGAGGCAGATAAGCAGGAGGGGGAGTATCAGCTAAATTGGAAACATACAGGACAGATAATTTAATTTCTCTTTGTACATTAGTAGAAAGTGCTAAGACAGGTCAAGCAACCATTTCCACCTATTTATGATAACCCAATAAAACCCTTCATTCCTGTGTCTCAAGTGAGACTTGCTAGACAAAACTAAACTCTTATAAACAAGGCTAACAACGGAAGCCATTATTTTCTGATCAAGGAATAATAGTTTAGAGTTTCTTTTTTACGGAATTAGGCTTTGAAGCAGATAAAGGTAAAGTTATTCTACATGAGATAAGCGATCTTGAGGAGGTTTGTTTTTTTAATGTATGTTTATCATAGATAGTTGTAAAGAGTATGGGTTGCTCGTGCGTAAGTTGCTGCCTCTCCTGGCTTTGTTGCCTTGTTAAACCTTTCAGTCTGGACAGCCCTTCACTTCGTGGCTGCCTCAGTCGCTAGCAGAATCCGTCAGTGGGCGTTTCTTAAACCTTTTCCAACATAAAAGTTGTTTGACACCCAGTCTCCTCCTACTCTCTCTGCGCGGAAGTCTTCTGCGCAGGGTGGGCGTGGGTAGCGGGGGACCCGTGCTCTCCCCACTGGTGTCCGGTGAAGAGTCTGGGAGCCCTCTCGCCGATTCCCCCATCTGCCCCTCTTTATTCCTGGTGTTGCGCTGAATTGCTTCCCCATCTGCTGAGCTGCCTCTCTCCCTTCTGGGCCCTTCTCCAGCATCATTTGAGAGCCTTCCCTCCGCCTCTAGCTCCGATGTCAGTTCCCTGACAATAGTGATTTTAGGTGCTTAATAAATATCAGTCCTGCTGGAAAAAGATTTCAGCCAACACTATTGTACTTCAGTTTTTCCTACCTTCCCAGTTCCAACAGCAATAATTCCCTATTATGGTGCTGCAACAGAACTAACAGCAGCTAAAGCAGCCTTACAAAGAAGCCAATTAAAGTTGCCAACCTACTAAGAGGAACCCATATTCTCATGCTGGAAGGGAAGCCCCCCTCTTTTAAAGATGTGCAGAAATGCAGGCTAGTTTTTTTAAAAATGCATTTGATTGAGTGGAATGACAGAGGAGGGACAGAACTGAGGATCAGGCTTTCCTTCCTCCACATCTAGAACAGAAACCAAATGGCAGAGGAGAATGGAGTGATCTGTCCTTCCTCCACCAGCCCACTCACCTGCATGGAATTACTGGTGGCCTGTGGCTTTCAGGTAAGCTGTTAATGCATGATCACATCAAAATAAAGCATTTCAATTAGGAGATGAACCAAGTAACTAGCAAACAGGGGCTGCAATCCAGTACATAGCAAGATTTACACTCATGTGCTGTTGACATCAGTGCTGCTAAGCCCAGTTTATTGCTGGGTAGCCAGCCAGAATCCTTAGGTTTAAGCTGTCACCAGCTATACAGTTGTTGATTGCTACACCAGGAATAGTTTGAATACTTCTTCTCTTCATCCATGTTTGTGTGTTCCTACATTGGTTTAATTTTTTAGAAGTTTAAACACAACTGAGCAGTTCTTTAGTATCTTTTTACAACCCAAAACACACAAGAGAGATTTGGAAGAACTAATGAACAGTGAGAAAAGGCTATTTCTGTGCAACATTAAAAAGAGCAAACTTCATGCTACTCTTTGTCTATTTGCCCTTTTGAGACACTGTAAACTCATGTCATAAGATACTTCTACTAATACAGTGGTGCCTCGCAAGACGAAAAGAATCCGTTCCGCGAGTCTCTTCGTCTTGTGGGTTTTTTCGTCTTGCGAAGCAAGCCCATTAGAGGTTTAGCGGCTTAGCGCTACAGTATTAGCGGCTTAGCCGGCTTAAAGATCAGCTGATAAGCGGCTAACGATCAGCTGATAAGCGGCTTAGCATCAGCTGTTAAGCGGCTTAAAGATCAGCTGATAAGCGGCTTAGCATCAGCTGTTCAGCGGCTTAAAGATCAGCTGATAAGCGGCTTAGCCATCAGCTGATAAGCGGCTTAGCATCAGCTGTTAAGCGGCTTAAAGATCAGCTGATAAGCGGCTTAGCATCAGCTGTTAAGCGGCTTAAAGATCAGCTGATAAGCGGCTTAGCCATCAGCTGATAAGCGGTTTAGCGGCTTGGGAAAAAGGGGGGGGAAAGGAAAAAAACCCCGCAGGAACTCGCAAGACATTTTCGTCTTGCGAAGCAAGCACATAGGAAATTCATTTTGCGAAGCACCTCCAAAACGGAAAACCCTTTCGTCTAGCGGGTTTTCCGTCTTGCGAGGCATTCGTCTTGCGGGGCACCACTGTAAAGTTGAACCTCCTTCTTGAACCAATGCGAAGTGTGGGTTTTGTTTTATTTTTAATGGACAATTGCTTTCCCCTGGTCATTTGGATTTGATCTTCTAGCACCAATCTGGAATCCTAGTTGAACAAAGCACCTCACTGCTTTGACTTCTAATCTAGAGGGCAAGTGCAGCTCCCCTCATTTTTTTACCAGATTCGTAACTAACTTCAAGGTTATGCTACATCATTTTCTACAAATGAAGTTCTAGCTAGTGAATAACTCTATGGGTCCAATTTCCAGTGACCAATTCTCTAGCAGCGCATAATGCTCTCACGATCAGCTAAGATAAATCTTTTAATGCTATCTTTATGTGGTAATTCATTAAAATCCTTGGATGCTCCGTAGTTTCAAAAACTTTTCTTTGCAGACTAGGTAAAGCCAGAGAGACATTACGCAACACCTATTCACAGTTTCCAAGAACTGACAGGTGAAAGTTTAACACATCCAAAGGTTCAGTGGGCAAAAATTACAGCTATTGTCCCAATTGCACTGATCATAAAATTATGGTTTTTGACAAAAAGTATGTACAGTCACACCTTGGTTCTTGAACGGCTTAGTTGTTGAACAAATCGGCTCCCGAACACGGCAAACCCGGAAGTTAAGTATTCCGGTTTTTGTACGTTTTTCGGAAGCCAAACATGCGCTGCGGGTTCCACTTGAGTGCAGGAAGCTCCTGCAGGCAATCGGAAGCTGCACCTTGGTTTTCCAATGGTTTCGGGAGTCAAATGGACCTCCAGAACAGATGAAGTTCAAGAACCAAGGTTCCACTGTAGTTTTAATTGCCATAAAGAAACCTTTAAAAGCATGCAAATGTTTTGCATTTTCATTGGTTGCCATGAGATATTGACCCAAGCAGAACAAGTGTCCCAACCATGCTCCTAACACTGAGAACTTACTACCAAGGCCTCTTGGAGCAAGCTTACCTGGCATCTGGAAAGGACTTCCTGGGTCCGAGCTGGCAGGTGAGTGAGGATAGGTGCCACTGCTGCTTCCCGGGGAGTTTGGGTAGCTGCTGTTAGGCGAGTGAGGAAAAGGATGGCTATTGGGTTGTTGGAAAGAGTCTGGGAAAGTAGCATTGTGTGGCATGTGTGGCTCGTTTTGTGGCACGCGGAATTGAGCCAGGAGACTGTGCTGTGGGTTGTATTCACTGTGTCTCGGAACAAGCACTGGAGGAAGAACTGGAAAGGGGGGGGGGGGAGAGAAAAACCAAAAACTTAGTTCAAGACCACACTTACAGAACAAAGGCAAACTCTTCCATGGATGCAACCATTGCATGTGAGGTATTCACGTTCTAGGAACAAACAGGGCTCAGCAAGGACACTTCACTGGATCCTGTCATTACATAACTTAAATTCATACAGTGGCACACTGACTGCCAGGGTCCCAGAGTTGTAAACTCAGTTTTCACAGTAGCTGGAAACAAGATGATCAAAGGAATTTGCTGCGTTTTTATTTACAAAACATGGAGCAGTGTTTTGTATATTTAATGCCAACGTTTGAAACTTTTAGTGCATTTTGCTGGCTTGCTAACCACTTAATGGTTTGTAAGCCAAAACCTTGTTAACTAGAAAATTCTTCTGAAGACAATGATAGCACTACATAGGCTATGGACAGAGAACTTAAAGAGACAACAGCTGAAAGTTTATTTTTAGTATAAGCAATGTGCTAAAAGGTTAATACTGAAATGCTACGGTTTCCTACAGTTGCCAACTAGATATCTATGGGAAACTCACGGGCAGAATATGACGACAAAAAACCCTCCCTCATTGTTGCTCCCTAGCAACTAGTATTAAGCAGCAGATTCCCAAGGATCCTGAAAGTCATGTTATACAGTGGTACCTCGGGTTAAGAACTTAATTCGTTCTGGAGGTCTGTTCTTAACCTGAAACTGTTCTTAACCTGAGGTTCCACTGCAGCTAATGGGGCCTCCTGCTGCCGCCATGCGATTTCTGTTCTCATCCTGAAGCAAAGCTCTTAACCCGAGGTACTACTTATGGGTTAGCGGAGTCTGTAACCTGAAGCATATGTAATCTGAAGCGTATGTAACCCGAGGTACTACTGTATATAGTAGGAGTATGCATCTGCTTCAGAGAGAATCCAAATCCAGAACCAAATAGGCAACTTTGGAAGGATTTGGGCCTTGTCTGATACAAAATGGGCCTTCTCCAAAGTAGTCTGAATTGGGCTGCTCCCAAAGCTTTAGACCCAACTTAGGAAGAAGTCAGACACCAGACAGTTGAACATGGACTGTACACAGTATACTAAGCATGGTCACACTAAAAATGGTATTGGAAGAATTGGTTTTTTGTTTTTTTCCTAATGATCCTGAGGTAATTCACCCTTGTCACATCTGCCGCAAACTGAGTCAATATTTTCAGTGAGCTATCCACCATGACCCTAAGATCCCTTCTCTGGTCAAACTCCATGAGCTCAGATGCCCTCAGTATATACACAACATTAGGATTCTCCCAGCACCCCCACCATATGACTATATTTACATTAAGCTGCCTTTTCTCTTTTATTTGTTAAACTTTTACCCAGTCTGTCCAGTGCATTTGCATTAAACAGACTCTTCCAATGCATTTGTACTTGGCATTTTACAACAATTAAAAAACTAAAAGCACATTCCCATAAAAGAGAACAGCACAAAACTCAGAAACGGGCTGGGAGAGTCAGAACATTCTCAAATGAGGCTTCAGCATATGAAATTCACCTGCCCAGCTAGATATATAGTTGCCAGAACAGGGAAGTTTTAACAAGTGAGCAATGAAATGTGTAAGAAGGGGCAAAATAGATCTTGCTGGGCGAGGTATTCCACAATCTGGATGCAGCCACTGAGAAGGCTCTCCATATATCTTCCTCAACTATGAATGGGACTCAGATGGGTCTCTCTAATCCATCTTAGGTATAGATCCAGGTATCATGGCACAAAGCCATTTATTGTTTTAACTGTCATCACCGGCACTTAAAATTATGTGAAGGAAATAATTTTGCAACAAACGCAGGTATTACAGAATCTGTGTGGTGTGGTATCTTTGGTGACATCCTTGCAATTAGATTCTGGACCAGCTGCAAGTTTCTGAAGTCTCAAGGCAATTTCATGCAGAGGACATTACAGTAATCCAACCTGGATGCAACCAAGGCATGCGTTACTGTGGCTGGGTCCGATCTTTTCTGGAACAGATGCAGATAGTGCACCAACCTAAGCTGGGCAAAGGCATCCTTGCCCAAGGTCACTACCCCCATGAGACACAATTTCTAGACAAACAACCTGCCTTCTCTGAATCTTCTGTCACCTGGCTTCCTGTGAACTCCCTGCATCTTCAGCAACAGCACTATTTGGACATCTAGATGCAGAGCCTGATGTAGGAGTGCCCCCAAATGACGAAGCCCATTTTTCAAGTCTTGTCCAGAACAAGCCAAATCCATATCCCAAGAGTCCATCTCTCTAACCGCGATCACCTGTCTTTTCTGAATTTTGCTTCAAGTTATTTCCCTTCATTCAGCCCATTACTGCCTATGGGCACCAGGTCAGGACATTAACAGTTCCCCTGGTATCTGTTGAAAATGTTGCATCTTCTCCTGGGTTCCTGTAAGGAGACTGAGCCTAGAATAACTCATGCCTTGATTACTACAACAAGCCACATCTTTCCTCTCCTCTCTCACACATTTAAACAAAGGCATATGAAACACTAAGTTTTGGGGGGGGCGGGGGGGCTTGTTTTGCATTTCGAGAATAGCTGGAAAGAGAATCTTCAAAGTGCTTTTAGCAATCTAAAAGTGGATACACTAGTCATTTTCTCCAAGGTTCCAGAGACACTGGATTTTCCATGCAAACGACAGACAAAGGGCAGAGGGGAAAAGAAAGTGTCGCTTTTGGTACGGCGTTTCCTTAACAGCTCATGGAAACCATGTCGCTAATTTAAGACTCTCCCACATTGCGAAAGTATGTGAAAGCTGCCTATCGTGAGATTTCCCTTAATAAAAACACAATTTGCAAAACACAAGCACCGTGAAGTGTGCTCTCAGAAGCAGAGATGTGGGACCAAGAACTAATATAGGTCCCAGAAATGGCAAGAGGCTTCAGTCTGAACCTGCTGCAACAGAAGACAAACATTCATACTTCAACCTATACACATCACTTTTAGTGCAGCTAGTAGTGAGTTAGTGGACCCCCCTGGTGGGATACAAATGCTAGCAATTGAGCTGGGAAGAGTTGCCTGTCCCAGACTCTGAGAAGGATTCTATACCTTTTCAGACACCTTTAAAAAAGCAGCAGGTCGACTTGAGTGTGGCTTCTCCCATTTCTGCGCTAGGAAATCTTCCCACCAGTGCCATCAGTAAAAGCACAGGAGCTTCCCAGTGACCCGGGTCCCCCAAATTAACATCCTTGAGCAAGAGGGCAAAACCCCAAGAGGTTCAGATGAAAAACCTGCCTGTAGTTGGATTGGGATAAGCACGCTTAGCTTGATCAAGTTGGACACCTCCACTGTACAAAATAAATTGCTAAAATTCGACACAGCAGGAAAGGAAGCTGATCTCAGAAGTAGCTGCCAGCCCAGAGGAAGAGGCATAATTGAAGAGACAGCTTGAGACTTTGGCTATGTTGAGCCAAGCACACCTGTTGCTGCAAAGTAACCAAGAGGCACTGATCTGTTATTTGGAGAGGTTGCAAGATACTGGAGGATACAGCTGTAGAGCGTTATCACTTTCCTTTCTTGAAATGAAAAAGGAACTGATTTACAAGGAGAGCAGTTGCGTTCTGGTACTCTCTCTAGAGCAACTCTGTCGTCAGGAATGTCTGCTTTGTTCACCTAGTGATGGTTACTAACTAAAAGTTTGTGTTGCTGCACAGCAGTGTTGCCAAGCACAATAGATGTAGCCCACCTTGTCCCTACTCTCTTTCCCTCTTCTGCACTTCTGAAAGGCCTTCTTGAAAGGTGAATGTCATAGTACAGGTGATAACCACAGCGTGCATCCAATCACATTAGGCCATGGGTCAGCAAACCAAGGTCCGCGGGCCAAATCTAGATCCAGCCCGCAGACAGTCCGGGAATTGCGTGTGGATCACCAGTGCATGTGTTCTTTACCTCTCTCTCACATGGCAGCAGCACCTCCTCCCTCCCTCCTCCTGGCTTCTCCCCGCCCTGCCTAGAGGAGGAAGGGGGCTGGGCTTTGTTGGTGCCAGCAGCAGCAGCGCTCGAGTGGCCGCCATTTTAAGCAGCCTCTCTCCAGAGCCTTTTCGCGTGCCGCTCATCATCCTGCCGCCGCCAGCCCCTGCCGCTTGCAAGACACAGGCAAGCAGCCACCGGGGCTCATGGTGCTCTTGCATCATTAATTTTTTTCAAAATATAGATCTGAGGGACAGTGGACCGGCCCCTTGCTGAAAAAAATTGCTGACCCCTGCATTAGGCCATAACTGTTCACATCTACACTAAAAGCATGGATTATTATGTCTGCATGTTACGTAGCAGGCATAGAAGACAAGCCTACCAATGAGAAACTAGCCTGTTGCATAGTTGAGATCAAATGTGTTGCAGCCTACGTTACAGTTTCAAGACAACACTATACAGTATTAACATTAGGTCTTCCAAAACTATATAGCTTGGAGTAGTTGTAGTTCAGGATGCTATCTGAACAAGCAGAATGAATTTCAGGAACCAAAATGCTTTTTCTGTGCAGCCTGAGCAGGAGCAGTGAACAACATTATAGTTAATGGTTGTCGTTTGTCTTCACTTACTCCACCCCGCTGCCCTGCTCACAGCTGCGAAGAATACTCATACAGTGGTGCCTTGCAAGACGAAATTAATTCGTTCCGCGAGTTTTTTCGTCTTGCAGTTTTTTCGTCTTGCGAAGCACGGTGTCGGAAAAGTTTTGGAAAAGCTTCAAAAATCACCAAAGTCTTCAAAAACCTGAAAAAGGCTACCACACCGCGTGCTATGAGTTGCTCCTCGAAGTCAAGTCGCAACTGTATTAACGGTTTTAAGAAAAGGAAACAAACTTGCAAGACGTTTCCGTCTTGCGAAGCAAGCCCATAGGGAAAATCGTCTTGCGAAGCAACTCAAAAAACCAAAAACCCTTTCGTTTTGCGAGTTTTCCGTCTTGCGAGGCATTCGTCTTGCGAGGTACCACTGTACTCTTACGTTATGAATGGTCAGTGTAACCATTAAGAGAAAGAGGTAGGAATAGGCCAATATATATGTGGACTGTCCCTGGATAAAGTGACTTTTCTTCATTAAGTTCTCATAGTTCTTCACCTAGCGAAAGGTTGTCATCTGAACTAGCCAGATGTTTAACTGATAATCATTCAGTCCATCATTTGAAAAAATAAGACACAGGAGCCACCTTGCCCCAAAAATGGCAACCAGACATTCCGTTTTGGCGACTGTAACATTGGTTTAAGGAGTTTCTAGCACTGTGTATCATTCCATCAACTGATGTAAAAAACCCTAAAAAACCTACCCCTAAATGAATCCCACTAAAATGGCTGGGACTGGTCATCAGGGGAATGTGACTGGGAGAAGAGGGAAGCCAGGCTAGCAAGCATGTTCCTCCTTTTCGCCCCCACATGATAATAAATCACATGAGGACTGAATGCCTAGATATGTTCTTAGTCATGGAAACCATGGAGCCACTGCTGACTCATGAATTACACTGGCATCCACTTAAAGACACCAAGTTCAGTATCGAAGCTCATCGCTATTGCAGAAGATGATTTCAAGCATTTTAGAGGGATTCATCCAGGGCATCACATCACAAAATGTAAATATACTTTTGGTTTACATTGTACACCTCAAGACCTAACTTTTAATGACAATACTCCACATTATATTTGCTTGTGTGCTGGCTAAAACTTGCATACATTACAGGAAATTGGTTCAGGAAATATTTTAACAGGTTATCCCAGCACCTAAGAGTTTTACGTAAGGCTTGTTGAGACAGTTGCTGCTAACCAAGTGTGTGTATTTAAATTAAATGTGTGTGCATGTGTGCCTTAAAAAAACCACACCGAACCACTCATTTCACTATCTACGAAGGAGATACTAGCACAGATACTTAAGGTTGGCCTACTTGTGGCTCTCTAGATGTCACTGAACTGCAACTCCCTTCATCCATGACCACTGGCTATGTTGGCTGGAGTGATGGGAGTTGGAGCCCAACAACAACTGGAGGAAAGTTTAGGGAAGGCCGTTTAAGTAATATAATAAAACTGCAAATCAGACAGTGTCTCTTAAGGGGAGCCTTAATATCCTCCCCTCTTACTATAGAGTGGGCCAAGTCCCAAGAACAACAAAAACTGAGGTCAAGACAAATTATTCATCCCAGAGGCTCTTTACAAGGAAAGTTTACAAGGAAACCAGAAGCCAGTTCTGTCTTCAATGTTTTAAAGCACATACCAGCCAAGTGTTCCAAAATGTCCAAGTTTACAGAATACATCGGATTTCAAACATACACACACACACACACACACACACACACAAGCATCATCACTACTAGCTATTTACCCAGGAAAATGGACTCTCTTGGGAACAAAGGTAGGATATAAATGTAATATTAATAATATTTTTAAAAAGTAAAACCACTCTTTGCTCAGGTGTGACAAGGCATCCTCCAATTTAGGAAGGAAGAATTAGCATGGCAGATACATATACCAAGAAGATTGCCAGTTTTTCTTTGTTCTGCTTGAAACTTACTGCCTTCCACCACCTGCCTAAACTACATGCAGAGGGGTTCCAAGCTTACACCTCAATGTTTAAGAACTTAACCTACAGATTTATCCATGTGGTAGAATTATTGAAAAAAACTCTGCTGCCAGTGGGAGAGGGAGGAAAAGATTTGCAACCCTACTTCCAGGACAGATAACAAGGTAAGAGAGCTACAGCTCTTAATCTGGTGGTTATATCCAATTAAAATGAATTTCAGCACATTAACAAATTAGCTAAATTGCTTGTTCTTTCTTCCTTTTGCAATTTAATCCTAAGGTCAAAAGAGTGCACTTGAGTCTTCCAAATATGACTAGAGCACACCTGCGTTAGTCATTTAAATTGTTAACTTGAAAATGCAGATACGAGAGAAGCCCAGCCTGGGAGGAGTAGACTGTGTTAAGTGTAATTACTTGGAAGTTTGCTGTACTGAGGCATACAATATTTAGGATCTGTAAAAGGAAAGAATTAGTTTGAAGTCAAAAGGTAGTCACTGAAGGACTGCTACCTTTGCATTACAAAACAAAAGACTTCACAAAACACAAAGTTTCCAAGTCCAGAATACACATCCTTACAGTTCCAGGAGGAGACAAACATGATCCCTTATTACATTAGAGTCAAAGGCATGTTTAAATATTTACCAAAAATCAGCTAGTTAGACTTAGCATAGTCTTTTAAACTACAACACTTTTGTGTACACAGCCCATGGCTTTGTATAGTCCGTTATAGCTAGCTGTTACAGACATGCCTGCGCAAGGCACTTCTTTCCGACAATTGTGCTGGAGTGTTTGCCAGATGACGACAAGCTTCCCCTATCACTTCTTCCTCCTCCCGTCTCTACATATATGCAGCAATCTTACCAGGAAGCATGCTGATAAAGCTTGGATTCTCCAAGCTTTGAATTGCCAGTTTTAAGTTACTCCTGCCCTTCAGCTGCAGTTAGCAGTCTCAGCTTTCCAAATGGCATATCACTTTTCACAGTGTTCACCCCCCCCCATACACACACACACACACAAAATATCTATAGTACAGTTTTCTGGAGCTCAAGTATGCAAATTGGGATACTTGGAATAATTGGGATACTCCCTGCAACTTTTATCCATAGCAATCTCTCTCCGTCCTCCAGTTTAAAGCGGAGAGAGAACCAGTTCTGGTCTATCAAAGTAATTCACTGAACAAAAATTACACTAGCTTTCCAAATGTGGTTATGGAAAATAGATTTACTGCGCAACCACCTACCTATTTGCTAGTAAAGGTAAAGGTAAAGGTACCCCTGCCCGTACAGGCCAGTCTTGACAGACTCTAGGGTTGTGCGCTCATCTCACTCTAGAGGCCGGGAGCCAGCGCTGTCCACAGACACTTCCGGGTCGCGTGGCCAGCGTGATGAAGCTGCTCTGGCGAACTGGCACCAGAGCAGCACACAGAAATGCCATTTACCTTCCCGCTATAAAGCGGTACCTATTTATCTACTTGCACTTAGGGGTGCTTTCGAACTGCTAGGTGGGCAGGAGCTGGGACCGAACAACGGGAGCTCACCCCGCCGCGGGGATTCGAACCGCTGACCATGCGATCGGCAAGTCCTAGGCGCTGAGGTTTTACCCACAGCGCCACCCGTGTCCCTATTTGCTACACAGCCCCAAAACAGTGCACAACTATGGAATCAGTTCTGCCCCTCTCATTCAATGTTTATAATCTCTTATAAAAACACCAGGTGTACTAAAATCTAGTGTGGAACTAGGGAAAGATTTATTCAGTTCTTGCAAGGGCAACAGATCTACTATTCTCATGAGCTTTTGAGCAGTTTTCCCCAATGTGGGACAGACAACTTGAGGCTGGCTTCCAACAAGATCCCTGCTGCACCCAGGTCTAATATAGGAAGTCAACAGTCCCAGACACATAGTCATCAAAGCAGCTAGTTTATTTCACTGCTTAGCAGAATGCACTGCTGAAGGTCATATGCCACTGCAAGTTTTACTTTCACTTCCTCTACCACAGGGAGCCATTACTAACCTACTGATTTTTTTAAGAGTCACATAGTATTTGTAACACAGAGATTACAGCTATAATGTACAAGGAGAGAGTGAAGTATATCAGTTTATTATGCCCTACAAGTACCAGAATCTATCTTGAATACATGAGTAAGCATAGATGTGGCGCGCTACTGTCTTAAGATGGTTCAGTAGTATAACTAAGATAACTGAGATAGTTCCATTGGATAGAGTGTGGTGCTGATAATGGCAAGGCTGCAGGTTCGATCCCCGTAAGGGACAGCTGTATAATCCTGCATAGCAGGGGGCTGGACTAGATGATGCTCAGGGTCCCTTCCAACTCTTATGATTCTAGGATCTACTCCCAACAAGCTGTGCATTCTATTTCTCTAGTTTAGCAGTCCTATAATCTTAAATCTGATTGCAGTTGAGCTGTTGGGAAAAGGCATTGCGTAAGCTAATAAAATCAAAGTATACACGAAGATACCTACCAGGACTTTCCACTCGCTTATAGTGATAGGGATTGATGCAAACTTCCTTCTGCTTTGAACCAAAGGGAAACTCACAGCATTCCAGTGGTTTAAGTTCATGATGGCTCTGCAGATCAGGCCAGCGCCACACACGGCAATAAATTACATGGGGCAGCCCTTTCCGATGGGACACCTGGAGCCTCCCATCCAGCGAACGAGGAATTGTGACACAGTTGCTGGGCTGACCTGGGCAGCTCAATGCCTTCTCCAACTCTTCCATTGCTCCTTTTTTCTTCTTCAGTTTTTTTACTAGGGCATCGACAGCTTTCTCAGCCCATTTTTCCTCTTCGTCCCCTTGCTTCCATCCTAGCAGTCTTTTAACAGCTGGGCTTGTGAAGGAGAACAAGCTCGTCACGTTCATGGTGAGTGATCAAACACTTGAGTACAGCAAATCCTTCAAGGACTGCCCTACAACAGTCTTGGGCGAATTTATAGGATTCCTTTAATCTTCCTAACCCAGAGATCTTGAAAAGTTGAAACTAACATTCCAGCTTGTCAGATGTTCTTTCTTTAGTCTTTGGGATTCCAAATGCAAGTCAGGCACCTACGAAAGGGTAAAAGTGAGAAAAGGCAAAGATCAGATCTCTTTCATACAAACAATCTGAAGAAGCACAAATACTCTACCAGAATCTAACAGACCACTGTTAGAACTTTATGCCTGGACAGAATTCAAACTATGGGGAAGTTGTCAGGAATTAGCATAGGAAGAGCCACTGCTTCAGCTGACTCATGAAGAAGACCAATTCCTCTTGAGAGATGAAAACTGCTTTCTGCCATCCCCTTCACGAAACCACAATTAGTCAAGGTGGCACATTTAGCCAAGTATAGAGAGAGTAGGATGCATTTCGCATCAGATTTCAAAGTCATTAAGCAGTTGGAATTAATTAAGAGATCTTCACACAGCTGGTCAGCTGACTACAACAATACAGTACTTGGATGTGTTCTGTACTCGAGTTAGAACACCAAAAGTAATAAGTCAGCATTTTCTGAGTCACCAGAAAATTTACTACATGGAAACTTTAAAATAAAAAGTTGATCAAGTTAACCACCTGCTTACAAAACCAGCAGAGACAGGATAAATTCATTTCAAATGACTTAGAACTGTTGTGTTCTTAAGACACCTTCCAACAAAATCAAGAATTATTTCTCAAAAGGGATTTTAGCAGATATGGTTGCCGTGGCGTTTGTAAATATGGTGAGACTGGAACGTTCCAAATCGGGTTTGCACACTTGGAGGAACAACCTGAAAGGGTGCTCGATTCAGCGATGACCCTCAAAGGGTTGAGGATTTCAACCTGCCTTGCCCCACCATCACATAAAGCCTGCTGCCCTGAGGACAGTGCTGGGAGGAATGTGTTGGAGGGTGGGGAATATCAGAACTGAGTGTATGTGGGACTTCCCCTATCTTTCACCAGGAATCTGTGTGAACCTCTGTGTACCAGTCAGCGGGATGGCACAGGCAGGGCAGTGTTGCTCACTTGCCTTCTAGACACACAGTGTTGCAGCTGGTTCCCAACAGGGTGGAGAGAGGTATACAGAGCTCAGCATGGTGGCACAGCCAATCCAATGCTTCTGCCCAGCTCACATCACATGAAGCACCCCTCCCCGCAGCATCCTTTAATGGTTGGAAGAAGGTGGGCTACCTCACTGAGTTCTACTGCCTCTGCTGAAAGCATCTTTTTAAATGGTGATTCCGTCCCCAGTGCTATGGCTTGATAATTTGTTGACTTTCATTATACACACACACTTACATGCTTTCTGGCTTCTGTTGCTTTTGAGATCCAAATATAAAAAAGATAAACAAAAGATGCTACATAGGTGTTTTGAAATAAACATTCAAGCACATGTCTGCCAAGTTTCTAGTTTCCAAGAAGCCTCCTTGCTTCTGAGATTTTGCCAATACATTCCATTTTCCTTTCTGCCACTTTTAGTTTCTGCAGTGCATCATTTCCTGTATTACTCTGAGCACAAAGTGGCCTTATCAGCCAGAAGTACAAACAACAGTTAACATGAGTTTGCATATGACACCTACTCTGTACTTTCCCAAATAAATGTACCCTTCTGAGAAATAGGCTTCTGTGCTTCCAGCAACCCAGCAACTTTCCAGCCCATGAATATAAGTGTCTGTGCAAAAGGCAGGGCACTCAACATAAACCGGTAGAGTTCCTTCCCCCAAAAAATACCTTGAGCCAATTTTTGTCATCACCTGGTTCTGATCCCAATTAGCATCCACTGTTTTATACCTAGTGTGATAAAGCAGCTACTTTGAATATTAGGGACGTAGAGAGTCCATTCCTCTTTGGAATTTGAATTTCAATCCTTTGGTTATCATGCAACAACAATGAAGTAACTCAGTGTAAGCAGTTTTAGCACATAAGTTATAACGACCAATTTCTCTACTTCTGTCTGGACACCAGATGCTTAAAACTCAAGCCTACGCCCACATCAAGCACCAAGGTAATATTTGGAAGCCCTTCTCTAAGCCCCCCCCCCCCCAATGTTCTGAGGTGAGGTGGTGGTGTGTGGGACTGGCTGGGGAAGACCTGTTTGGTTGTGGCACCCTGCTAACCGAACTCTCTCCCTCCAGACAGAATCATCAGCCACCTACCAACACAGAAAGAAATGGGAATCCTCCAAGATTACTGCATCATCATTTATCGCTCAGACCCTGGGTGAAATCCAGTGTTGGACAAACAGACCTTCCCCTTCTGATCCTCCTCAAAATCTGTCTGGATCCTCTAGAACAGATATGGGGAGGGGAACATGAGGTATTGCAGGGGTCGGCAACCTAAGGACCATGAGCTGGATGTGGCCCAATCGTCTTCTCAATCCAGCCCATGGATGGTCCAGGAATCAGTGTGTTTTTACATGAGTAGAATGTGTCCTTTTATTTAAATCTCTGGGTTATTTGTGGGGCCTGCCTGGTGTTTTTACATGAGTAGAATGTGTGCTTTTATTTAAAATGCATCTCTGGGTTATTTGTGGGGCATAGGAATTTGTTCATATTTTTTTTTCCAAAATATAGTCCGGCCCACCACATGGTCTGGCCCAGCCCACGGCTGAAAAAGGTTGCTGACCCCTGAGGTATTGCAAGGGAAAGTCAGTTCAACTCATGCACCCACACAACTGGCTATCATCCCCCCCATAACCCCGTGTTAGAAACTCAGATATACAAGCTAATCGCCAAATGGTGCCTTAAACCTGGGTTGCAGTCACCAGTACAGACTGTCTGGTCGCTATTCCTCCCCCTCGTGAAAATAATAATAATAAATTAGAAATAAATAAATAAATAAATAAATACATTTGTCTACAGTTTTGTAGTTTAAAGGGGGAAAATCTCAAAGCAGTTGACAACATTTAAAAAAAAATCAAATAAAACAATCCAGAATAAAACAGGGACAAGACTCAGATCAGCCTGCTGACTTCTTTTCTACCAGCCTATAAAGAGACTAGTAGCCAGCATGTGGGTGGCACTGTGGTCTAAACCACAGAGCCTCTTGGGCTTTTCGATCAGAAGGTCGGCGGTTCGAATCCCCACAATGGGGTAAGCTCCCATTGCTCGGTCCCTGCTACTGCCAACCTAGCAGTTCAAAAGCATGTCAAAGTGCAAGTAGATAAATAGGTACTGCTCCAGCGGGAAGGTAAACGGCGTTTCTGTGCGCTGTTCTGGTTCACCAGAAGCGGCTTAGTCATGCTGGCCACATGACCCAGAAGCTGTACGCCGGCTCCCTCGGCCAGTGAAGCGAGATGAACGCTGCAACCCCAGAGTCATCTGCGACTGGACCTAATGGTCAGAGGTCCCTTTACCTTTACCTAGCCAGCATTTCTATGCCAGATGAGGAATAGGGGGAACCGATCTGTAATAGTTTTGCCAGCTGTGGCATGAAGACTACATCCTCTCACCCAAGCACCTGCAGAGGGTTGCACAAAGAGCCATAGGTACATGCACACCTTGCATTCGTGAGAAATATCTATGAATTTCAGCACACTGGTGGAAAGGCAGCACAAACAATTACGGTACTTTTTCAAGAACAGAGTGCTGTAAGCTTCCACAGTGCTTTTGCCTTTCCACAAAGATCCATCACCACTCCCAACTGCGACTGTTACAAACACCTGTTTTTTTAACGGCAGTTTTACACACACTGCGTGGGTGTGTTAAGATACACAAAAGCAGGATACCAGACGTTTCTGCCTATATTTAGATCTGCCTGGTCAGCTGTAATTGCATAATTTCATCAGGACCTTCTGCAACGGAAATACATCCATATTCATCACACAGGCATCAAAGGAAACATCTTTACAAGCCATATCCTTTTACAAACCAACACATGGTCTCATGCCACTCTCCCCAATTGTTGAATTCCTCCTTTAGGAAGGGCAGGGGATTTTATTCCTTTATCAATAGCAAAGTCATTTCCCCTTATGGTTAGAAGGACAAAAAAGGTGGGGCTTTTCTCACAGGTGAACGAAGCGGGGGGTGGGGGGTGGGGTGGAGACAACTGAGAGAAGGGGGAACTGCTTTGCCACTAATGAAGTTCTGACAAGAAAGAGAGCTCTTTGGGATCAACTTCACAAATGTGGTAGAAAGCGCTTTGGCAACTCAAACGCATTTGGGGATGTTTTGCATTTATATTATAGAAGCAGGTTTTGCTTCGTTCCTACATGTGGTCAAAAGTCATCGACTTTCCTCACAGAAAGGCAAGATCTCTTTGGTATGCACCGCATGGAGGCTCCTTATATGGCACACAGCTGCTGCTTTGGTGTGGCTCAGGCATGCCCCGTGAGGAGGCCAGCTGGAGTTAGTCAGCCATTCCTGGCAGAAGCATATCTGTCAAGGTGTTTGTCTTTCCTTACAGCACAAATCTGCTGGCAAAAACAGGGGAAAAATTTACCTGAGCATTCCTGCCCAAGCAGTGTCTCTCAAAAGGGGTGTCCTTCATTCCTTTCCCCTCCCACGGCAGCTATGCACTACGGATTTTTTCCTCCTCAAGGAGTACGTGACCAGTCTGACAGGAGAGATCTCACTACCTTAGGAAATAGTCACTTACAGAGGATTTCATAGTTGAATGGGCTGAAGAGCCTAGATCTGCTGCAGATTTATTAATACCTGAATCCCTTAAGCAATTGAGAGTTCACTGTTCCAAATTAGAAATCCACTTGCCTTTTAAAAGCTCTGCATTGTACTTAAAATGAAGGCACAGAATCCACTTTTTAATCAAAACAATGTGTTCAACTGGTGTCTGTTGTCTTGACACGTGAAAATACTCCAATATCTATTCAGTACCAAAAAAAAGGGAAGAGTGGTATTCAGTTAAGTTTTAGTCATAGGCTCATGGAAATTAATAAACAAGGTGTAGGTCCATTTATTTCAGTGGGTCTACTCTGAGTAAGACTTGATCAAATACCACCTTTCCTCTGTCATGTTATGTTCCTTACTTTAAATAAAGCTAAGCCAAATTCCAAAAGGTAACCATACAGAGAGATGCAAAAACCCTGGATACAATAGGTGACACTTCGTCAACTAAATGCACCAAGAACTGAAGCTACAACTGCTGTCTTTAGAAACCCAGAATAGGGACTTGGCAATACTGATGAATACTGTACATTGGGCTGCTTCGTACATCACAGGAAGTGAACCTGCGTTCATGGTTTGTTTTTCCCAAACAAGCCACCAGCAGCTTGTGATTTCTTCACAAGAAAGAAAGCACGAGCACTGGTTCTCACATAACACTGAGCCAAGGCTCCTGGTTTCATCTACTGGACAGGGTGGAGCCAAAATTGTAAACCATAAACCAAGGGTAGGAAACTTCCACACTGCAGACCAATTGTGGACCACTAGGGGGTCCAATGTGACCCAAGACCAAATTTCCCCAAACCATGCTTACCATGGACAAGTGATGTCAGCTAATGGGTTAGGAGGACAGGCTTAAGTTTAATTCTATACTGGCTGTGTTTTGAACCCCTCAAAATGCATTGTTCAGCTACATATGTTTTCGAGCTATTCAAGTTCAGCTCTCATTACATGTTCCTTTGGCAACCTCCAAAAATAAGCTTTTTACAAAGTGTGAAGTTGTGTTTGATAGCAGGACCTCCAAAGCCCGTAAAAGCATATTAGCCAAACAATGTACAAATAGGTACCACGCTCAATTTTGCCCCGAAATATGCACTACATATGCCTATATATCAGAAGAAGCTGCATCTTTTGAATATACACGCAAGTCCCGCTATCACTCGCTCTCTGAAAATTCACTTATCTACACAAAAAGAATTATGCTGAAACCTTGCTATATGCCCCACAGATTCATTTATCTGAAGAGCCAATTTCCTGGCTTCCTTGTGGTTTGCTGCTTGGCAGCAGCCATTTTGGGGCAAAAACCATGGAGAGAGGCAGGGAGGGAGGGAGATTGGACAAATCAGTTTCCTCCTTCGGCTACAGCCATTTCAGGAAGAAACCATGGAGAGAGTGAGGAAAGAGCAGACAAATCCCACATTAGAAATATTTCCGTAGGAAATAATGGGGATAATGGACTCGTTATACACATGCTCGTCTAACAAAAGATTTCCAGAGAATGCGTTGTGTTCGTAAGGCGGGACATGTCTGTATACTTAGTCAGAAATGTGTAGAAATTTTATATAGTTAATTCCATAATAGAACACCATTTTACTTTGCAGTTTCTTCAAGAGGGGATGGAAAGCATGCAGTTATTTGACTTGGGGAGTCTCTAGATCAGAATTCTTTCCATGCAGAGTTTGTGAGATGCCCACTGGCATGTACAACCCAGATTTCTCTACCCTAAACCATGTTCACTTAAACCAAGGAATAGAGTTGCATTTTGGAAGCCTAAGAGTTTTCTTTCGCTGAACACAGAAAATGAAACAAGCTGTAACTTGCAGATTCTCCTCATTAATCAAATTTGCAATACAAGTCATCCAACTTAGATTTGGAACTCTTGCAGATCTAGGAATATACCAAGTTTCCTCATAGACTGCTAGTGTGAGAAACTTATAAACAGAAGTGAAAACACTTGTCTAAGATATTTGATAGAAACTGCCTCTTCCCCAATTTTCTTTCATGAACATGCAGCTGCCTTTTGCTTTAAGTAGTGTACTACAGTATATCTGATTTATAAAGGCTATGTTTGGGCATGTACACTTATGCTGAATTTATTACTAGTTCATGCAAATTGACTACCTAACTGGAGTTTCTCCCTGACCCCCAGGGAACTGCATTAAATACAAGTTTTGCAACAGGGTGAAAGTTAAGCATGTGAACATATGCAGCACAACTCAATCTGTTTAAATACCAGAGAGAAGATGTGAAATAACACAGGGGAAGAGTCATTTTTTTTTAAAAAAAAAACTAACATTGTAGTAACCTAATTGTACACAAATCTATTTATTCTGAAATACTGCGTAACATTTGATCATAGAAAAAAATTCAACTCAGATAACGTTCATCCCAATTACACATTTAAGACAACCTTTAGTTTTACTAAGCTACCCTAGTATGCCTCAATCGTAAAAGTTGTCATGACAGCTGACAGTTCAAGTTACACATTCTGAGAAAGCCATTTTAAATATTTGGCCTTTTGTGAAATTTTTACACACCAAAGAAAGCTTATACTGTACTCCTGAAGCTTTCAGCTGGTTTAACCACAAAAGGTGCTCAAAGTTATAAATAAGTTATAAATGAGATCTTCAAAGTCTACCACCTTAGAAGTATTATCAACTTTTAAAACAGGGGCTTTTAATTTCTATCTCGAAGGATTAGGACGGGCTACAGTTGTATTACGCAAGATACAATAAAGCCCACATCCTTAAATGCGTAACAATGAGCACCAAGGCCAGGCCTGCCTTAAACATCTCCAGGTAGAAAAAGTTCACAGCTGTCCAACAGCCATCAAGACCGCCATACTATTCACTCTTCCATCTAAACCTGTCATATGGTTGCAAGATTCAGTTTCCTCTGCTCTGAGAAATCACAAGGGAATATCGGGGAGGATGAAATATAACATATGTCGTGCTCAAGTAATTTAATGTTTTAAAATAGAACTGCATTGTTTCATTTTTTTGTTTTTCTTCCCATCCTTTCTTCATGTTGTGAATGATTTTGCTACCCCACCCTATTTTATCCTCAGAAGAATCCTGAAAGGTAGGTTCAGCCAAGTGGTGGTGGCTGGCCCAAGGTCATGGCCAAGTTGGGATTCAAACTTGGGCTTCCTCATCCTTGTCTAAGCAACTCTACAACATTGACAACATTTGATTAAAGACTGATCACCACACCAATCACTCAAATCTACTAAGGAGGTGTGTCAGATTACTCAGGCACATTTTTACAATACAACAACAACAACTGCCATCTGAAGAGTTCCATCATTTCTTACACACTGCATCTAAAAACAACAGAATAGGATCCAGAACTATTGTTCTCATTCATATTCATGTTTAAAGCTCAACCACCCAACAAAGATTTCTTTGTCTGGGTGACAGCCCTGGTTTATAAATATTCAAACAAAATGAAAGGTGCAGGCTTTGAAACACAACAGGAGATACGGCTGCAGACACTGGTGGTATCTGCAATTCACCAACAGAAGCTGGTGGTATCTGCTTGGTACCAATTCAAGCCATTGAGTCTTTAACAGGCATTCTAAGCAGAACACACATTTCTAGTCTAGTCTAGTCTCATTTCGTGCCAGTTACTGGGACAGAGTTTGGGGGAACAAAATGGTTGGAGCCTTCGCAACATCTGTACTGAAAAGGACTCCTCCCTGGGCTTTCAAAACAGAAGCCTCAATGGATCTAAGACCACTCCAAAATTTTACAGTATTCAAGGAAAATGAACATTATACCACCATGACTAGTGATGTATGGCATGTATGTATGTTTTCTACAAAGTCTTTTATTTCATAAAATTGGTAACACAATGAATGAACACAACACAACAGGGCAGCTGGAATGGAAACGATACCAGTCAAGACTAAAATCAGAGTTGTAATATCACTTTTCAGGTGACTATAACCGGAGACACAGGTTACTAACAAAATCAGTATATCAACCATTGTCTTTACCTTAAAATGTAAATAATGTAAAGAACTGTATGCAATTGAGTAGCCATAGCTTAATATTCCAATAAAACTAATATCCAAATATCCCAATTTAAATGTTTAAGCCAGGCAGGCAGAGCAATCCTAGCACAGGTGAATCATACTGGCCAGGACAAAAGGGGGGGGGGGGAGAAATGTTTTTGCTGAACCAGTTCCAGGCTTGTAGAACTGAAAGTCCCAGATTGGGCCCCACTCAAAGGGATGAAACAGCTCTGGATCCAGCAGATCAATGGCTGCCTCTGCTCTATCCCCACCCTGCCCTCATAATGCCCCTTTTGGGGTGGGGACTACGTTTGTTACTGGCAGCTGAAAGACTGCTAATGATAGATACTCAACTGCCTAAAATTCTTACTGCTTACAGGCACAGACTCTGTATGGATAAATAGAGTAACATTTGGAATGAGTTTATACAAAATGTAGTAGGCTATTAAAATTTACATAAGCACTAGGACAACAATACTATACCAATTTATACAAGAATGTATGGGAATATCACATATTGCTCTCTCTTTTTTTGCATATTTTTGCTTTTATCTTTGTTGTTTTTCTCCCTCTCACTTTTCCTTCTTTTTTTCAGTATCACTTTATTTCTTTTAACTGAAATCACCTTAATAATTAATATATATATATATATATATATATATATATATATATATATCAGGGGCTTAGGACAGTTTTGCTTATTGATCCCCCACCCACCCATATCAAATGTTTTTGTTCAGCTTTCAGCTGCTTTTTTGGAGGGGGGTGGAATGAGATAATTTATACAACATGTGAAATTTAACATGGTACATATTTAGTAAACAGACCTAAAACAAAACAAATATGTTAAAACAAAATTTTAATTGATTTAGGGCAGCCGGAAATTTTCCATGAAGTTTCCAAATTCAAGGTTTCCCAGAAAACCCACAACACTTCCCCTCTCTCTCGCTACTCAGTTCACAGGACTTGCCAACCATCACTTCCTCCCTTCTTAACTGGATTTCATTTTATATCCCTGGTTTTGGATGAAGTCGCATCTAACTCATATTGCACCAGGTGGTACAAAAAAACCCACATCCAATATCTTATTTGAAGCACTAACACACAGTATCCCCAAGTAAAACTACCCTGGCTATTTTCTGAATGCATAAGAATGTCATCTGTACAGTCTTTTTGTTCAGCAGAATGCAACTCTTGAGGAAATAACATTTTCCAGTTTGTAGCAGAATTCAGCAGCACCAATTGGCTGAGGCTGGTGATGAGACCAAGAAGCCTCCCCCTGGATTAGATTTTCAACCAATTTTAACTTTCTCCTTAAATATAAAGGTGCCAACTGTATTTATGCATTAAGAATTCAATTTTCCCCCACCCCTGAAAGCCAGATAAAACATGTGAACTGGGAATGTGGATGGGAAGAACAGTGAAACAAGGACCAGGTCAGGATTGGGACTAGAACAAAATCTGTTCTTTTCAGTTGAAAGCCAGACTCACACCACAGGAGAGAAAACTGTGCCAGTGTCTGACTTGAGATATGTCTGTATGAAACCCAATTTGCCACTTTCATACATGAAAATCAAAGCTGTTTAAGCCTTGAGCAAGTCACCAAGGAGATGCTAGGAAGCTTGAATTGAACAGGTTCACACCATGTTCAAGTCACAAAGTTACTGTGCAGCCAGTGCAATTAGTAGTTTTGAGATTCAGTGGTCTCTTATATGATTTGTTACCCATCTCCATAAACACTATCCGTATACAGGAATATAACCAGGATTTGCAGAAAGCTGCATTAAGATTTGTATCTCAGTTCTTTCCTAAACAGATTGAATGCTTACTTTTAGACAAACAATACTAAAATACTGTCTTCTATTTTTCAGCTGAATTTTTTTTCATGGAAATTTGGAGGTACTATTATTCCTTTATTTGCCAAAATTCCATATGCTAACATTTACCCAAATCTTCATCTTCACCCCTACAGCCCCAAGACATTTTGCTCTGAAAAACAGTCATTGTTTTGTTGCACAGTATGGCTTGGATACCATAGCTAGATGGATGGCAGTGTATTTTGGAAAGACTGTTGTTCCAAGAGCATTTTCTTTCCTTCCAATCTCATAACTGTTTGATCTGGAAGCATGATTGGGCATGCACCTACCAGAAACAGGGCTACTGGAAGAAGGTATTTTCACACACTATTCAGCAAAATCATTTCCTGCACCAGTCCAAGCTGAAAGGCGCATTGTCCCTCGCCCCAATTCAAGTGTATTTATGGGCCCTGAACATTCCAAAAACTTTCTACCAATCAAACCTTCTATTTTCCAGCTCCAATAATAAGTTGATTTGTAGTGGCCAACACTGTTGTAGTGACCCAAGTCTTGTTTGTTCAGCACAAAAGCAAGCCCAGTTGGTCTGTTGGATCCAAGATCCTAACAGTGCCAAGGACTGCAGCTTGCATACAAAAGTACAGCACATGCAATTTACTTTTTTCTTATTGTTATCTGATACTCAAAAGCAGGATCTGTAGTTTCTGCAGCACCATGACTGCCAGGGAGCTTGCTGCATTCACAATCTGGATTAACTGCAAAGTGTTTGCTTGCAGACAAAGCAGCTTTCATTAGCCTCCTCACATCTGTATCCCACCCATGCCCCCAAGCAGAATTTCTGCTATACAACTCTTGAGAGTTAAACTGGGGTGAATGGCGATTTTTAGCTGGACTCTCAGTACAAAGACATAATGCCAAATGGCAATGATAATCTGGTGGCCTGCTGCAAAGCGGTGTATCAGGACAAGCCAGCTTTCAATTTAATTTAGAATATTTCTTGTTTATTTTTTACTTTACATTGTTTAGTTAGCATGTGGGGGGCGGGGTTTCCCTGTGGTAGTCTGTTCTTCAATAAGCTCCCTTACCAATTTAAGTTTTATGAGAACATACTTGCAAAGACAACAGGGCTCTCAATTATTTACTTCTAAATATTCACCTCTGTATTACTCACAAAAGAAGAATATGGGTGTTGGAGTTCCAACACTTGCTTTCATAATATATTTAATTATGATGACTGAACTAACAAGCTCACAGGCTGACCCCCCTCATTTCACCCTGATGTATCATTTTGCATTTCACTGCTGTAAGTCAATTTGAGATCTACAGCAGGTTGGAAAGGCTAGTAATGATGCTCTCTGCAGTCTCTAGGGAGTCCACATTATACACAGCTTACATTATTTATAAAGCCTAGATGATGCGTCCATTAGCCTTGCAGGATTACACACCAAGAGATACCACTTACACTTGACAGTACTGACTGCTGCATTGCCAGCACAGCTTAATTCAAGTTTACCTACTCCCTAAGCTGATCTTTCCTTCTGTTTACATACATTAAGGTGGATTGCTGTGAGAAATTTGTTTGGAAATAATCACTGCCACTTTAGGTTCATGCTTTCATTCTCAGAACAAACCAGACTTTACACATAAAAGCTCTTTTGAGCTTCTCTCTGTCTGCTATGCAGCAGCATGCAAGTGTGAAAGGAAGAAATGTGTTTTTAAAAGCATATTTAAAATCTATTAATTTTTGCAGCAACATAGATTTACAATCACAATTTCAATTTGTTGTCACCTGTGAACATATACGTTCTTCCTCCACCTACCACTATCCTTTAAAGTTGAATACATTTTAGGGAATGGCTTTTCCATTTTTAATCTCTCCTTCCCATACAGAAACAAGGGGAAAGCCACACTGTCAGTTCCACAACACTGGGGGGAGGGAGAATTAACACCCACCCTCTTTCTCTGCTATCCTTGCTACTAATGTCCTAAAACAAGGGAGGGAGAATGGGTTTGTGTATGTGTTTATCTTCAGGAGGGGTATGTATAAGCATAAGAGGGTGGTGAAAAGACACGGCTTTCCTCCTGTCCCTGTCAGTTTTACAAGAATACAGAGGGAGGAAATGATGGTGCAGTGATATGGGACAAATGATGCTTGTGGGATTGCATCCGTCTATTCACAGGGCAGTATAGGATAGCATCTGGTATAAGCAGGTGGCGATATGTTTTCTCCCACTCCAGCGCCAAGGGCTGCAGTGACATTTGAAACAGGAAAGCCATAATTTGTGAATGGTGGCAGATGTGCATTAACTGAAGGGATGGGGAAAGGCCGAACAAGAAACAAAGGTGTCTTAATATTTTCCCTATCTTTCTCCTGCGGAACTTTAAAACGTGCGACTGCAGCCGTAAGAGTTTTTCGCCATCAGCGCTATTATCTAGAATCTATATTGCCTTCACCTCTCTCAACACTGCTCAGAAGTGTTTTTGAGTCATCAGATCGTCAAGGATATACACTAAAAACCACAACTAGAGAGAGGGACAATGCAGAACAGAACTGTATTTGATTACATTTTGGGGAGCGAAGGGGTCATAATTAAAGCAAGGACAAATCACTATCCTTGTAACCTGATCTGGCCTTGAACTGAAGTGATCTTATCCGGGGAGGTGACTAGGAAGCACTGCAAGGCTGTGAGTTTTTGGAGACCCTGTTTGTGCCTTGAAAACAGAAGGTCCAAGTATTACAGTTAGCAAGTAGGATAAGCATTTCCAGAACCTTTTTAAAACAGACAGCAGAACGGAGTTGTCTCTCAGTCCTTCCTCAGCAGTGATCTTCAATCTGTTTCTGGGTGTAATGCACACAATGAGAGTTAATCTTGTCTTGTGGCAAACCAATTTATTATGGCCCATGTTTTTATGGACTCAAAGCCCATCTGACAAAGTGGGCCTGAGTTCACAAAAGCTTATGAGTCCACAGAAGCTTAATAAATGTGTTTGCCTCCAAGGTGTCATAAGACTGATCATTTCTGCTGCAAGAGACAAACACAACTACCACTCCAGAATTTTTTTCAATGAAAAATAAGCATCTAATAAGTATAATGTAGCATCAGTCTGGAAGAATATAATCTGTTTGTTACTTCCCAGCAGCCAAACAGCAAATGTTTTGGAAAGAGAATCTTTGTAGTTATAGTAAAGTTCCAGTTTCAAAATAGTTATACAAACAAGAAGTCACATGCACAAACTGCAGAGCAAGACCATTAAGTGAGACACAACTTTTGCAAGTGTTTTTGCTATAATTCAAGTGCAAACTATAGTTACACAGTACAGTCAACTTAATTAAGAATGTATCTTGTCCATCCTAGACCTGTGAAGGCACCCTGGGACCCATTTGGGAACATGAATTTTCACCAGTAAACACTTTTCCTAAGCACTGCTTAGGAGCCTTTCAGTCATAAGTGGTTGGTGCTGGAATATATACAGGGGGAAAATGGGTACTAATTTTGGTCTCCATGGAGTAACTCACACATTATGTGTATATATGCGCTACAGTGAAGATCAGTTGTTTCCTGAAACATGAAGCCACTCCTCAAATTAAAGCAGCCATTCATATTCATACCCTGTATGAAGAACTGCTAAGCCAGCCCACACACAGCTTCATCAACTATTAACAAAGGGCCAGAAATTGCTGCCCCCGGTTTTGGCATAACTTCTCTTCCCACCAATTCCCAGAAAGGTTGCTAGAATATAATGAGCCAACTATTTTCGGACTGGGGGCGGGCGGGGGAGGAAGTCACCCCCAGATTTCACCGAGCCATCCCTGCCACCCCGGTTCGATAGAGGCTGGAAAAATAACATTTCAGAAGGGGAAGTTCTAGGGCACAGATGCCTCCTATGAAGTCTGAGAAAGATGGCTCAGTAACATCACCCTCACACGGGGGGGGGGGGAGGCATTAGAAAGCCACAGAGAGGAGAGTAAATCTATTGTGTTGGTTTCCCTGAACCGCACAACTCCGGCCTCATCCTGCCGCCCGGGAGAGAAGTCGCGTCTCAGGCGCGCAGGCGAAGAAGCCGTGGCAAGTTTCCCCCGACTTGGCTCCGAGCACAAAAGGGGCCCGGACGCCGGGGGAAATCTCCGCGCAGCCGGGGAACAAGGGCTCTTGTCTTCTGCTGCATTTCTTCTCCCTCCCTGGCTCGGGACGGAGGGGAATAGGGAGCCGCTCCTGGCGTGTCTCCTTCGCGCCCCCAGAGCCACCCCGACCGTCTCCATGCAGACTCTCAGGAAACAAGGGAAGATCGGGATGGGGGGGGAGGGAGGGAGGGAGGTTGGCCCGACGGGACACTTTTTAGGACAACGAAGTTTTAAGAAGGGGGGGACCCCACCGCGGCTTCGGCCCCCGTCGGCCCCACGGCTAACTACAGCCGCCATCATGATGGGAACGAAGCCTCTCTCTCTCTTTCCCTTTCCATTCCCCTCCCAGGGAGCCAGACGCGCGCGCCTCCAGTCCTTCCCTCTTGCCTCCTCGCCGCCCTTTCGGCTGCACGGAGGAGGAGAGCGGCGAGGAAGGAGAAGGCGAAGCAGCCGAGGGAGGCAGGGACGCTCCGTTGTCCTTTGAGAACCAGAAAGATCCCCGAACCAGGAGGAGGCCGCCGCTTGGGGTGGAGGGGAGTTGCTGGATGCAGGCAGGACTCCGGGCAGGAAGGAGAAGGGGGAGAGCGCGAGGGAGTTTTTCTTACCGGCTCTCGGTGGGGCGAGCAGAAAAGAGCGTGCAAACGAGCCACCCGCCGCCGATGAGCTAAGTCCCGCTCTGCTTTTGGGGGTTTTTTGCCTTTGCCGCCCCCCCCCCCCCGCTTCTCTCCTCCTTTGCCGCTCCCGCTTCCAGCGTCGCCGCCGCTGCCGCCGAGCAGCCGTGCGCTCGCTCTGCTGCTGCGCCTGGATTGATCTGGTCTCACTGGCGTCAGAGAGTCGGAGCCACCCAGCCTCCACTTACCCCGCTGCCAATATGCAACATACATATATACACACACACACACTCGCTCACACACACGCGTGCGCGCGCTCTCTCTAGGCCAAGTTAGGGATCCTCTCCAAATGCCCGCCCCCGCTCCGACGAGGAAGGCACCGCTGGCTTGACTGCAGAAAGCAAGCCTCTCTCGCTTCTTTCCTCTTGTCTTTTTTTCTGCCCACCCCCCTCGCTCCTTCCCTCTTTCTCTCCCTCTCCTCCCCCAAGGAGGATTCTCAGCCGCGGCTGGGACGGGCGGCCTGCGGCGGGGTTGGAGCTCCGTCAGCGACCATCGGCGGAGGGTGGCGAGCCGAGCAGGGCAAGGCTTTCATGTTGTCGCTTCCAGCTCCCTGCCGCTTCCGCGCGGGTTAGGCGGCCATCCGCGGAGCTGCAGCCTCGTCCTTCCGAGAGCAACAGGTCCCGAGGCTCTGGAAACAAGCGGCTCTTGTGCCAGTGGATCCCAGAAGCCCCGGTTCTGAACCCAGTTATCTGCAAGATATTTGAGAGGCTTCATGAAAGCATATTTTGAGAGAAAAGAGCCCCAAAGATACATCTTTAAATGCATATACAATTTGTGTGTGGACTTTGATTTCTTTGTCCATCACTAGGCATTCAAGCCCTAGCATGTTTTCTGTTCCAGAAAATTCTCAAGACAGCATGTTACAGTGGTACCTCGGGTTACATACACTTCAGGTTACATACACTTCAGGTTACAGTTTCCGCTAAGCCAGAAATATTACCTAGGGTTAAGAACTTTGCTTCAGGATGAGAACAGAAATCGTGCAGCAGTGGTGCAGTGGCAGCAGGAGGCCCCATTAGCTAAAGTGGTGCTTCAGGTTAAGAACAGTTTCAGGTTAAGAACAGACCTCCAGAACGAATTAAGTTCTTAACCCGAGGTACTGCTGTATTTTGGATAGCCCTACACGTTACAATTGTTGAAAATCCTAGTGGTTCCCCAAGACATGGCCATCTTACAAACAAGGTGTAGATGTAAACACATCTTTAACAACCAGTGTACACATGCCTGGGCAGCTTCCCAAATGTGTACATTTCTCTTCGCCACCAACCTGAAAACCTCCACTCCCCTAAGTCTGTTTTTAGTAGTGGACCATATTGAATTTTCTACTCTTTTAAGTGAGAATGCAATACCATCCTAACAAGCTAGCCATTTTTCTTCAAGATCTATATGCCAGGGTACCCCCACCAAGAATGAGTCAAGTTCTGAGTTGGAATTACATGGAATTTGGGTGCTGAAAAAGCTCAGCTTACTAGATAACTCTAAGATAGGTTTTTACAAATTTGTTCCAGCGAGAGATCTGTTTGTGCTATAGCTAGGGTTGAAAACTGCTTTGAAAGTCTTCTCATTTATTATTGTCAGAACCATGAGGCCAAGTTATACTGAGGCGCTCAGAGTTTAATTGGCCAAGGAAGGATTTGAACTCGCATAGCATGCTATCTACTACCACTTGCAAACATGCCATTCAACAACCCCTACTAAGAAAAAAAAATTAAATCAAGGAGAGTCGAAGATGATGATAGGAACAAAACCATGCACATCCATAAAGAAAGCCTCATGGTTAGAAATAGCCCAAAACATGTGGATTCAAGATGTGCTTCTGATATGCAAAGGATGGAAGGGACAAAGAAGAAGGGACATACATTAAGTGGGCCACTGAATAAAAGAGTACCAAAGACTTTATTATCCACCTCACTGCCTTTTTCAGCGTATGGACCCATGAAGGAAGCTTTTGAATCTAGCCTTCCTGGACCTAACACATTTTGATCTGAAAACCTTTTCCTCTAGTGATACGGGGTTTGGGGATTGCCTGAAATTATATACGGTAGTCATGAGGGAGAGGCACTATGCACATGCTCAAAGACACCCCTATGTTCCAGGGCTAAAGCTGCAGTCCTAATTCCACTTTCCTGGGTGAAAGCCTCACTGAGTTCAATAGGACTTAACATCTGAGTAGACACAGTAAGTCCTGATATTAAAAACAGGTCCTAAACTAGGCTGAAATTAGTATGAGGGCCAAAGTACAGTGGTAACTCAGATAATTCGTTCTGGAGGTCTGTTCTTAACCTGAAACTGTTCTTAACCTGAGGTACTTTAGCTAATGGGGCTTCCTGCTGCCACCGCACCGCCGGAGCACGATTTCTGTTCTCATCCTGAAGCAAAGTTCTTAACCCGAGGTACTATTTCTGGGTTAGTGGAGTCTGTAACCTGAAGCGTCTGTAATCTGAAGCGTCTGTAACCCGAGGTACCACTGTACGTTAAATGTGCTGTCACATACATGCACAGCTATTATAACACCTATTATCTGATAATAACACCTATTCTCTGATACAGATTAGAACTGCCATGCCATTTTCCCAACCAGGGGAGTTGTGTCCCCAATAGTGTGGGAGGGGGCGCTGCCTCCACCTCTCTGATGCTTCTGCCCCAGAGCTGCAGACGATTGCTGCATCAGAGAGCGGCACTGCCCCTGCCTCTCCAATGCTTCTGTCCCCTTGTCAGATTTGACCCGGGGGTCAAGCTGTCACTGGCTGGTGGCTGAGCCCTCCCTCTCCCTCTTGGCGGGCCCAGAAACGGCCCTAAATACAAGGAGCAGCTGCTGCTGCAATATGGGAAATGTAGTGAGGCGCCTGGTTGCGTCCCTCAAAAAAATGTCCCCAGGGCAATGATCCTCCCAGACCTGCCATGCTACGCCACTGATCCCAACAGTCCCTCCTCTCCATTGAACACAGTGGGAAATATATCTAGGTAAGTGTGCTTGGGTCTAGGGTTCCAGGTGGAACTGTAACATAGGAGACGTTTGTTATATGTGGTGTGGAAGGATTTCACCTCCCTGGTAAAGGCCTTTGCCTCTTTAACAGATGCAGAAAGGCAGATAGCACTTTGAAAGGCAGATAAGATGGCTGGTGATAGTACGTGCCAGTATTAGGCATCCATGAGTGGTTGAACTCTAGCACTCAAGAGACCAGAAAGGAGAGTAGATTAAGGAGCATGGATGTGATTGGTCCATGTGCTCTTAGTAGGAGAAGGAAGCTATTTGATACAGAGTCAGACCTACCTGGAGACAAGGAGGATTGAAAATGGAACTTTTATGCATTCAAAGCAGATGTCCTACCACTAAGCTCCAGCCCTTCCCCAAGGGAATGTATCTTGTGAGATGCTGCAGATTCTGCTGGGCTCGTGAAAATATAGAAAATAAACAGATCACTGAATAACAAACACATCTGTATTCTTGCCAACTGAGCTTTAGCTGCTGAAACCTACCTGCTTTCTAGCAGTAAAAGGCATAGCCACTTTTGAGTAAAATAAAGTTGGCAGCTCGGCCTTATGTTGTTGTTTAGCCGTTTAGTCGTGTCCGACTCTTTGTGACCCCATGGACCAGAGCACGCCAGGCACTTCTGTCCTCCATTGCCTCCCGCAGCTGGTAGCTTCAAGAACATCATCCAACCATCTCATCCTCTGTCGTCCCCTTCTCCTTGTGCCCTCCATCTTTCCCAACATCAGGGTCTTTTCCAGGGAGTCTTCTCTTCTCATGAGGTGGCCAAAGTATTGGAGCCTCAGCTTCACGGTCTGTCCTTCCAGTGAGCACTCAGGGCTGATTTCCTTAAGAATGGATACGTTTGGTCTTCTTGCAGTCCATGGGACTCTCAAGAGTCTCCTCCAGCACCATAATTCAAAAGCATCAATTCTTCGGCGATCAGCCTTCTTTATGCTCCAGCTCTGGTTAAATATGACATCTCATGTAAAATGACAGAGAACCTAAGCAAATGTTCTTTGGTAAATCCTGCAATCTACTGTAAAGAATATAAGGGCCTTTTTAATAACTTTCAGTGGCTATCCTAAAGCAAACAGAAGCAGTCCCTTATTTCATCCTTCAACACAGTATTTTTCTATGGAATTAAGCACAGGTTATGAAGCACGCAGAATCACCAAGCAAATGAAAACATTCTAATATTATTAAATGCACTTCACTCTTCTAATTTAGATAATACTTCTGCAGAAATAGATCTAGATGCCAAAAAAAGTATTTGCTTGGCTTCAATTCATTTATCTTTCCTGTTTATGCTCTGATGGGACTCGAACCAAAATTCATTACTTAGGTAAGATTAATGTATCCCTCCATAGCAGCCAAGATCCTGATTAAAGGTTTTAAATTAAAAGTTTGGGGAGTGAGACAAGGAGACTTGCCCATTGTCTCCTTCACTGCCTGTCATCACCACTTACATTTGGATAAAGAGAGTTCATTCCAGCAACTGTGTTTACTAGTTTAGAAGTTAGAAATCTGGAATATCAAGTTATATATTTGATGTCAGTAGGAGTGGTCTACTTGCAAGTCGTATCCATTCTGTATACTGGAGCTATCCCTTCTCAATGCTGAAGTGGAAGATAGGGTTGCTAGCAGGCCTACTCATGCCTCTTAAGTATTCCCCACACCCCTCCTTGGGCCCCGGTAAGATAGCCTGAGGATTCTGCACAGAGTCGTTGAAAATAAATTATTTCCTTCTAACTATTCCACTTGGAGACATTTACATAACTGGATTAACGTGGTCTTCTGTTTGTATCTTGGAAGACACCTTACCATGAGTCTGCTCTGGCATATTAATTACGCTTTCCCATTTCTTATGAGCTCTGCCCCAGTTACATCTCGTTAAAAACTGCAGTGGTTTATTAAAATGTGTTTCGACACACAGCAGGCTCAGAATTAAATCTCTCCATTTACTAGTTGTTGGGCACTGTCAAACATCATGGTTCAGCAGCAAAGTCAAAGGACCAGTCCGCACATGCATCTATATGTCTGCTTCCCCTCATTCCACTCAATCCCTTCCAACTATCACTGGGTATATAACAGCATGGAGAAACATCAGCGTGAACCAAACTAGACACAGATACAGCCAGCAACTGTCAGCAACTTTTCCAGTGATTGCAGCAGCTGGAAATGGTGCTGCTACAATTGCTGCTGGCAATAGCCACATGCAGCACAGTTCAAACTGATTTTTCTGTACACCTTGGGACAGCTGAAATGATGTTCATCATGCAGTGGGAGCCAGCACTTGTAAGCAGAATGCTGTGAGCTGTTCCTTAGACTCATAAACTGTCTGGTGCAGAAAGGCCTGCAAACAGCTCTGGTGATCTAGGGAAGCCTTAAAATTCCAAGTTAGCTGTCCTGGATATATTTATTTTGTGCTCCTTTAGTATATACAGCATTGAAATATCTGATCCAGTCCTCAAAGTGTCCTGTGTGGAAAAGTTGCAGCAAAAATCACTGCATTGGGAACCAAGGCTGCAGTAATATGCACACATACAATGGCAGATATCTGATTGAACTTATTTCTGAATAAAATGGCTAGTGTTTATTCACCAGAGAGAGTGTGTTTACAAATTGTGCATCTTAAAAAACACACACCATGAACAGACTTTTAGATGGCATATTATAAACGATAAGATTGGTAAGCAGATTGTTGTTGTAATTGACTTTTAGGAAATGTTGCAATTACCTTCTAAAATGTTGCAATTGCCTTCTAGGAAAGATTGTGAAGGCTGGATTATATCATGGCCACAATCCAAAACTCCACAAAAAAACCCACAAAAAAATCTGGCACACATACGGAGCTCAGTGTGTACAGGGGATATTCTGTTCTCTTCAGTGTCAGGAAATGCTTGTGCCCACTGCATATACACAGAACATTCCCAAACCAGTATCAGTCCCTGTGGGAGTAGAGCATAAAATAACTGGATAATAGCATATAGGGAGATAGAGTTCTGATACCATGCATTGTCCCATGGCACAACCATAAAACAATGCACAGAGTGGTGCTATGCAGAAAAGTTGGTGTTAATTATCTAAAACCCCTTTTGAGTACTATGCATATATACACATTGAACATTTATATCCTTTCTTGTAATCCAGTCGATTTACAAAATGTTTTAGAACCAAATAACAATTAAAAAAACCTTTCAAAATCATAACCAACCACACGAAAATCCACATGACCAAAGTAGCAACAAACCAATAAAATAAATCTAAGCAGCAGTATAAAACAGCAAATGAAAATAAATGAAAAGAGCAGCAACATAGCATTGCATTATTCTTTCAGTCTGGATGAATAAAATCACTTTGGCCTGGTGCCAAAAACTCCAGTGAGCAGCAGGCAAAGCTTTCTGGATAGGGAATTATATAAACTGGGTGCCACCACAAAAAAAGGCCTTATCCCTGGTTGCCACACCAACCAACTTCTGATTCTTTTAGGGGGGAGGCACCTGAAATAGGGTCTCAAATGTCAGTCTGCTAGGAGACAAAGAAAGAAGGTTGCAATCCGATGTAAAGGGCAAAAACTGCTACTAGACCCAGGGACTTGGACTTGGAGGACAAACCTTTTCCTATCTATGCCCATGAAATTTGAAGAATGTTGCAAGTAGTTATATTGTCCATAGGACAAGTCGAGAATTCTAATGATAGGCGACTTCCATTATCAGTGATCTTAAGAGTTCCATTGGAATCAGCCACATAAACACACAAATGAAGCTATTTAGAATAAGAGTGCCTCATAAGTAAAGGTAAAGGTAAAGGGACCCCTGACCATTAGGTCCAGTCGTGACCGACTCTGGGGTTGCGGCGCTCATCTCGCTTTATTGGCCAAGGGAGCCGGCGTACAGCTTCCGGGTCATGTGGCCAGCATGACTAAGCCACTTCTGGCGAGCCAGAGCAGCACATGGAAACGCCGTTTACCTTCCCGCCAGAGCAGTACCTATTTATCTACTTGCACTTTGACGTGCTTTTGAACTGCTAGGTTGGCAGGAGCAGGGACCGAGCAATGGGAGCTCACCCCGTCACTGCCGACCCTCTGATCAGCAAGTCCTAGGCTCTGTGGTTTAACCCACAGCGCCACCCACGTCCCACCTCATAAGTAGTGGGAGGCAAATTTACCATTTGTAGTACAGGCTAAAGTGAGATTCATTCAAGTACAGAAAAAGGCTAAGGATGCAATACTATGCATACCTAAATTTCTGATGAATTACGTACATAGGATTTACTTTTGAGTAGATGTGTGCAGGATTGCAGTGCAAGGTTTACTCATCTGATTTTTCTCTCTAGTGTCCCAAGAAACTAAAAAGATACTGCTACCTTTTTCATATTTATTGTGTAACTGTGCAGGTTCTGTATAGGATTTTGACTTGGCATCTGAAACAGAGATTTTTCAAAGATATTGTTATAGATCTGAGGGGGAGGATCCCCCTAAACTTTAGGAATGAAGAAATATTAGGATTTTGATTAATTGGGATATGGATTAAAGTGCAGAACTGTGCCAGGCAGGGAATTCAGGAAACTCCTGGCCTGGTTTATGCAAACCAGCCTGGCCAGGCTAAGGCCATTAAGGGAACAATAATGGGCCATTGAGGAGAGGAATCCTTTAGCCTGTGGGGTGAGATGCTACCAAGGTAATGGGGTGTATGTTTGAGGGGAAAAGGGAGTTTGGAAGCAAGGGGTTTTCTGGGAAGGAGGAGGAGGAAGCTGAGCAGGAAGGCTGCCTGCAATGCTGTGGGCCATGCTGCAAGATCTGGACTGAAGATGTAAATAGGCGAATAAACCATATTTCTTAAAGCACGACAGTCTCCTCCGTGTCTTCTATTCTCCAAAGGGACACAGACCCTGTGTGTGCCTTTGACCCCATGGGCTCTTGTCACCGCTTGGCAGAGAGACGGGCAGGCACCGTGCTTTTGTAACAATATAATTGTACCCGGCAGGTCTACAGCAGCCAACCTTTGCTGGCATCAGCTGTATGCCCACCCATACTCATGCACCTTCCTCTTTGACAAGCTGGATATACTTTAGAGGGCTCCCTGGCTCTACATCAAGCCTGGATGCAACTAAACCTTAAATAGGAGATAGAATGTGGGCTGTCTAGCTCTCTGTCCCGGGGCAGCAGGTTCTTGGCAGGTACTTTATGACAGATGGTCTTGAGACAAATTTCTCTCTCTTTCCATTTGCACCTCCTGGAGCAAGATGTGCTGCAGATTCTAAGCATCCTGACAGTGACACGTTTACACAAGCTCTTGGAAATCTAACCTTGATGTGAACAAAATCGGTAGCAAATGTCAGTTCAGTGCAAAACAGCAGTGCCTCTTCTGAAATTAAGCAGCATTGTTTTGTGTTTTTCAACAGTTAAATGTCCCACCTATTATAAAGCATTTAACCTCACCCCTTAGACCTGATTCTAAACCACCAGCAATCCTTTGGGTTGGGTGGTAGTGGTGAAGATATGGAGAAAGGGTCCATGAGTGGAAGAAAATAGAGATGTTGTATGTTGGTGCAGGGTAGGCTGTATGCCCGAGCCCCTTCCAGTTCTTGGATCCAACAGGGAATCAATTGCTGTAATGGCCAGACACGTTTATTGGTGATATCCCTCTAAGTATGGGTGTTTAAGGTAACAAAGGAAGTGGCTCTGTGCCAGAGGCCAAATGGGTGGGGCCATCTCCTTCAACTGTCTGGTCGTTAGGAAGACAAAAGCCAGAGTTGTGTGTGTGCAGGCAAGAAGATGGAAGCAAGGAAGAGCCATGCCTGATTTCAGCTGGAATCCAAGACTGTGGCTATGGGAGAAGGAGACCTTTTTGGATGTTAATGCTGTGAGCCCCTCCATCGTAGGATTAGTTGTATATATGTGTAAATAAACCATATATCATAAAGACACCACAGTCTCCACTGTGCCTCATTTCCAAAAGAAAACACAGAACCTGGGTCTGGAACCCTGCCCTACCCAGAGGGATGACTGGGGAGTAGCTGGGGGGGGGAATGTGCACAATTAATGGTTGTGCAAAAGAGGACATTTCAGCAGGCATGACTTGCATGGCAAGGAAACACAAGCTTTGCGTCTCTGTTTAGAGAGACAGCCATGATCAAAAGACTATAACGAGAGGGTGTGAGTAATCCCCTAAAAAAGGACACTCCTGTTTTGCCTTCCTCTTCCTTAAAATGTGTAAGGAAGGATCACCTTCAGGTGATCACGTGTCCTCATTTATAGAGGATGCCCCACCATTTGGAGGAGGACCTTCTGTTTGAACTTGAAGGAGTCTTCTGTTTGAAGTACTGTCCTGTGAGTCCAAGTCTAGTTTAAAGATAGAAAACCAGAAGAAGGGAGAGTGAGCGGAGACCCTGAAGTTGCAAATAAACACTGGGCAGCAGGCTGAGTAGGAACACAGGTCTCAGTCTTCCCCCTAGGATGAGATGTGTTTCTATTTAAATTACAGCAATCATTTCTGTTCTAATTGTTATGTTGTCTTAATGGGATTGTTAATTGTATGTTTTAATTGTGGGTGTTAATTTTAATGTTTTGGTGAAATTGCTTTATTGTGTACTTTAATTATATGTGGTCATATTTTTTGATCATTAGTTTTATACGGGTAAACCACTTAGAAACCATTTTGGCAAGTGCTATGTAAACTACTAAATATTAATGATGATGACAATTGGCATCTATCATATAAATTGATATATGCAAATGTTATGCACATCTGTGCCCTCCTTTTTTTGGCAACATTGAAGTGACTACCTTACATCCTTTGCATTTGGGCTCTGTTCTGTTTCTCCAAGCCCTTTCTAAGTGGCCTACAAGCTGAATGTTCTTCAGAAGTCCACCTTCAGACAAACAAGCAAACAAACAAATGATAAGTATATCTGTTGCTTGTAATCATGATGGCTGTAGGTACCCTCCAGGCAGTCTGCCACTGAATACCAGCTGCCAAGAAGCAACAGGAGACGACAACAGTCTCTATGTCCTGTTTTGGTCCTCTCAGAGGCAACTGGTTGAGCGTTGTGGGGGAAACCCTGTGTTACTCCTTAAAGGACTATGGATAGTTCAATATAATAACAAAAGGTATAGAGATCAAAGCATTTTCTATTAATTACTAAGCCAAAAATAGGGCCAATTATGTTAAATGAAATCGCACTTTGGGACTATGTTATCAGTAAAGGAAGAGAAGCAATACTCAACAATGATTACATAGAGTAGTATTCAACTAAATTTTACTGGCTATTGAAATAAATTGGTCTAGCTTAGTCATGTTCACTAATTTTAGTAAACCAACTAAAATTAGTGAACATAACTAAGTTAGGTCCGTTCATTTCAGTAGTGACTAAACTTAGCTGAATACCACCCATACAAAATAATATTTCTTGCAGACACTGCTCAAGAAGGTTGAAAGGGAGATAGAGAATCAAAGAGAATTGTGGGTTAGAGCAATTTGTAGGTGCCGTATACATTTACTTGGAATGTGAATGCCACTTGTAGCGTCTCTGACATCAAATGAATAATAATAATAATAATACAGGGATCATGTAGCAATCTGCCTGGAGTCACTCACATCATGCAGCGATAAAGGATGCAAACGAAGTGTGTCTCAGCCCTTATTAACTACAAGCATAATATACATTAGTCAGAGTAACCAACAGGAGGGACATAACTCAGATTTATGGCTTGCATTTCTACAGCCAAATTACAGTCATATTTCAAGCCACACAGGGCAGGTCCGATTGGCAGTTGGATGGGAGACATGGAAGGAAAGTCACGAGTATTTCAGGAAACGATGGCAGGGGATGATTCAACTGCTGATACACTCCATGCTGCGTCACTTTTGGACACATTTCCAGATCTGGGGCCAACACAGTGATTCCACAAACAGATGGTTAGGGGCATTTATTGAAACCAGGGGAATGAATAACAAACCTTCACCTTTGTAGTATCAGATCATGATGGTGCTGTTTTTGCCAGATGTGCAGTTCTCCGGGTGTCACAGACAGTTCTAGGAAGAGAAGGTCATTTACCTGTCTAACCCCTGCAATCTAAAAACACACACATGTGAAATAGATGTCAAAGAGTTATTTCCTCAGCACATGAGCATAGACTGACCTGGAGTTGTAAAGAGAAGTCAAATGTGATGAAACAGGCAATGAGTAACACAACCCAGTGTGTGGTTTTAGTCTTAACAGCGTACCTGTCATTTGTGGAAATACTCAGTGGCGGCCGGTCCTTTAGGGCTAAGGGGAGCTGCCCCACCAACTTCAGTCTGCCATTAGCCAGTCCCTCACCTACAGCCAGCCTGGGGTGGGCAAACATTCCACATATCTGGGCAGGCTTGTCTAAACAAAAGCAACTGCTGAAAAGAGTACAGTGAAGGCGCCTGCCTCATGTCAATAGGAGTTCCAAAATGTGGGTGCCGACATACTAAAAGATTGATTCCTTATCATTTATTTTATGGCCAGAATGGGCCAAAAGCAGCCCTTCAGGCCAGTCTTATCTGGCCTTCCAGACTCTTCCAAGGCTAAGCTAATCAGCAGCTGTGCTCCACATCCTCTTCAAGGGCTTTTGCCTGTTTGCGGTGTTTCCTTGAACTACGATTGTGCTTCTTCCTTGAACTACGATTGTGCTACTTGCATAACTGGATGGAGAGAGGAAAGTGGGGGTGCAGAAGTTTCTGGAATGCAGCACACTGTACCAAGTGTGCTCAGCTCCCTTTTGCCTCTGCCCCGCTCCCCGGCCCTGGAATGTTGAACACAAAAGGAGTGCAGCCAATGGGTTGAAAAATGCCCTCACCCCCTGGGTTCATGGCATACCCTTCTCTGGTACAAGTGCAGATAAGGGATGGGCTTTACATATTTTAATAGTGAACAATCACATGAGCAAATCAATGCAGAGGGCTGAGGAGGATATGATGATGCGTCCCCAGCTGCGTTGCCATTGGCTGCGGACTTCCTGTGATGTCACAAAAGTGCACGGCAGATGAGTGGATATATAAATGTGGGCCAAGGGGAAAACCAAGGCAAAAGCTTTTTTCCTTCCCAAAGAGAACACAGTGGCCCACAGTAGTGGCATTCAGCACTGGATGATCTCCTTCCACATGGAGGCAAACTGGCAGATAGGAAACCTGCAGTGAGACGCTGTGAAGCAATGAGAAGGCAAGTTCATGGGCAGAGTGGGATCACAGCTTGAAGGCGGCTGATATCCATGGTTGGAGACGGCCCTGGTGAAAGCTTGCAGATGTTTGTATGTGAAAGATGGTGGACACCATTTTGAGCTCCTTGAAAGAAAAAAGTGGTGCATAAATGTAATTAATAAACAGTGAGGGCAGGCTTTACAGCAGCTTTAACAGCAGATATTATTGGACTGCAACTGAGATTCATCTCTGATCACTGTTCATGTCCTCTGGGGCTGAAGGGAATTGGAGTTCAACATCTGGAAGGTCATATATCCCCCCCTCCACTTTTTTACATGGCAGTTTCTTCTCAAGCAGAGAGGACTGAGGCAACAGTGCTTTTTTCCTAAAAGAATGTTTAGGGGTACTCTCATTTTCCTACTCATATTGAAATACTGCCCAACAATGAGGCCAAACTTAGATTCACAAAATGTTTAGGGGTATGCGTACCCCTGCGTACCCCCAGAAAAAAAAGCACTGGATGCAGACAAGCGTTTTTCGTAGTGGTTTGCTTATTTCCTTATGCACAGGTACAACATTACAGGGGCACAAGAAGAAGCCCACAGGCCGCTACCACAATTATTGTGCTTGTATGTACATGATATGTCTTGTGCCCAATTTCTCTCCATCTCCTCTCTCTTTTTCGCCTAGCGGAGAAATGACTGGTTTGAAGCTACAATCAAATTAAAGATAAGTCAATTGGTCTCTCAGCTACACCGCATTGCCATTTGCAACACAAAATTATCTCTGGCTAGTGTAACTCTTAGAACTTGTCTGTGGTCATAAATGCCTGTTATCAAAATAAAAACTACTCAAGGTTCACTGTAATGTTTGTTGGAACCTCTGGTGCTGACTGCTATCCTTACTGCTCTGCCTCTGTATTGTTATCCTATCAGTATTGTATCTGAGCAAGCTCAGTGCAATTTTTCTGATGCTGTCCAAATGTGGGGAGGGCTGCACCCTCTTTTATAACCGTGGAACCTGTTAGAAAAGAAGCAGGAGGGCTATGTAGTTTGGGATGTGGAAACCCCAAATGGACACAATAATTGTGTTTGATATGATGTAGCATTTGTCTTCAGAAAGGTTTTCATTTATGGTAAGAGGCAGTCAGAAATGCTTATCTTTGCTTTTAGTCAGTAATGTCTATCCATCTAGAGAGAGAGACTGTGAACCATATGCCCACGAGCACTTATTAATTTATACAAGTGTTCAAAATTAGATTAAATGACACACAGGTATTCCTACTAGCAAGGGTCTTGAAAGCCTTTAAAGGGACCAGGCAGACTTAAGCTGCAAATGACAGCTTCTCTTCCTAAGCCACAATGGGCTAATGCGGAAAAAAAAAATGTACATTTTGTTTCTGTATACCCTGCATTTTATCAGTCTTGATATTCAAGGTGGTTAATAACAAATACAAAACAATCGGAAAATGGAAGAGCACAAAATGAAGTTAAAATTAAATTAAGCAGACTTCAGATCCAAAAGCATCTCAATAACATTGCCAGCCGTAACTCAGATCACTGCATCAAAAGCCTTCTTAAGAAATAAATTGTGGGTCATGCACTGCAAAGCAGAGACTGAGCCAGGTAGACTTCCTGTGGAAAGGCTTCCCTGTCTTCTGTGCTCTTCAGGTGGTGGAAGAGAATGAAGCAGAGTATCTGAACTGAGTTAAGTGGGTGGATAAGTATATGTAGAATGAGGTTATCTTTATCTGTCTGTACATAATGATAACTAGTTGTCAGAAACCATAGCCCCTGGAACCACAGCTTTCTACTTCCACAAGACCACCATTGGTTTCTCATTATCTAAAGGTAAAGGTAAAGGTACCTTGACAGTTAAGTCCAGTCACGAATGACTCTGGGGTTGCGGCGCTCATCTTGCTTTACTGGCCGAGGGAGCTGACGTTTGACTGCAGACAGTTTTTCCAGGTCATGTGGCCAGCATGACTAAGCCGCTTCTGGCGAAACCAGAGCAGCACATGGAAACGCCATTTACAGGCTATAAAAGCTTCCAGGTCGGACTTGGACCTGTCTGGGTCACAGTCAGTCTTGACCTAGTCTGCCCAGATACTGTTCTGGTTTTTGTAAGCAGGATTACCACCAGATGGATTCTTCTCAAGTCCTGGTTCCAGAGACTTGTGCCTCCTGGCCAATTATCTAACCATAGAGAATATTTACTGAAGACAAGTGCCCGCCTTCCCACCACTCATTAAGTCTCCCCCTCTGGTTCCTTCCCCAGTAGCCTAAGGCTCCATCGTCTTGTCTTTCATCACACTGCCCTCTTCATTTCTCTGGATGTTCTGGGAGACCAGGGAGAGGAGTTGCGGCAGGAGAGGGAGACTTCCTGGATTCTTCAGCAGCTTGCCACTCCTCTGTCTTCTGGCCCCTCTCCTCTCCTGCTTCTGATTCTGGATTGTCCTCTGCCCCAGCCTCTTCCTGCTCACTAAACCCTGTTGCCTCTTTAGCTTCCAACACCTCCTCCTCCCAGTCTGCTCCCTCTTCTTCCTCTGACCATTCATCGCCATGCCCCCACCAATCCCCTGGCTCTAAGCCTTCTTCTCTTGGGGATTTCCTTGGAGTTTCTTCAGCTGGGGCCTCCCAGCACTCCTCAGCATGCAGCCAGTCCATGTCATCCAGTGAGTTTTGTGGTGATTTGAAGCTAGGTCTCTTGAGTTCTGCTGGTACTCTCTTGACGGTGCCTGATTTAGCACAGTGTGGATGGTTCCCCACAACACATAATGTGGGGGGGGGGCAAATTTTGTCATCACTCAGGGCACTGTATTACCAAAGTCCACTCCTGGTCTTGAAGCCACTCTTCTCTAACCTTGTACTCTCCATATGTTTTGTACTATAGCCCCAATCATCTGATGGTTGGCCATGCTGGCCAAGGCTGATGGGAGTTGGAGTCCAGCAATAACCAGAGGGCACCAGCTTGGGGCCCACAGTTCTGGGCTGACCATAGTCCAGCTTCACAATGCCAGTGCTCTGGAACCATTTCTATTGCTTCCTTTTAACTATCAGAACCAAACAAGTTTAATCCACTTATTTCATCATGCCTACGTCTTAGACAGGATCTTAAAAAGCAGAGACATCACCTTGCCAACAAAGGTCTGTATAGTTAAAGCTATGGTTTTCCCAGTAGTGATGTATGGAAGTGAGAGCTGGACCATAAAGAAGGCTGATCGCCGAAGAATTGATGCTTTTGAATTATGGTGCTGGAGGAGACTCTTGAGAGTCCCATGGACTGCAAGAAGATCAAACCTATCCATTCTGAAGGAAATCAGCCCTGAATGCTCACTGGAAGGACAGATCCTGAAGCTGAGACTCCAATACTTTGGCCACCTCATGAGAAGAGAAGACCCCCTGGAAAAGGCCCTGATGTTGCGAAAGATTGAGGGCACAACAAGGGGACAACAGAGGACGAGATGGTTGGACAGTGTTCTCAAAGCTACCAGCATGAGTTTGACCAAACTGCGGCAGGCAGTGGAAGACAGGAGTGCCTGGCGTGCTCTGGTCCATGGGGTCACGAAGAGTCGGACACGACTAAACAACAAAATGTCAGTCTTCCCCAAGCTGGTGCCTTTCAGATGTTGTTGGACTACCCTCCAGATAATTTGGACTAGAACTCCCATCACCCCTGACCATTGCTCGTGCTGGCTGATGGGAACTGTAAGTTCAAAACATCTAGAGGACACCAGCTCAGGGAAGGCTAGCTTATGTATTCACCAATCTTTAACAAATTGTGCAAATAGTGCATGGAAAATTATTGCATTTGTCGCTGAAGAGAGACATGATCATACAATGCTTTGGCAAGACTGATATAACTTGTAAGTTCACTGCCACATTAGTTTGCTTTAGTTGTACCTTTAGTATAAAAATTGTCCAAAAATGTATGATCTCAGCCAGTGCTTTTGTCTGGGGGTACGCAGCAGTACACATACCCCTAAACATTTTGTGAATCTCAGTTTGACCTCAGTGAGGGACAGTTTTTCAATATGAGTAGGAAAATGAGAGTACCCCTAAACATTTTTTAAAGAAAAAAGCACTGGTATCAGCAACAAATATCTCTTAGGTAGGATGACACAAATTGAATATAAAATATTGAGAATATGTTCAAAGGCAATGTGTAAATTGCTTTCAACAGTCCAAAATGCAAAGTTTGTGTTGTGCAGAGATTATTATGTAAATAATAATAACAATATGTATCACTAGAGCAAAGCGTGTACCAAAATGCATGGGTTTTTTTTAGAATGTGCGATGATAGACCTGGATAGCTCAGTTGGTTAGAGTGTGGTGCTGATAATGGCAAGGCTGCAGGTTCGATCCCCATATGGGGCAGCTGCATATTCCTGCATTGCTGGGGGTTGGACTAGATGATCCTCAGGGTCCCTTCCAACTCTACAGTTCTATGATTCTATGGTTTAATGTGTCAGACAGGGACTTGGGGTGGGCAGATCCATTTTCAAATCCCCATGAAGCTCACTGGTGACCTTGAACCAGTTACTATCTTGCAGCATTGGCCTGAAGATAAAATGGGAGATGGGATGCTATGCAAACTGTCCTGGTATCCTTGGAGGAAGGGCAGGAAATAAACGAATGAATAAAAAACCCAACAGTTTTTACGTAGCACTTTGAAGGACTAAATAATTTCACAAGCATTATCTCAGTTTTATTTATAAGGACTTTGCAAGGTCAGTGTTATTATCTCCATGAGGTTGAGTATGAGATATATTGTCAAGCTTAAAGCAACCTTGTGGATTTCATAGCAGAGATAAGACCTGTATGTCGGTAGGGACTTTCCAACTCTCATGTAGTCTTTCCACACTGTCAGCTCCTTTTTTCCTTTATTCTTTAATTCCTACATTCTTTAATTCCTACATTTACACAAATGTGGAATAGAAGTATTGTGAAAGAAAGTGATTTAACAGTGCTTTAATCTTATGCATGTCTGCTTAGAAGCAAGTTCAATTTCATTTAGTTATTCCCACATAAGTAGGTCTAAAAAGAGCAGCTAATTCATTTTGAATAGCTAATTCATGGTGCTGTTACCTCTTCTGAATCTTTGCAAAGGATAGAAATATATGGAGCTTAATACACAAGTTAAGCTGCCACACAAATGGCACACATATACACACACACACACCAACAGTTGATTAAACACTCCCTTCTCAATTTCAAAAACAATTTGCCATGTGGAATTTTGGGGTGCTGTTGGAGAAGAACAAATCTGGAGCCCTTTTGAGTGTGTGAAAATAGTTTGTGCTTTGGAGTTTGTGTGTGTGTGTGTGTGTGTCCCATATAGAAAGTGTTTCTTTTGGTGACCTGTGTACAGTGTAGTCAAAGGACAAGATTCCCAGCAGACCAGGGATAGGACCCAGCATGGGTAAAAATTTCCAGAGAGGTACCTGTGCTAGTCTCTTACAGCAAAACAAACAAAGAGTCTTGTAGCACTTTAAAGACTAACCGATTTATTATGGCATAAGCTTTTGTGAAGCCCACTTCATCAGATGCATGAAGTGAAATCTTAGTTGGCAGGTACATAAAGGTGGAAATTGTACAGTGAAAGTTGAATGGCAATGAGATGCAAAAAAGTACAATCAATACATTCATTCTTCGGACATTTCTGAAAATTGAGTTGAAGTGCCAGAAGCAAGAATTAATTTAATTAATCGAAAAGCACAACATTGTCTCACAACTTCCCAGAAACATAAGCTGACAACTGAATTTAAGATAAAACTGACTCACACTCCTGCACTGGCTTCCCCCACCTAAAGTTTGAGTGTTATCACTGGTATTATCTGAAAAAAGGGCCAGCCCTACCATTAGGCACAGAGGTTTTGAGTGTCACAAAAGGGCAGCAAATTGTTAGTTATTTAATTTATTGTTGTTGTATCTAACTACCAAGGAGGAAGAGAGGTATTTCACAGAATTTGTGCCTCAGGTTCAAACTGCACCTTGAATTCTGAGGTAGGCATTATTTGCTGCTTTGCCTCAGGCAGCAAAATATCTTGGGCAGATTCTGAGGGATGCTCCACTTTTCTACAAACTTGCTGTGGATCAACTGCATATTTTCTGTAATGGCTGAATAGCATTCGTGCATCTCAAAAATGTGGCAAACATAATGGGCTATGTGCCTCTTTCAGCTATGTTTATTTTCAGGCTCTAAAATGCCATTCAAATGTTACCAAAAAATTGCAAGTGGCTCATGGTGGAAATGTGTGCACCATAAGAACAAGCACAAAGAACAGGGCCTTTTCTGTGAGAGCACCAACACAGTGGAAGTTACTTATTCAGTCTGTATCATTGCTTGCCTTTTGCCAAACAGCTATGGTATATTTTCTAGGAGCATTTTTTAGATATGATATTTTACTACAGATATCTTACAGGTGGCTTTTAGTATTTTTTTTTTAATTGATAATTTGAAATATTGTTGGGATTTAAAAAAATACACGTATTTGCCTCCTTAACAGGACTTGCACCAGTTCAGGACAATCTTGGGTGCCTCCTGGGCCCCCAGAGCCTCACGAGAGGCCACTGCTACCCTGATGCATGCCCTCTTTAACCTGGAGATTCTGAACCCTCTGTGCTGTAGGGCTTGGAGCCACCATGTTAGTTTCCCATAATGCCCCAGGGTGATTGTGCATGGGGGGAAGGGCACTGTAGGAAATCAAAATAGTGGCTTCAATGAAGTTGGCTGCTTCCAGCACTGGTATAGTTTCGCCATCCCCACTCATAAAAATCAGTAGCATCTCATGCCATTAAGTCTCACAGTGTAATTCAAAACCAAAATCCATCAGGGTGAGAGAGTTTAGATATGGGCTTTCTCAGCCAGGCCTGCGACAACTTACATCCCTCACCCTGGCCCTGGTCAGGTGCAGCTAGTGGAACTCAAGCCAATGGAACTTATACTGCTCTGAGTCCCCGTCCCCCCAATGGTGTTCCTGGGGCCAATAAGAGACTCATACGTAACCTTGGGTTACATACGCTTCAGGTTACAGACTCCGCTAACCCAGAAATAGTACCTCGGGTTAAGAACTTTGCTTCAGGATGAGAACAGAAATCGTGCTCTGGCGGCGGAGCGGTAGCGGGAGGCCCCATTAGCTAAAGTGGTGCTTCAGGTTAAGAACAGTTTCAGGTTAAGAATGGACCTCCAGAACGAATTAAGTACTTAATTTGAGGTACCACTGTATTACAAACCCTGCTGAGCTCAGTCCTGTGATGTAGCGCCCAGTGCTCAGGACAAGGGCCCACATTCACCTGCCGGCTCAGCTGGCAACAGCTCTTCCCATAGGCTTCTGGATGGAGTTCAGAATAGGCAAATGATGCCAACCTAAGTTACACTGGCTTCTTATAGTTTAGATCATTCTGTTACTTAGTAGTAGTAGTAGTAGTAGTAGTAGTAGTAATAGTGGATGACAACATTAATATCAACAATTATTACTATTAACACACTGAGATGTTCTCCTGCATGCGCCACATTGAAATTAATGGAAGTTGAGCAAGAGACCACCTTGCAATCATTTTAATGGCACTTGCTGTTGAACTGTCTCATTTTTTTAGACAAGGAAGGAAGCATCTGAACATTATGTTTATGCTGACTGCAGCCATTTAATTTCAGTATCTGCAGCTGTGAAGTTACCAGGGAATTCTCCGCCATGTGTTTTCCCCACATCTGTCTGCCAAATCAGAGATACAAATGATAAAAATTGAGTACCTTGAGGCATTTCGTGGATCTGAGACACTCCCTGAAACATTGGACCAAACAGATGCAAAAGAACACAATGAGCAAAGCCTCATCTTTGACAGTTATAAAATTGTTTGGGTTTGGGAGAAGAAGAAGAAGAAGAAGAAGAAGAAGAAGAAGAAGAAGAAGAAGAAGAAGAAGAAGAAGAAGAAGAAGAAGGTTTTTGCCTATTTGCATGCAGGTGGAAAACAATATTGTATCCAAATGGGGCTACAGCATATGAGACAATACATTTGGCATATGGTTTTGAAACATTATACATCAGGGATAAGCAAAACTGAGTAAATGCTTGTTTTTAATTGCATTATAGTACCATGTTCAAGCAAAGCCCTAGTGGAATGGAAATTGAGGTTAAAGTAGATAGGCAGGACATTTTCACACATGATCCTCAAACTCATGGTTTGAGACTGCCTTCACTATTTTCTCCTAAGTAATTTCAGCAACAAATAATTTCTAACCATGCAACTTCCTAGTAACAACAAATCACATAAACTGAGAGTTTAGTCCTATTGAACTCAGTGGACCTTACTCCTTCCCTTCCACCCAAATACAGTAGTTTTATTGATTTTGTAATAATATGTATTAACTGAACACAATAACATCCATACAATCTAAATGTCCCCCCTTCCACCAGACGGCTGGTATTATCATTCCTATTCTATTTATGACGTATCATTTCTTTACGTATTAAATTTGTAAGCCGCCCTATACTCATAGATCTCAGGGCAGTTCATGTCATGAAATTACAATATTAAAAAAATCCACAATCTTCACTCGTGTTTGTTTCTTACCTATTGTCATTCCTTCAACAGAGATTTTATGTAACATATCATCATAGTCTCTGTCAACCAAAGGAGATTGGACACACATGAACATTATTTTAACAAAGGGTAAGCAATCAGTACAGAAAGTCTGTGCTGATGAAGCTGACACTCCCAGAGTATTAACGTATGTAATAAATGGGCACAAACTGGCATAGAAAATATCTGGATTCTTTTTTTCCCTCCAATGCTGCTACATCATGGGTTATTTTCTCCCCAAATTCCTATTCTCCATACATTCTCAAACAATAAATCTAGTCCCATACCTTGTAAGTTTCGCCAGTTTTGAACTATGGAGATTCTTGCTGTAACTAGTAACCTTCTTTACTGGCCTTTGGTCTTAATGGCTTTATTCATCCCCTCAAAAAGAGAAAGAACGGGTAATTGAGGGGTGAAATCAATTTGTTCCCAGATTATCTTTGAAATCTCCACACGCGCTACCCCCTGAAAGGTCTGCACCATTGGGCAGGCCTAACACATTTGGTAGTGCCTTCCCTTATGATCACACCCTCTCCAACATGTAGGAGATAATCCAGGGGTCATATGGGGCAGTTGTACCAGAGTTCTGCATCATCTAAACAACCTTGCTAGAGCTCTCCTTAATATATGCCAATACTGACTTGAAGAAGAAGAGGAGTTTGGATTTGATATCCCGCTTTATCACTACCCGAAGGAGTCTCAAAGCAGCTAACATTCTCTCCCCCCCCCCAACAAACACTCTGTGAGGTGAGTGGGGCTGAGAGACTTCAAAGAAGTGTGATTAGCCCAAGGTCACCCAGCAGCTGCATGTGGAGGAGCGGAGACGCGAACCCAGTTCACCAGATTATGTGTCTACCACTCTTAACCACTACACCACACTTGAAAAGTTTGGTTGTCCATAGCTGTGCCCAGTTGGATTCACCTATGTTAGTCCCAACACTAGTAAACAAGTGTAAGATCAGGCTGTTTGGTTCCACATTGATATGGGATGAATGCATTTATTTTATCCCCATGCAGTAAGGCAAGAGGATCAACATACCGTGGTGCCCCGCAAGACAAATGCCTCGCAAGACGAAAAACTTGCTAGACGAAAGAGTTTTCCGTTTTTTGAGTCGTTCCGCAAGACGAATTTCCCTATGGGCTTGCTTCGCAAGTTGAAACGTCTTGCGAGTTCTTGCGGTTTGTTTCCTTTTTCTTAAAGCCGCTAAGCCGTTAATAGCCGCTAAGCCGCTAATAGCCATGCTTCGCAAGACGAAAAAACCGCAAGACGAAGAGACTCACAGAACGGATTAATTTCGTCTTGCGAGGCACCACTGTACCCAGAAGCTAGAATATTGTCTGAACTGTGCAGAATGTGAGCTGTTTTTTGTTAAGTAAAGTACTTAAATCTGCACATTTCCCCAGCGTGGCGAATAGCATGGAGATGTGGCCAGCCATGTCAGTGTTGCGTTGACATATAGCATTAACTTGCAGCCCTGGGTTTTTCTGAGTTTCCATAAGTCTGATGGCTCCTGCTTCTCTCCTGGTGCGTGCAAATGCGAAGTAGATGGCATGCATTTGTTCAGTAAATGCTAATTTCTGTCTGATTTCATTAATCTTGCCCGCTGCTCGCTCACTCACTTCTGTTATGCTGGTTTTTATGTATTCAGTGGTCTGTGTTTGCCTGAGTTAGTCGGGACTAAGGATTCTGAGTCCCTGTGTTCTGATTCGATACATGATATCCAGTCACAGAACATTTCAGGATTTGGGCTACTGCCATTGGCCCTTAAACGCTAAGTTATTATTTGCAGCTTGGGAGTTTAGACAGCCAATCATGTTGACAGTGGGAATGGCCTAGGCCTTTAGGAATGTATATAATCAGTTTCTTTGCCCCTGCTGTCCAGTTCTGTTAGTTCAATGAAAGTTCTTGCTGTTATCACTGTGTCTTGCTTTGTGGGAACCCACCTACACTGGTCTAAAGAATCAAAGTTGTGCACTGGGGCACACTATCTGCTGTGAGCTATTTCCTTCATCTCCAGTAGCAACTCATAGTCAACTTTTGTATGACATGTGAAATAACTCTCCTTCTCAAGAGTGATTTTGTCTTTGGCAGGGGTGCCTGAAATTATCTTTCTGTATGTTAACATTACCTCCTTGATCACCACTGCACAAAGTGATGGTACTAACTGTTGCTGTTCTATTACTGGTTAATTCTAGACTTGGTGTCACGGTCCCATTCACGGGTGATCGAAGTCCCGGCAGGGGACGTCAGGACCGGGGGCAAGATGGCGGGGTGGGAGCAGGAACAGGGATCCAGAAGCCAGGAGGCAAGAGTCCAAGGGTCAGAGAGCCGGGAGTAAAGAAGCCAAGGGTCAGGAAGCAAGGAGTCACGAAGTCAGGAGTCCGAGGATCAAGAAGCAGGGAGTCAAGAAGCCGAGGTTCAAGGATCAGGAAGCAAGAAGCCAAACGCAGCAAGGCAGGAAGTGTGTTGCTGTGGCAAAGAGCCGAAGGGAAATGCTGACCTTATATCCCTTCCCAGCTCTTGCCACCAGGTGCTGTGAGTTACCAATCGGCCTCACCTGTGAGGCCGTACCTTGCCTCTTCAGAACAAACTTAGGAAGGCCCCAGTCCTGCAAAGTCCTATTTGTCACAGGGCCTGGCTCCTGTCCTGTACGCACACCTGACACTTGGATCCTTAGTGTAGTGCCTGTGAAGAACAACTGCACCAGGAGCGAACTTTGGTTATTCAGATTTCAGTGGTGCCATGTGTGAGGCCAAAGTTTGATAACCCCTTCCCCCCATTCTGCTTAATTCACTATGTCATAGTTGTGATGCCCTGCAGCACTTCCTAAGCTCAGTGCGCAGTGTAGTGAAACTGGTAAGACTGTCCTAAACCTGCCTCTGAACTACACTTGCAGACACTCCCCTTTGGGGTCACCCAAAACCTTCTGTTCCTCTCAATTTTATTGAATTTGAAAGTTTGGGAGAGCTGCATGCCCCCTCCCCCGTTTTACTTGTTTCTTTGTTTTAGGAGGTAAAGGTATTTTGGCTGTTTTTTTAACTGGGGGTTGAACATTGCCATTTTTTATTCTGTGAAATGGGCATTTTGTGGTTCTCACAATAATTTCTTAGATTTTAAAATGTGCCCCTGGGCTCAATAAAAGTTGGGGACCCCTGACCTAGGCCAAAACCACAAAGTAAATAGCATTGTACCTCAAAATTTGGAAGACCAGCACTACACCAACACTTACCAGTTCACTGTGGAATTGGATCCTCAGGCATGGCGGAGCCATTCGAAAGGAATCAATGGAACAAAACAAATATTTGAACAGGTGCAAAGTAGTTTTGCATGCCATAGATACTTTGCAGCTCAAACCTCACAGCACAAGTTAAAAATAAGGTATATTATGAATCGGTAGTGGTTGTTCTGCAGAGTTTTATAATAATTTTCTAGAAACACCTTGATGATATTCTAGAACACATACTTATTCACCATTTCCTTGTTTGGAATGACCCAGAACGAACATTAATTTCCCATATTTCTTTAAATAGCTCAGGCATTTTCCAGGCGTCTTCTCTCTCTTTTTCCAGCTCATCTCAAAACAAGGCACAATGTATTATTCCAGTCTATCTTGACTGGAGGGGCTCATGGAACTGGCCTTAAATTCATGCTCTCAGTCTGAACTACGGTTGTTGTTAGGGAAAACATTAAGAACCCCATGTACTCTCTGAAAGGTAGTCACTTACGCCTTCAAATAAAGGACTTTCTTCTCTAAAGTAGGGACCATGGCAACTCAAATGTTTTGATATAGGCAGCTACTCAGTATCATGTCAGACCACTGGTTCTTCTAGCCTAGTACTGCCTGCACTGGCTGACAGCAGCTCTCCAAGGTTTCAGACAGGAGTCTTCTGTAGCCCTTCCTCAAGATGCCAGGGATTGAACCTGTGACCTTTTGCAAGCAAAGCATGTGTTCAACTATTGACTAAAGGCTCTTGGAGAAAGGGCAGAATATTATTTACCCTGTTCTTCCACATGAAATCAATAGGTGAGATCCACCCAATATTTAGGTGTCATCAATATGTGAATACCCACCTCTCCTTTTGGCACCCCACAGAGGCAATAGTACCAAATCAGTGTCTGAGATCAGTAAAGAGCAAAAAGTGGGTGGACACAGTTAAGCTTAATCCAGACAAGATGGAATTGCTGGTGGCTGGCAGAAGAGTTGTTATAGATTTAGGTGTTTAATTTGGTTCGGATGAGGCTGTACTCCCCATAAAGAATTAGAGTCACAGTTTGGGCGTGCCCCTAGATTTTCTAGATGTTTAGGCAGTGACACTGACCAGTTTCCTTTTCCAGGTTAGTCTGACAGCTGCACCTGTTCTTGGAGATGTCTAATCAAACATGCCTTGGTAATGTCCAGATTAGACAACTGTAAACATAATCTACGTAGGGCTGTATTTGAAGAGTATTCAGAAACTTCTACTGGTTTGAAATGAAGCAGTGAGGGTCTCAATTTGCCTCCAGGATCTATTTAAATGAAGTTCTAGAGATGACCTTTAAAATGCTGAATGGCCCAGGCTCGGAGTATTTGAAGGATTACTTCGTTCAATAAGAGCCAACGTGAGCACTTGTATTGATTGGTTTTGAGAGTGCCATCTCTCAAAATTCCTTTCCCCAGGAGTCATACCTTCCTTTCTATATTTTGGTCATCTAACACAGGGAGTATGTGGCCTTTGAAATGTTGTTGGACTCCAGCTCCCATCAGCCTCAGCTAGCATGACCAATGGCAAAGGATGATGGGAGTAATAGTTCAGCAACATCTGGAGAGCTGTACATTGCCCACCTCCTAAGAAACCTTC